TTTTACCAGATTGCGGATTCAATCTTTTGTTTATATAAAATTTAATGGAAATAATTTCCAACTGCAAACAAGAGAGAAAACCTTCTTTTTGCCCTTAAAAAAATGGATAAATTACATAAACATGAATACAATCTCACGTTAAAATGCAAAACTGTGCCAGAGTTGCGTAATAAATACAAATATTTGTAAGATAAATTCGATCAAAGATTTTGGAAAAATAAAAGTTGGCTTGAGCGCAAAAAAACAAAAACATAAAGCGCAAGCAATCATTTACATTAACTTTAATTGGCAGCCAATGTTACATAATAGGTATTTAAAAATACGTCGCAAAAACAACAGAGGAACAATAAAGCACATATTAATGTTTTAATTAAAAAGTGTCCTGCAATGAAGTTGAAAACTTTTGTTTTAAAAACTTTCCTAACCGAACCACTTGTAAGAAATAAAGTAAAAAGTAATATTTTTTTTTGGGGGGAACCAGCCAGGAATTTATATCAGCCAAAGTTGCGTTATGAAGTGGGGAAGCTGAGCATAGAAAATATATTTTGTAACAAATATTTGCCAAGCATCTTTTGACAAATTATGACTTGGGTCCTCGTGCTTCCAGCTTGTTTTCCTCGTCCTTTTGCTCCTGTTGTTGTTCTTTGTTTTTTTCCTAGAAAACTATGGCTCCAAGTTGCTATGACAGCGTTGCCACATTATACAACAAGTGCTCGAAATAATAAAGTTAACAGCACTTTAATAGTTACCGCCTCCCACTCCCACAGAAAAAGGGGCGGGGAGATTGGAGGGCGTGGGTGTGGAGTGTGGGTGTAGGATGTGGCAATCGGCAACCGAATGAGGCAACTTCAGCAGCGGCAACATGTTGCCGGGCAACGGGCATAAATGAGGGGCTTATCCTATCGAGCAGCACAACTTGAGCAATAAAATTGCCTTTATATACGAGCGTCTGGATGCGTTGAGGATGAGCGGAGAAAATAGCCTGAAATATTCCCAGCATGCTCAGATATACAGCCATTGTGGGCGGGGCAGCAGATAAATTTTCCACTTTGATTTCTGCGCTTAATAAAAATCAAATTTAAATGCGGCTGACAACGCACCAGACAGCCGTCAACTCTTTATAGGGCCATGTGTGAAGAGTGCACGGAGAGAAAAATTGTTCGCTTTTGAACAGCACCTTTTTGAAACTTTAATAATTCTTTCGATAACAGCTGGGGGTTGAACTCTTGAGTTGTTCCTTGTTTTATTAAAATTAACAGCACATGAATCTTCATAGTTATTCTGTTTTCTATTTATTTATGCCCATTTCTTAAATTTTAATTCTTAGATTTTTTAAAAATCCTAAAAATAACAACAAATAAAAAAATGGAACCTACATATTCAACAGTTTTTATTATTTAATTTCTTTACAAAACAAAATTAAAATGTACTTGGCTTAAACCTAGTTTTTAGATATAATATCTAAACTCGAATATCTTGAGTGAAAGCTAGTTTAAAGATGTTTATGGCTGAAAGACGCTGTATATATATTCCATACTTACTGGGTGTTTTCCTCTTTGTGTAGCAAATGGGCTTGGGGCAGAGTGGAGGAGGCATTTATGGCCAGCTGATGACATGGCTTCCAGCGAGGCTGATGGTTCCACTGCTGCTTCTACTGCTGCTGCTCCTGTTTCTGGAATGTAATAAAGCTGGGGCTCCTTCGGTTCTCGACTCTTTGGAGTTTATGGCTGGCACATAAAAGGAAATCAAAGCCACCGAGAGGAAGCCATCCGCAGCTGGCCAAGTCAAAGAGTCAGTTGTCCCGGCGAATGGCTTTGGCAGGCCAAGAGTGGCAGCGGAAGCTTGGGGCACAAGCGCTAGCTAATAAGCTCTGCGGACCTGCGGGGCGTATGCTTAATATTTTGAGCCAGTTGGCGCTTATATAAATGCCGTTGCCCAGAGCACCAAAGCGGAAAGTTCTGCATAAATTCAATTAACTAAAAACATGCAAATGAAAACTTTTTTCGAGGGCGACACAGCCGCGGGGCAAGAAGCGGAGAAAATGCTAAAATGCAGCTCATTCAGATGCACAGAAGTGGCAATTGGAAGTGGCCACCAGGCGCATCCTCCGATCCCCTTTCCCCCTTTCCACCCGCTTCCACACCTTCCCCTCGCAGAGATGTTTTCTAATTATTTCGCTCTGGCTTTGGAACATCCTTTTTGGCCCCGGCTCAGTCAACTATGCGTGTATATCAGCAGTAGGAAATGCAATAATGTAACGAGTAATTGCGCAAAAAAGCGGGGTACAAAAAGTAATAAAGAACGCACAGTTACGCAAAGCGTTGTGGGCGGTCAAAGGCCATGAAATCCTGGTGGCGGGGGAAATGGTGGCAAGGACACCACTGCCGGCAGTTATGAGTGCGGTAAGCGGACCGGGGGCAACAAAAGTTGTCAACGACAGCAAAGGCAATGGCAATGGCAACGGCAACGAGAACGGCAACGGCAACGGCAACTAAAACAAAGCCCTGCCCCATGGCCAACGGTGGGCGGTGGAGCGGAAAGAGGGCGTGGACGTGGACGTGCAACGTGGCCGCAGAAAGTTCGAGCGCCGCTCACGCGCCCCAGCCACGTGATTCAGCTCCTGCGGATCCCGTTGCCATCCTTCCCATCCCTTCCCTCCCTTTCCATCCCGCGCCCAAAAAGGATATTAATTTCCCAAAGGTGCCGTTCCTGCTGGCGAAAATCACGCAAAATGCGACCCGCCATCGGAGTGGGCCAACGAGTCGGGGGACAACTTAGCCAGAAGCCAGAAGCCAGAAGCCAGAAGCTGGGAAAGTGGCGCCTTTGTCGAACAGAACATTACACACCCTAGGCTGCAATTAGAAGTACAAAGTAGTCCATTCTCAAACCCTCCTCGCGAATCGCACACAAAATGCTAAGTAGGCACCTTCGCCCCGCCGATTGTAATTCGTTTAGAAAGGGTCCCCGTTTTGATTACGTGACATCAAACAATAATTAAAACATACTTCCTACACAAGTTATTGTTTTCAATTATTTAACAGAACATTCTTGGCTGTGTGGCGACATTCAATTAAACATATTCATGAGATATATAAATGTCATTAAGAAAATTCAACTGTTGTAATGCATAATTAGCAAACATACATACATACATACATTATAAGTACAAAAGGAAAATAGTTTTTAAAAAAAGTAGTACAGTATAAATATTTTAATTAAGCTGAAATATTTACATTTTGTATATATATTTTTAGAGCACTTTGGTTTTTAATCAAAATTAAAAATAGTAGATTTTAAGCTGCTGCTTTTAAATAGGTAAATGTTTACCAAAACGTAATCTATAAATCGGTAATCTCCCCGCCATTTTCAGGTTGACAAAAGCCCTGCCAAATTCATGGGACCCCAACTGCTGATGAATTTATCACCGACGCGAAATGAAATTAAAACGCACGCACACAAATTAAAAACTTTCAATAGCAACAATTTTCATTTAAAAATTCAACACCATTCGCTGGGACTGCCGATGGGGGATTGGAAAATGAAAGGGAGGGGCGGAGGCGGGGAAACGTGTACGGTAAAGCTGGGGAGCTGGGGAAAATTGGGGGCGTGGGAGCTGGCAGCTCAGCTGGCAACCGCTTGTTGATGGCCATTGAAGTGGGGCGACAAACAGATTTATGAAAACTGAAAAATATCCATTGTAATTTGACTGTGCCAGTGCCAAAGGGAGCGCAGTGCCACCAGCGATGGAGAGCTGCTGCTGCTGCTGCTGCTGCTGCTTTGGAGCGGGCAACAATTAAAACTATTTTGGCCAAAACAATATCGGGTTGTTGCCATCGCCGCCAGCTTTCACAGTTGCCAGTTGTTTGCTGCTCGTTGCGCGCGTTCTTCGCCGCTGGCAACATTTTATTAGAATGCAGGCCGGGTCCGGGGTCAAACCGCAGAAGGTGGAGTGGAAAGGGGTGAAGGGGGGAGGGGCAGTGGGAGGGGGTGGGGAGACACGGGAGTGGCAACTGGGAGTGGCAGCAAGGCGATGGCAAAAGGGGCGAAGGCGAAAGGACAGGACCAAAGCTGATTGCTAGCTGCAGTGGCTGACAGGACATGGGGCTTGGCTATACCCTTGCCACAAGGTTATTTAAATCAGTGGGACCGAAAGCTGCTGGGTTAATGGGTCCTTAAACTTCCATCTACTCACTTCATAGATCTTTTCTTTAATGTCCCGGATTCTTGGCTGTAAAGCTGCGAAGAAATGCTGTTTTATACATTGTATATTTCATGAATTTTATTCCCTCAAATTTCCTTCACTCGAACTTTAAAATCTAAATTAGTTGAATACATTATATTGCATATTAAATAAATAAATATATAAAAATTAATTTGATTGAAATTGAAAATTGTAATACTAACACCAAAACTAAAAAACTAAACTTTAGTGTAATGTATTGTTTTCAATTATTTCAATAAAAATATTTTCACTAGCCTTAATATGTTATCGAACAAATAAGAAATGTATTTACGTCATTTTTAATCTATTTATAAAATGTATGTAAATCTTATTGATTAAAATCAAGTTGATGTTTATTACCAATGAAATCCAATAAATTTTGTTTAATGAATGTTCAATAACCCCAATGCAAAAACTATCTCTCGAATAAATAAATAAGTAATATTTTTCAAAAAACTAAATAGGAAGTAGTAGGTAAGGAATTCGATAGGTAACTAATCACGAAGGGCATTCACAATTCGATTCCAGCAATCATCGGCCACGTATTGTGTTGTTTTGTTGTTTTGTCATTGCTGCTGTCTGTTTATTGTGCCAGCGCTGCAGAAATCCAAGGCATGTCCTTCGGCCAGGGATAAAGTGCAGTGGCAGCGAAAGGAGGCGGGAGCGAGGACGCGACGCGAGAATGCGGCTGAGCAGGAGCTTAGCAAAACAACAGCTGTCGGCCTGCGAACCCCTAACCCCTGACCCCTGACCCCACACCACCTTAAACCCTACGAAATGCGGGCGCCAATTGCTTACGCGATGGCAGGCGGAATTTATTGCTTTAAGACTTAATCAATGGCTACTGGCAGTTGTTGGTCCCGGGATCTGGCAGATCCTGCATCATGAATCCGGGAGGCGGTGGCTGGGATTGCAGGGTGGTGGGTCCACCCTTGGGCTCACTGGCACATCTTCCGTTGCGCGGACCTGCGGGAGGCAGCTTGTCACTTCGCAGATCCGCCAGGATGTCCGCGAGGCTCTTCTCGTCCAAGTCCTCGTACATATCATCGTTCACGGCCAAAACTGGGGCATTCACACAGGCGCCCATACAGTAGTCCTCCTTCAGGGTGAACTGCATGTCCGGAGTGGTTTGGCCGTGCTCCAAGTTGAGTGCCTTCTTGCAGGCCTCGAAGATCTCGTCGCCGCCGCGCAACTTGCAAGGTGTTGAGGTGCAGACACAGATCACGTACTTGCCACGCGGCTTCATGAAGAACATCGTGTAGAACTGGGCCGCCTCGAAGGCCTTCATCGGATCGATCTTTATGATCTCGGCCACGGCCTTAACTGCGCTGATCGAGAGCCATCCCTGCTGGCGCTGGGCAATGTCCAAGAGTGGCAGCAGGGCCCCCTTCCACTCGGTCTCGGGATACCAGGCCAGGAGAGCCTTCACCCTGCGCTGGTTGTCCTTCGAGAACTCGAACTTCAGCTGCTCCCGCATCTCGCAGGACTCCATTTTTAGTCCTGTTCGGAGTGCGGGCCTCAGGTGGATGGAGCGGATTCCTCGGAGCAAACGCTGCATTGTCGATCGAAATATATTTGTTTCTTGTGTCTCTTGTCTGGTATCATAAACTGGAGTCCCTAGTAACTTGGCACTCTTCTCTCGGAACTCTTTATATCCCCCTATATAAAATAAATTATATTTTAAACCTTCACCTTCAAAAAGAAATGTTTTTTAAATTCAAATTTAATAAATGTGAGTGTTATATGTTGATATCATACAACATTGTAATTATGTAATCGAAATAGTGAAATCTATACTTACTATAAGAAGAACATGTTGAAAATGTAAAGATAGCTTAAAATAATATATAGATAAAATTAAAACTATGAAGAAAACTGTTATTTGAATAGTAAATAAATACAAAAATAAATTGTTATAAATATCTTACAATAGTTCATATATTTCTGTTTTTTTTTTGTGACTTTAAAGCTCAACCTTTTTTAATTAACGTTATCTTTTCAGCACAAACTAATATGTATTGCAAAAATAAAACTTTAACTTTATTTTGATCACACATCGTTGGCATTTGCCCACTTAGCGAACTCGTGGTTGAGTTTTGAATTTAATATTTGCAACGCTCTGCAAAAGGTAATGAAAACCGAAATTATTCTGTGTTCTCTATTTACTCACATTGTAAATCAGAGCGCTCCGGCGAGAATGCAATCAAACTGAGTTGGCCAGGTGCTCGTCATGGCAACGGAAAGGTGGCCAAAACGCAGAGTGGGTTCCCAGCATGCCAATCAAGTCCCCCGGCCGCAACCTGTTCAAATTGCATGTCTCTCTTAATTGTCGATATAAGTGCTGCAGGACGTGTCGGGGGATGGGAATCGGGATATTATATTCCCCGAGCACTTCGCACCCAATCGCCAACTCGCTTATCAACACCTGTCCCTTGGCTCATTTGGCCCGTTTTTATTACGCGTTATTAATGCTCGCAGATACACGCCCTAAAAGATTAGATCGTAAAACGCAGGCATTATGCCCGCCAGTATCCGATCGAAATCCATAATAAACAATTAGGATAATGGCCATTCAAAGTGGCATTGACTGCAGATAGCATAACGCTAATGTTGTAAGCGCATGTGAAGGCAAAAATCAAACAAGCGAAGCACATGTTGCCACACAAAAAAATCTTCAAATTATGGTTTAGAACCCCCAGTCAACATTACAAAAAATTACTACGTTTATAAGAGGTATAATGGTATTAAAAAATAAGTTTCGAGAAGACAATTTTCACTATACATTTATATTTGTATCTATCAACTACGTTTAACAGGAATGAACAGTAAAAGCTTAACTTTCAAATATTTTTAGTCACTGGCTCTTACTAAATCATTCCCAAATTAAAAAAACCATAGTGGTAAGATTTGCTGGAATCCTTTTGTCCTTAAAACGTTGTTCGGTAAATATAAATGGCAGATAGAAGTTTAAATAGTAATAATATTTGAAAAAAGTTAATTCAAACTTAGAAAAATACAAAAAAGCAAATCAAAAGTTCTGGCTTAAAAAATTATAGAGGATTACTAACCATGAAACCAACTTAAAGCGAAACTGCATCGTTTTAAAACTTTTCCCTTTACTCTTTATTATATCCCGATTAAAAACATCGAATTCTAAAGTTGAACACACACTTTCTGGGTCTGCGACCCCCAAGAATACCTATAAATCTGCATGTGAACGTGCACGTAAGCCGGGCAAAAGTTGGACGGTCCCAAAAAGCGGCAACAAAATGGGAACTGCAATTGGCCACCAAGTACTTTCCAAAGTCTTTTGCATGGCAGTTCACATAATTCGTGTTGTGATAGTCTCGGCCTCGTTTCGTCGTTTCGCTCCGGTTCTTTTGGCTTTTGGCGGGTTTTCGGCAGCAGTTTTCGGTTTTTGGGCCCGAAACATAATTAAGTGCTTTGCAAGTTGTTGACTGTTGGGGAATTTGTCATAACATGGAGAGGGGGAAAAGCCCCGACAACGAGTTGCAGAGCCCGTTGATAATGTACTAAGTAGTAATAAATTTTACTTTTATGCGCGAGCCACCAGCGAAGAAACTCTGGGGAGAAGTGAAAACAAGTGAAGAACAGAACCAAACAGAACAGAAACCAGAAACCAGAATTCAGAAATCAGAAAACAGAAATCAAGAGCCGGCGAAAAGTGAAATGGGCCCTGCGGGGTCCCCTTTTGACCCCGTCGACAAGCTCAACAAGTTGCCAAGTTGACGGCGAGTTGCCGACTTTCCGAGTTACCGAGTTTCCCAGTTTCAGCGCTTCCGAGCTGATGAAGTGGCAATGGAAAACAGCCGGACTTTAGTTGTAGTTGGCCAGCGCCGGAGTGGAGGCTGAAATTAAATCAAACATCAAACTCAATCGCAAAGCCAAGGAGGGGAAAAGGACTTATTCTGTCCGCCGGCAAAATGAATCGAAATGGGGCAGGGACGAAGTGCCAAAAGTGTTAGCAACTTTGCCATATTTCTGTTGATTTTACTCGCACAAAACTGCGGTCGGGCACGCAGCCACGGGCGTGATGGATTAGCAAAGTTCGAGTTTAGCGGCCCGGCTCTCCCCGTTTTTAATTTTGCGAAAATATACGAAACTTTGAGTGCGCAACTGCTGCCACTCCCTGCTGCCACGCCCCCCGGCGAGGTCAAAGGGCGTGACCTGGTGCGAGGGAAGCCCATGTTTCATGTTTTCGATCAGCTGCAGCAGGACTTCGAGGCGAAGTGGCGGACGACCACCACAGTGAAGCCGTTCAGTATCCTCCAGCACTTGGATTGGGAGCAGGAGCAGCAGGCTCAGCGGCTGCAGGCCCACTCGAATGCCACTTTCGATATCCTGGAGGAGCTGTACAAGGATCAGAAGGCGTATGAGCTGAGAACCACAACTATTAAGCCTTTCCACGTGCTGCAAACCCTGGAGAAGGACTTGATCGAGGTGCACAAGCACACTACCACCGTTAAACCCTTTCACATAGTGGGAACCCTGGTGGAAGATTTAATTAAGAAGGATCTGAAGGATGGTTACCTCGTGGAGAAACCAGTTAAGTCCACGGAACCTCTTGCCGAACACAAGGCGGACTTGAAGCCCCAATCGCGAGCCAAGGAAAGTCAGAAGCGGCGAAGGAAACGCATTCGCCGCAGAAGGAAGCGAATTCGCCGTCGCCGGAAGAGGACGCGTCGACGTCGCCGGCGAAAGCGGAAGAAGCGGAGGAAGAAGCGCAAGAAGAAGAAGTACAAGGGTGGCAAGAAAAAGAAGAAGAAGGGCAAGAGGAAGCGGAAGAAGCAGAAGCCGGTGGACCACGACGAGCACTCGATCTTCCAGCCGGGTCAAGTGATCTTCGCCAATCCGACCAAGCCGCCGTACTACCACCATCCACACCACCACCATCCATACCCGTATCCACCGACCAACCAGGTGCCAGTTCAGACCATTCCCACAGCCCTGCTGGCCGCCCTGACCACCAAGAAACCGACCACGACGACGACCACCACCCATCGGCCCTTCAGCAAGATCAAGTATCTCCTGCGGCACAACAGCATCTTCAAGAAGAAGAAGAAGGAGTACCTCAGTCACGTCGGCCAGGTGCTGTATCCCTTCGTGAAGTTCGTGGCCTTCTTCACGGTCCTCAATCCATTTACGTTGGGTGTCTTCCTCTTCACCCTGATCTCCCCCGCCGTATTTGGATTTCTGGGTTTCGTGGCGCTGAGTGTGCTGGTCAAACCCTTCTTGCATTTGGTTTTTGGAGTCAAGCGGAACGTGAACGCCTTCGATCGCAAAAGGTGGCTGGCCCACAAGCAGGAGGAGAGGCTGAAGCTCAACCTGAGACCCGTGACCATCCACAAGCACTTCTACCAGAACAACCCGGTGCGCTCTGCTCCGCCGGTGAAGCTGCGTCCAGTTGCCCACTGGAGAAGGGAGGAGAGTGGAGGAGGTGGACCTAGCGGTCAGATGCCTCCCGAATTCCGGAAACCACCACCCATAAATCGTTATAATCCCTTGCTGCCTGACCAACGGAAAGCTTTGAACTATGATCACTCGGATCAGCCTGGAATCTTCTTATTGTAATATTATAATATCTTTTCCAGGCTCCCAAAATAGCAATAAAGGTTCTCAGATATAAAATAAAAGTGCACATATATACAATATAAATGTAAATATAAGAAATAAATAAAATGGAAAACAAATTTTGTAGTTTGATCACTTTGAAAGATAGTTCTTTTGAAATATAAATACTTCAAGTCTATATATGTTTAATTAAATCTAGTTCCAACTGAACTTAAGATATTTAATACATTCTAGCTATAAGGGCATATTTACTTAGTATTATCAGTGGGTTTCCTCTTTTACATGGAGTACTTTTAATATCCTAAATCCGACCCACTATAAAAAAGTTATTTAAAATTGTTAAAATCCTCTGTATAGCTCTTTAAATTAGCAAGGTTTAGCAGTAACGTTTCGGTAAATAAAAATAAATTTTGTACTTTATTTAACAAACAAATTGTATACTTCTGAAGAAACTTTACCCCCAAGGAATGCCAATCTGTCGGCGGGGATGCCACAAACTCAGCTGCTTTTTCACTCCGGCGAAATTTTCGGGGCAGGGGGAGAACCTGGCACTTTGGGGACTTCAGGACCCCCACTCACATGCGTGTGCTGCATTAAAATTAACATGTTGGCAAAGTGAAATTAACAACAGCCCAGCCGAAACCCAATTAAAAAGTTTGGAAGCTGGTAAAGCGGTCGGCAACCGAATCCCGTCCCCGAATTCCTTTCATGAGTCGTAGACCATCCGATGAATGTCCAGTTCCCGCAGGTTGTGCAGGCGTTCGCCGTAACCGTTTTGGAGGAGGTTCTCCTCCCAGCAATCCTTGACAGCAAGGACTTCGTGGAGCGGCAGGGTGAGCTGCAGATCACTCCGCTCGAAGAGCTTTCTGGCATCCCAGCGAAAGAGCTCCACTGCCGTGCAAAATGCTGTGTGCCTTTGCAGGAAATCTTCCATTTGGGGATGTTGGTGGATCAGCTTGTCCAAGGATGCCAGCAGTCGCATCACCAGGAAGCGGCAGTACCGCTTGCGCACGTATGCGATGGGCATCTCCTGATTCACCTGCCGATCCTCTCCTGCCGCCTTGCGGGAGCTACTCCACAAAGCGAGTCCTAGGATAACGACCAACTTGACGCCACCGATATGCAACAGAACAGACAGCGGGGTGATCTCCTCCTGCATCAGCAGGTGGCGCCACCAGAGCAGGTCCCATCCGTGGCAGAAGTACCCGTAGTCCAGGACACCCAGCCCAAGGAGGCAGAGCAGGGCGACGTTGAACACCACACCGTAGTGGAGGCGAAATGGGCGAAGGACCCATCGCCAGAAAGGGAGGATCCCGACCATTCCGAAGGGCAGAAGGTGAGTGAGTCCTGACTTTAAAATTTTGAAACCCAGTTCTGATAGATATATAGTAGGAAAAATAAACGATTTTTCTCGGGTAAGCTAGACAGATGACGAAAACATACATGATATAAGGGTTTTCTAAGTTAAGGATATATTATAAATATAATGCAGAATCACCACTTCACATTCTTTATAATTGAGGGGCTGGAAAAGATTTGGGAGTTACTTTATGTAACCACTGAATGAAAACCATTCAATATATAGGACTTGGGAAGTAGTTTCATTTTCAATTTTGTGTGATTATTTAGAAAAACTAGAAGTGAAATAGTTTGAATGCTTGCTATTTAAATATGTTTTGTTTCCTCTTTATATATTTAATATTTTGTTTTCTAGAACAAAATAGAAATAAACAATTTAAAAGTAAGGAACTGGAACTCCAACACTTTATCTTGTCTCTTTACGAGAATTTCTTAATGCTATTTTCCAGCAAGCAACCAATTATTAGATGACCATTCAAACGATATCTCAAGTTTATGCACTTCCAGCTCTGCTCCTTTGCAGTGTTCCGCTGTTTTTATGTAGTGGCTTAAGCTGACGGTATTGGCACTTTGTTCACACAATGCACAGAGCCAATATCAATTGCGCCTTCGCAATTCGCCAACATTTTGCAGGCCATCATAATGGAATCGCCTTGGGAACGTCATTTTGTTTGGCTCAAAACAAGTCGTTCGTCGCCCGAGCTGCAGTGCATTGTGAAGACGCTGGAGAAGATTGGAAATATTGGAGGGGGCTGCCATTGACAGGGCAAGAAATACACTTGGAAAAAAACATACACATTACAAATTATTCCAACTGCAAATCTTAAGTTTTTTAGTCACATAAAATTGAAACATTGACCAGTTTCATCATGGTTTTAATGTATTTGTTATACAATATTATTATTAGTTGTTTTCTAACGTTTTTTTTCTCAGTGCGGCACTTCGAGTGCAAGCAGGAAATAGAACGAGTAATAATAAATAAAATTTCAGCCAATTCATAAGGATTTTGCATTTTGTCGCTTCAATCAGGCAATTGATGGTCTCTGGAAGAAAGGACAACAGCGGGAGGAGAGCGGGAGGATTCTGCAGGGATGGCGGAGCTCCAGGACCACAGGACATTCGAACGACTGGCAAACAACATTCATTCATATTTGCCAAGTGCCGATTGAAGCTGCCTTTGCATTCTGCTGATCTCCTTCAATGTCGAACCGACACCCGCCACCCATCACCACCCACCCACCATTTCTTTACCGCTCCCCCCTTTTATTCACCCACTGGGAGGACAATGTGCGTATAAATAACGGATTTCCTGTTATAAAATATTTGTAACGACATTTTCCCCGATTTATGTACCCACACACACGAAATATGCATGCTTGCTATATGGACACTGCATCTGAGCTCAAAAAAATAGTATTTGCATTATAAAGGAGGGTTGGAAAATATTTTGAAAAGTATTTCATTTTGAATGCAAGAAATATATTTACGTAATTTTACTACAATTATGACAGAGTGTAATATGTAAGCTTTTTTTATAAAATATTTTGTAATATTATAATATACGCTTGACTTGTTTATTATCTCATTAATTGTAATACTTTAATCATTTAAAAGGATTATATTCTTATGGTGAAATCATTTTGAATGACTCCATCGTCTTGTTTATCAAGTGTGCAATGTAGCTTCTCCCGAAAAGTTTTGCAAAGTTTTTAAAGTTTTCACGAAACCAGTTTTGTTTTTGTTTCAAGGCATGCAATTACATCTATTATGTTGAGCACAGCTGTTTGCTGTGAAATAGTGAATATATTGCAATGTGCCACTGCGAGTGGATGAGCATGTGCCCCGCTCCCGATGTCGCCAGATATGTGTAGATATATATAGTGGCACGATGGCTCCGCCTGCCGCACTCCCCTGCCAATTGCTGCCACTCAGTCATGGCTGACAGTTATGGCTATATGGATATCGATATGGATATATAGTGTGCTGGGTAACGTCTTCGGATTGCAGCTGTCAACGCAGCAGCAAATTCTCGCCCCTCCCAGATGCGCTGCTTAGGAGTCGTGAACGGAGAGCCAGTGGATTGATGACGCTCCGAGTGGCAGTTGCAACTGCAACTGGAGGTGCATAAATCACAGTCATGCACGTGTTAATATCCTTGAATGCGCTCGAGAGCTCCATTGTTGTCAGCGGAAAGGATATCCAGCTCACAAAAGGTAACTGGCGGTGGGTGTGGAGCTCTCCATCCTCCCTTCTCCTTTTGGGGGCGGACAAATGGCCACGGGTCCGGCCACAAATGATGCCGGGGAACGTCTAACTGCCGAATGATTGGCAACACAATTACCCCGGCAATCCAACACAGCTCATCGCATCGAGTTAAGAAACGTGAAGTAGGAGAAGGCGCCCTGGATGATCTGAAACGAAGCGGGAATCAGTGAGATAACCCATCGATGTGAACCACAACATAACCCACTTTCAGCACCGCAGTCAGACTGACCCGGAAATAATTCAGTCCGGTGATGAAGAAGGGCCTCGAGTTGAGTTCGATGGCCAGGGTCAGCAGTCGCATCAGCTTCACATTCTCGCCGGCATTTTCCGACTGGTGAACTATCTGCTCCCAATCGGCGGTGTAGTACATCATGCCCAGTTCATCTGTCTGCAGGAAAGGAAAGAATCCCTTGGACTATATCAAGAAATCAAGAAATAGTAGTGAAGGGACCACCCACCGTTTTGAGGAGAATAGAGCCGAGCATGCCGAGGGCCAGCAACTCCATAAACTTGGCCAGGAACCACACGATGTAGGCCACGTTACCCCAGGGGTTCTGCGGAAAACATTAATGTCAGAAATAATTGAAAATGTTAATTTAACATAGAGCAGCACGTAAGCACCTAGTTAACTTTAACATTTAGTTATTCTAATATTAATCTTATGTTTTAAAATATTTACGGTGATATTAATTTTAATGATAGTTCATATATAATTGTAAACTTCATAATGCCTTTAAAAAAAAACATTTTAAATGTAAACGATATTGTTACTCTACCTTTTTGTGCTTATAACCCTTTTTCAACATAGAAGCTGATTTTAATAATACCCTATGCAAGGGTATTTGTATCTAAAATCAGATCTTTAAATATGAAAACCTGTAGTAATAGAAGTTTAAAGCAGAATAAAGTGGATAAAAACAAGGCTAGTTCTGTTTGACCAACCAAACTAAAAGAAAAAACACTTCAGCTAGAGAACGGCAACTGAAGGATAAACGATTTTTCTTCAAGATGCAGAACTTGTCGTTTTTAAAGACCCCAAATTGTACGCACCGTGAAGGCCTTGAAGAAGAGGGCGCAGAGCAGACCGGCGCTGAAGGCGAACATGACGAAGATGCGCAGGCTGAACTCCTCCTCCATCCGCTGGACGAAGTCCCTGAGGGCCGCGTTTCTGCGCAGGATGTGGGTCAGGGCGCGGCGATAGCTGGAGGCCACCTGCTCGGTGGTGCGCCTCTCCAAAAGGCCGCGGGCGGAGCGACGGAGGTCCTGGCCCAACTGGACGTAGCGGGCGTTGAGGTGTATCATCAGCTCGCCCAGCACATTCAGTTCGCCGAAGAGCATGCTGGTGATGACGAAGCCCACCCAGAAGTTGAGCCCCAGCAGCGGAACGAAGTAGCGCAGCTGGGTGTTGTCGAAGGGGTACACCTGCTTGTAGAGCATCTCCCGGCGGTGGTAGATGACGTTCGTCACCGGGACCACGAAGAAGTTGAACAGCGCCAGCAGATAGACGGTCGAGTTGAGTCGCGTGGGCAGCATCTGGCTCTGGATCCCAGCGAACAGGTGCGGCTCCGCCTCCTGGCGCACATAGATCTCGGCGTAGAAGCGCTCCAACAGCAGCCGGAAGCGGTCCTTGTGCCAGGCCAGCTGGTAGCAGCGGATCTGCATCTCCACCAGGATCAGGTACGTGGGCATGCCCGTCAGCAGGTTGTCCATGTCCCGTCGGTTGGCCACCAGGTAGTGGAAGTCCACCTCGTTGTGCTCGCAGAAGACCAGGAAGCCGAGGAAGATGAACAGACGGTCCAGGAAAACAATCCAGCCACTCGAGTTCGCCTCCAGCGGCCAGGCGATGTGGTTGAGCGTCCTGTACAAGGACACCGGCCAGGGCATCGGGGCCAACTCGCCGCCGGGCAGACGGGGTCGATAGCGATATCCCAACATGACTGCACGTCCTCCGTCCGACGGAGCGCTCCATTTATATTCAAATTTTAATTGCCGCCGGCCCGATGAAATATTAAATCCATGGCCCCGCCATAAATTATTCAGATTCATTTGCGTTTGTCAAAATAAACCCGAAATCGAAACCAAAAGCCAGTCACAAAACAGACCGTTGCTGATTTGCTTTCCATTCGGAAAGCCAATCAAGTGCCAGCGCTTCGAGTTAATTGCGGACTGATTATCAGGGCTTTAAGGATGGGCACCACTTTAAAATTAAACCACATAGGATCAGTAATAAATAATAGCTTCTCATCGCTGGTTTAATTTTAAAGTTGTATTTGATATGCAAAATCTTACTGCTAATGGAGGGAAATTGTAAATCAAATTAAATTTGTTTCAGAGTCAAGCTGCGTTTTTCTTGTATTTAAACTTATTAATTAAAATAAAAATTAAAAAGCACTCCCTTTTGAATTTTGTTGTGCGTTATGTTTAATATTTATGTTTTCTGAGTTATCAAAAATATTCATGTGGCTTTTAATTGCAATGCGATATATAATCAGACTGCAGCTTAATCCTACATTTTACCTACATTTTAAATAAGTGTTTAGTTAAAGAACACAATTAATTGATTTGTAAGCTTCAAATCAAAGTGCTGTTAAGAGTGCGGAGCTAATCAAGGATAATCACTCAAGTTCCCCAGGCTAGCTCAACTTAAAAATCAAATCATTCCCGTAATCCGTTCGCTTCATTGCATTCCGCTCCCGACGGACGGCCGCAAACAATCATTTTTATGATTATGCTAAAATAACACTGACATAATTCCAATAAAAGCGAAATTGCCTCGGCACAACGACTGGCAGCTCGGCCTTTGTGCGCCAGGTGAGCTCGGCGGGAGCCGAGGACCAGGTGCCACCCACATCTGGGGGGCTCCTGCCTTGGTTTCCCCGAAGTACGCACCTGGGAGCAGCTGCTCATGTGTGGGAATGCCCCGGATCCTTGCCATATCAAAGGACGACCGAAGAGGCGTCGGAGCAGAGCAAATTCAATTCACTACTGTTGATTCTCCCCTCTCGTTGTTCTTGTTCTTGTTGTTGTTGTTGTTGTTCTTTTTCTTTTTTGTTTGATAAAAGGATGAAAAGGCCCGGGAAAGGCCAACGGAAAAGGGGGAAGGGGGAAAAACACCCAAATAATATTAATATGCAAATTGAGTTTTTTAGTTGAGTGATCTAAGCGGATAACCGAGGGCCAAGTCAAGGCGAACGCCGGTCTCAAGGGACCAACAAAGGACGCGGATGCGAATGCGGATGCGGATGCGGATACGAAGTCCCTCTTCGGGGCATTTTGTTTTTTGCTTTATTGATTGCCGGCGGGACGGCACGAGCGTATCTGGAGCAGCAGCCGGCTTAAATGCCAGTTTCGTCGAATCAATTGAAATCATATTTTATTAAACGTTTACTGGGCCATTTCCCACAGCCGCCGCGGGTGCACGAATCTGCGAAAATATTTACAAGAAGTCACCAGCACCAAAGGAACAACCGCCGGCGGCATTGAACGCATCAAATATAAACACATAAAAAACATTATACGTACGGGTACACATAAATCCGTATCCGTGTCTGTATCTGTATCTGTAACTGTGCCAGTCTCAGTATCTGTATCTGTAGCTGTAGCTGACGCTGTGTGGGCCGTCGGCAAACTCCGGGTTATGGAATTCTGCTGATTCGCTTGCTTTTTTGCGTGAAAACAAATTCCAAAAGAAATTGAAAACAGCCAGACGCAGATTGAAAGCAAACGAGCGGCGATGGACGAGGACGGCAAACAGAGAGTCCTGCGAAAAGGCACGAACCTCGGAAAGCTGCAGCACCAGCAGTCTGGGAAAAACCGCCCGAGGGATTGGCCAAATGTCACGCAACTTTCAGCCACATCCCCTTATTCCCCGATTCCCCGATTCCCGATCTCCGAAACCCGATTCCCAACCAAACGGTGTTCGAACGGAAAGGCAAGCCAAACACCGTGCCCCTGCGAGCAATTGATTTATAATTACGAGCACCAGCAAAGACGACCGGAAGTGGGCCAACCAAAGCCGTTTCGGCGGATTTGCTCAATTAGCCAGCTCAGACATGAAACCGATACCGAAACGGAGACCCAAATGGGCAGTGGGTTTAAATGGGGTCTGCACGCAGAAAATATGTAAACTAAAACAGTCAAAGTAACTCTAGAAAAACGTTTACTTTGCAATCTTCTTAGGAACATAATAATTCATTTTAAATCTAATCTCTTTTTTCTTAGAATTTTATGTTTAACAAACCAACAATTTTCAATTGAGGTGCATATGCATATGTATATATATTTAAATTATCCTTAAACTATATTTATTTTTAATTGGGGCGCATTAACTGAGTAACAAAGTAAAAATATGTATCGTAACCTAACCAAGAGAGTAGTTTTCAATAATACAAATCAAAATAAATTATTTTAATTGTATTGACTCAGTTTCGGTGTAAAATTTCAAATGTATAGTACAAACGAATTTCTGAGTGCAGTCTGCTACATGCCCCGCAGTGCGTAATTTCCGTCGCCGCCTTTCTTTTCGCTTTTAAGTTGGCGGCGCCTTCACCGATTTCAGCGCTCCCTTCCACCTGTGGCTCACGTGGCGTATGAGTGACCAGATATGCTTCCTACCACGAAAATCCCTGCCTAGCAGCGCGCTATGAAAAATATATGCAAATTGGTTTATTTTCATAAGGCAGGCCAGCCCAAGGCCCTGTGGTTCTGGCCACGTGTGTCCGCCGAGGCACACCATCAGCATCACTCAGGTAAAAAGGAAAAAAAATACGGAAAGGCATAAAAGAATATGCTGATGCATCGGGGAGTGGGAGCTGCCCATTGTCTAGACATAATTGGCAGCCGCCTCCGAAATCTGGTCAGTATAACAAAGGAATGGTATTTACTTTCCGAAAATTCCCCGAAACACCAGGCTTATGCTGCCAGTCATAAATTTAAGTGAAAATGGTCTTATTTTCAAAAGGATTTCCAGCATACAAGAGTGCCAAGTAATTCTAGGAACATCAGATATCAAGCTCAAATCAGTAGCTTCATAACTATTTTCTAAAAATAAATGTGCAAACTCGCTGCAATCCCTTTCTTTAATTTAAAAGGAGTCAGGGCTTCAAGAAAATACTGATTTAAAAATCTTCATTGATTCATTATTCATATCATGTAAACGCACTGATTTTTAATGTCCCGCCCGATTACTAATTCATTGCTGAGGGTCTTTAAAGAACAGCTAGATTTGCACAAGTGAAAGCCAAACAAATTCTGCTCGCCATCTTTGTATTCATATCGAGTATACGCACTGATTCCCGATTTAGGGCATGATTCGCAGACTGTTAAAAAAACATAAGCGGAGTCATTTGAAATATGCAAGGAAGAAACCAAAAAAAGGGGCAAGTGGAGCGGTATTCATCCTGACAGTCAGCCGAACACCTCACTCCTCCCCACAGCCCCTGAATAATTAAGATGTCTGTGGCAAGGCAGACCAGCACACTCGAGGGATAACCCACACCCACATGATGATCCGATTGAGCGGAGGGCGGAAGGGCCAAGAAAGCTGCAAATCGAACACGCAGGTTTACATGCGCCTAATCCCGTTGTCAGTCGGAAGGCCCAAGGCTTCCCCCTTCACCACCTTCACCTCTTGTGCCTTCTTCACCTTGCGTCGCAGTCCTGCAAGTCCTGCCGAAAGGCCTCAAGCATGTCAGTTATTTTGTTTACAAGAAAACATAAATCTCGGCTCCTGCGGCGGGTTGGAGTGTGTCTGTGTGCGGTCGAAAGGATTGCCAGCCGCTGCCGTGTGAAATGGAACATATCATCACATCCCCCACCCGCACATATGTGTGGCTGTTGGACGGGGTTACCGGGGCTCACCCGAAAAAAAAAGAAAAGAAAAAAAGAAACCAAAAGACCAAAAAAGGACCAGGGATGAGTGCCTTGGGTTTGGCTGGAGCCCGAAAGGGTGGCAAAAGCTTTGGTTTGCACGCGTCAACTGTAAAATCCTTTTGACATGCAGCCGGCTACTCTTTGGTCCGAAACTGGCCATAAAAAATGGGCTTTGGAAGCTGGGAATCCAATTATAAAGAATTTTAAACTATGTAGCGTGAACAGGACACTTAAAGCGGGCCAAAAGGGAAACCGAGCAAAAGCCAGGTTATTAGCGGATGTAGCCGTGTGTGCGACTGAGTGTGCGTGTGTGTGTGTGTGTGTGTGTGGTGGTGGTGGTGTATGTAGTGTGTGGGCAAGTTATTAAAAGGAAGCAAGTTCTGACAGCTCACAATCATTCAAGGGCTCACCCAGCTGAGCTCCTGCGACCCACTGTATAAAAATTGACGTGAAATTTATACGCCATTCCCGGGTTTTCGGGATGCCAGTTGAAGAAAAAATATAGCAACAATCCATAAAGTAAATGTAGCATTTAAACAAACAAACCGGGCGACATCGCAGTTAGATGGGGCGGGGGACAAGGGTGTGGGGAATCCGTAGAGGATCCCAGCCAGGACCAAGAGCCGGGAGCCGGGAGCTGGGAACCAGGAGCCAGGAGCCAGGAGCTGTGACAAAACACTGCAAGCCAAAACTGACAGTGACAACTGGCTGGAGTGACGGGGAAGCACAAGGAGCGGCGTTGATGATGTTGCCCCACTCCGAGGGGCAGGAAAAAATTGACATAAGCGGATATGTTACCCAGCGCCTTTCGTTCTTCTTTTTTTCGTTTTTTTTTTTTGTTCGCTTCGAAGGGGGCGGTGGATGCCCGGGTGGGCGTGGCATTGTCCCACATAGGCGGCGGCTGCATGAGCAGTGAGCAGATAAATTAATGCGATTTTTCATGTTGCATGCTTGAGTTTGATTTATGCAATTATATGTCTCTATATGGATGGCGTAGCATGTGTGTCCGACTGCGTGAGTGCGGGTGACAGACAACTTTTGTCAAATACGTCTAAAAGCAGTCATTTTTTATATTTGATATAGGGAGGGGATGCTGGGAACGTTTCCGGTTCGTTACCTACGCGCAATGAGAGCTTAAGGGAATAAGTTGCCCCATTGGGGATACCCTTCAATAAGTAGGGTTCACTTGCTCAGGGAAATTATTGAGGTACGTCAGTCGCCAGAACAAATACAATTAAATGTTTGAGAAATTAAATATTATTATATGAAAGGTATATTTTTAAGTTGTTTAGGAAATATATTCTCTGTAAATAGTGAAGATTCAAAACAATAATTGTGATTATTTATGAGCATATTTGACTAACAAAAAGGTTTAGTATTTGCTTTTATGTTCTTCTACCTTTTATCTTCTTCTTCTAATTAAAATGAATTCTAGCAAACAAATATTACAATCTGAAAACCTAAATGTTTTAATTAAATTTTTTAAATAAATAGCTCTTGGTAATGAATATAAGTTGATGAATTTAAATACTCTCAATTTCTGTATCTTATGCAACTTTTTAATGGCTCACAAGAAAAATATTATTTTTTTTTTTTGAAAATCTTTTGCTTTGTTACTTAGTTATTTTAGCCTTTCCAAATAGTGGACCAACCGCCGATGGAAGGGCAAAAACAATCGAGTCGGGAACACAGCCGGCTGGCCATGTTAATTTGTCATGATGCCACTTGCTTACTAGTTCTGCCTGTGGTCCACTCATCCGGCGGCCAGCCAGGAACACTCGAGCTGCATACGGAAATTACACAACAAATGGACTTTGGAAGCCGGCTCTTCTTCGTTTTTCTGGTATCAGCAGAACGACAACCTGAAATCTGGCCAAATCCGATTAAATGCAAATGGCCCCGCAGCCCTGAGGTGCACACATCCATAGCGCAGATTAGTTGCGTAAGTTATCAGCGGGGCAGGGAGAAGGGTTAGATGGGTCAGGTGGTACAGGTGGGTCAGGTGGCGCCAGATTTGAGTGGTTGCACTGCAGCAGTCGTCAGTCAGGCAAACACTGCAGCCATTCCCAGTGGCCGAGCGGTTATACGACTAATTAATATTTCAATGGCCGATCCGGTTGCATGTCTCTCTGCGAGACTTTAAAGCCCGGCCAAGTTGGAGCTGGAGTCTCGAGGCTCCTCTCCTGCTCCTACTGCTTCTCCTGCTGCCAAACGGCTGAATAGCTGAGCATGGAAACTCATTTCGGCCATTAACGGCGAGAGTCGGTAGTCGTGAGACGCCGTTTCAAAGGAAATGACAGCCATTTCCATTTTTAGCTGCGCTTGGGAAAGCCAGCAACTGGCGCGCCAGGAAGGTCTCTTTAAACTGGAACTACACAAATTGCTTGTTTAAAATATGCGCTAAAAAAGGCAGCCACCCAGCACCCAGCCAACGTCCTCGCATCCCCTTGTATTTGAACATTGTCGCAAGGCATCAGCATCAGGATTTTATGTAGCACGAACATGCGCCACCACCCCCGAACCAAAATCCAAAACCAAGCCAGACCAAACCAAGCCAAACCAAACCGAACAGAACCGAACCGAACTGAACAAAAAGGCCACTAGACGACGAGGAAAATAAAAACGCCACTTCCGTTTTATTTGCGCAAAATTAAATAAACCGAAATATGGCTGACCATATTGGCGCATAATGGGCAAAAATATTTTTTTCATTAATGTCCCATGCCCCGGCGGAGTAGATGGCAAAATAAATAAATAAGCGGAGCCAAAAAGGAAAGCCGAAAAGTAAAAGCTCCGCCTGCGACCGGCTTATTGTGTGTCAATATTTGGCTGACCAGGCTAAGTGAGTTCCTGGCCAACGGGCGGAGGTGGAATAATAAAATCATTTTAATAGTTTCGCCGCCTGCAGTTTGGCCGGGCTTTGCGGAGCTCAGTGAAATTAAAATACCGCGTCGTTAAAGGTGACTCCTTTTGCAATTTCAATGATGTCGTATAGTCGCCAAGCATTCAATTCAAATATGATTTGATTCATTAAAGGAACAACCATTGTTTTTCATGGTTCAGGATCTTTAACCCAAGCAAAAGGATTATTATATATTGTTAATAATATATAAACATGTTACACTTTAACAAAGCAAATCAACGTAAACTTAAACATTGACGATAAATTGAAAAAATCCAAACAAACTAAACAGTGTATTGGGTTTTCCCATCTTGCGGCGCTTTTCCTTTCATCAGCTGACAAGTGTTCCTCTTAGCCTGCTCTTGTTCGTCCTCGTCTGAAGGATAGTTAAGCCGCTTCAAAGCGATATTAGATGAAAATTTGTGTAAGCCGTAAAGAAAAAGCCCATTGAACGAGGGTGTGAGACGATTGCCAATCGAATTTAATGCGCATTTCTTTTTAAAGTGCCAGCAGCTGGGGCTTCTTTTGTCAACGGCGGGGTATTAGCACCCAAGCCCAGCCATCTCACCCATCCCAAGCATTACAACCACCCGTTTGGGAGCAAGCCAGCGAGCCGCACTAATCAACACAATTACGGAGCAGTCGAAGGAAAACTTTTCTAATTGGATATGAAGACGCGCACATGCGTTCCCTTAAAGGAATTTCACTCCATCAGCGGAGCGTCCAAATATTGTGACAAGAAAATGGCTCACGACAAGGCGCCAAGTTCCAACTCCGATTCCCATTTTAGGCATCGCAACTCCGCCGGCTGAAATGCTTTGACAAATTATTTTTAAGCCAATTTACAACTTGAGAAAAAGTATCAGGAAAACATATCACACCACACACAGGGAACAGGAGCAGGAGGCGTTAAGTTGGGTGGGTGTGGCTGGCTGGGTGCTTGTGTAGGTAAAGCAAATATAATGCGAGGGATAAAAGTGTAAAGTTGACAACCCAGGCACATTACTCACCCGAGGTGCCAGGCACCCAGCCATCCAGCCATCCAGCCAGCCAGCTATCCGGCCACATGGGAGCAGGGGTAGCATTAAAATAACCAGCCAACCGATTCCACGTCAAGCCAGGGCCCAGAATTGAACATGGCCAAGGGAAATGGCAATGGTAATGGTAATGCGGCCGGTCGAGAGCGCTTCCTCGAGGGCCTGTGTTTGCGACTCCTTCATTTCGCACTACTTGGAAGCGTTTTCTCAATGTCTCTCAGTCGACAGTGTCGGCGGAAACCATTAATTTTGTCACTTTCGGAAGTGTAAAGTGGCGCGCATGTGGGCGTCGCAGGCCGGGCCATTGACCAGCTCGCCAACTGGCTGGCCAATAGTGAGAATCATGGAGGGGCAATTAAAGTCGGGCACCTGTGTGCACCTGTCCGCGAGTTTATCTTGCCGTCTGACTTCCAAACAAGTTAATTGCACAGACCGCAGGCACATGACACTCGGTGACCGCGAAACCACAACAGTCGTGTTGGTCGTGTTGGCTTAATAATTACAAATGCATAATTTAATAGTTACGAATGATGGGGAATACCCGGGGGCACCAAACGATAGTCGAGTCGGGAAATGATGCTTAGAGATAACGAGTGATAAAGGGTAATATAAAGTCATAGCCAGTTGCACCAATTGTACGGTGGCCGGATCAGTCTTCGATGACGCACATTATGTTGATGCCGCTCTTGCCCAGATTAACGCACTCCAGCGCGGACTCCTGCTGCTGGCGCATGTAGATCAGGAACTGTATGATCACGTAGAACAGGTTGTTCCTGTCGTGCACGCAGTTGTGCAGCTCCTTGTCGCTAATGAAGTTGAACTTGGGGTTCAGCTGGTTGCTGGTGGTCAGAATAGCGCAGTGCGCCTTGTTGTGCACGGCATTCACCACGTCCTTGGTGGAGCGCTTCTCGTCGCGGATCAGGACGTAGCGGGAGTGGAAGGGTCGCCCACCGCCCTGCGGCAACGGCATCAGCTGGCTATCCAAGTACACGCAAAACAAGTGGAACAATATCTGCGGAATAAGGCTAGATGTTACGAGAACCACGATCGGTTTCCTAATGCAAAGCACTTACTGCTGCGTCGGTGGGCAAGTGCTCGCCCCACTCCTGGCCGTTGTGCGTCTTGCCCGAGTTCCAGCGGTAGTCGGCTATGCAGGAGCCCTGTGCCAGCTCCTTGATGCGCTGCACCAGGTACTCCTGGTTGCTAAAGGTGTCCAGGAAGGGCAGCAGCATGGGCAGCATGGGCGCGCAGGTCTGCACAAACTGCTGATTCTCGGCCGTCTTGCGCAGCCTCTCCAGACTCACAGCTCCGATCTTCAGATCGATAAGACCCCGCTGGCGAAACACATCGTCCACATAGTTGATCTCCTTGACCAAACGTTGCAGTATGGTGGTGGAAATCCACTGAAATGCATGAACTTTAGTATTTTTGAAAAGCAAGCTTTTGAGACTGCTTACGAATCGCAGGTTGGCCACGTATTGCGACAGTTTGTCCGTGGATATGCGCTTGATCACCTCCGAATTGCTGTCCCTGAACTGGAAGCCGCCGAACTCCTCAATGGAGGTGGGAGCATTCTCGGTGGAAGCGGCCGGCGCAGGTGACAACTGGTAGATGGTGGTCTTCAGCATGTAGGCCGCGTTGTTGCAGTAGTTCCAGAAGGAGTTGGCCGAGCCCATGTTCTGGACGTTGGGCGCCTCCGAGCTGTCCACCATGCTGCGCTCCCGCTCCGCCTGCTTCATCAGAGCGGGCAACTTGCGAATGTCGGTGATGAAGTCATCCCGGCGCACCTCTGCGTACGGGGACATGTAGGTGGACTCGTTGCTTAGGTTGCTGGCGTTCAGCGAGTTGTTCTGCACCATCGACGAGTTGTATGAGGCGTTCTGGTTCGCCTGCTGGGGAGTTCTTGTGGGACTGGGACTGCGGCGCATCGACTGCGAGCCCCAGCAAGAGTCCTCGAAGGACGAGTGCCAGTTGATGATGGGAATGTCGTCCTCTACGTCGGTATCGGGCTCGTAGTTGCGAGGCTTCTTCACCGCCCGGGTGGAGACTGTCCTAAAGGAGTTCTCTGAAGAATGCCAAAGCAGTTTATTATGGTTAGCTTCAATGTTATGCGGGGTTCTTGTAGTTTCCTCACCTTCCTGGCCATCCAGCAAGCACTTCTGGCTGTCCGTACCGATCACCTGGTCGCCGCCAAACCATAACCACAAATACTTGCCGAAACAGGCGAGGGCACTCAGCGCCATCAATGTGGTGATCGTGCATTCGGCGAGGAACCAGTAAGTCCGGTAAACCGACCGGCACGCCTGCCAGATGTCCAGCAGCAGCAGCGACACGAGCACCACATTTATGGAGCACCATTTGAGGTAATGTCGAGCCTGGGCGCCCCGCAACCGCAAGTCGAGGCTGCGCTGCACCACCGGATTTCTGCTGAGCGGCGAGCTGTGGAGTGGTTCGTGTTACTTATCGACAATTTAAATTAATTCTGCTGTCTCACCAGTTGCCCCTAGAGAAATTCATCGTCAGTAGCGAAGAGGCAATGCAAAACTTTGGGAAATGGCGAAAATGCCGGGAAATTGGCGCAATAGAAAAGTGTGGCAGTCGTTTGTTTTTTTTGGTATTTCGGGTCTTTTCCGCTGGAGGCGCTTTCGCCTTTTGCGTTAACAGAAACTTTTAACAGGATTTCTATCCGATGCACCCTCCACCTTAGCGAGCACACCAACCCAACCTATCTCAATTATTGAATTTAAAGAGCGGGACATTTAAATTTGAAAATCGAATTGAGTAATTACATATGTAAACAATATGGTATTTATTGACCCCGAATATCAATTATTAGTTATTAATAAGAAAGTCAAAGGTCCTGTAAGACCGTGATCTAAGATCCCTGCAGCCAAATACGCTTCACTAAACAAATTTGCATGCCCGGAATTACCATAATATAGAAAATGTTTCTAAATTTCTATTTCTTACATGTTTTTGTTTAATAAACAATAAGAACTTTTTTTAACCCCCAGTGTAGTTTTTCGAGCTTGTTTTAATTTGAGCTGTAAATGTTATTTTCCGAATAAACTTTTTTTCCACAAAAAATTCATACCTGTATTTATAGAACACTAACTTTGAGTGTTTTCAGGCTTAAAGCTCTTTTTTTTCTTTTTTTTCTAGGTGATTAACAATTTCTCAATAAGCTTTTGTTGATAACATCTATTAGTGTTATTCCAAAGGCTCATCGGACGTAAGCAACAAAACCCAGACTCAGTACTGTTCAAAGGTTCCTCAGTTTAACTGCTTATTCGGAATTAATATGTTGAAGGCATTCAAATTCTGCTTAGTCTTGTTCCTTTCGTGGAATTTTTACGGATCCTTGGCCGAGGACTCTTCTGTGTGTCTTTTGCACGACTCGCCAAACCAATGTGGAGCATTCTGCCTAGAGGCGCTGAAGCCGTTGCTCGATCATATCGCTTTTCAACAAAAGAAGCTGAATGAGACCCAAGCGAAGCTGGATCAGAGAGAGGCTTCCTGCGAGAATGCCATCTCTCATGAATTGCAGACAAAACTGGAGGCGATTGAAAATCAACGGTCAGCGATGCAGGAACTACTATCCAAAGTAAACAAGAAACTCATAAATACGCATCCGTACGTTCGGATTGGTTCGAGATTGATTTACGTCGAAAGCAAAAATCCTCGAAATTGGGAGCAAGCTGAAGCGTTCTGTCGTGGGATAAACGGTCACTTGATCACAATCCAGAACGACTCCGAGCTGAGCGCTCTGAATGAAAAGCTGAAGAGAAGCACTTCCTACTGGCTGGGAATCACTGACGTGGCCAAGGAGGGCGAGTTCGTGTCCGTGGCTTCCGGCAAGCCACCTGCCTTTCTCAAGTGGTTTAGCTCCCAACCCGATAACTATAACGGAAATCAGAACTGCGTGGTTTTAAATGACAGCAAAATGTGGGACAGTGACTGCAGCTACCTTAAACTTTTTGTTTGCGAGGCGACTTTTGATTAGAAGAAAATGTTTGGTTATAATAAACAGATTATTCAAAAATAAACATTAGAAGCGTACTAGTATTATTGAGAATTTATGGAAATCAACAAAATCCCTTAAATTAAAAACAAAAAACAAAAAATTTTATATCAGTTGTTTCTTTATTGGAAGTGAAAATAGACAGTTGAATTGCTTCCTACGATTCCTGTGTCAAGTTGATAACCCCGCCTGGGAAACCCATAGATTACGGAAGCCTTATCACCAATGAAAGCAGATTTTCCGTGAGTGTTAAGTTAAATTCACTTACAGTGTTTCAAAAGCGGTTGCCTTCGGCGGTCTAAGACTCCCGAAAACATGTTCATTTGTCCACTTAAATGATCATCCTCCTTGCATGCGATCCTTGGATCATCGGATCCTTGGCCACTGGCCAGGACATTGGGAGATCCGTGTGCAGAGAAGCAGCACTTGCGATTCCCAGAAACTCAACGAGACTCATTTTGACCGCCAACCATGCTGTGTGCTTGTGCCGGAGCTGAAAATAAATATGGATTAAGTTCGATTAAAATTCATAGTATACGGAAAAAGAGCATGTTGTGAAGGAGTTCAACCGCTGAAGGCAATCGCTTTAAAATCAATGTAAGAGGGTTTATCTCAAGAATTACGGGGAAACGACAGGTATTGGTGATAAGGCTTTAGCAATCTGTGGATGTGGGTAGCGGGGTTATCAACTTGACACAGGAATTGTAGAAAGTATGCGCAATTGTCTGTTTTCAGTTCCAATGAAGAAAATACTCTTAATTAATTTGTTGTTTTTTAAGTTTAAGGGTTTTCTTTGATTTCCATAAATTCTTAATATAACTAGTAAGCTTCTTATGTTTATTCTTGAATAATCTCTGTATTATAACCACACAATTTCTTCTAATCGAAATTCGCCTCGCAAACGAAATAATTCAACTGGCTGCATTCGTCGTCGTACATTTTGCCGTTGTAGATATCCACACAGTTCTGTTTATTGGGTTGGGAGTCTCCCCACTTGAGAAAGGGGACCTGGCTTGCCGGAAGCCACGGACACAAACTCGCCCTCCTTGGCCACGTGAGTTAAGCCCAACCAGTAGGAAGAGCCACTCTTCAGCTTTTCATTCAGAGCGCTCATCTCGGAGACGTTCTGGATTGTGATCAGGTGACCGTTTATCTCACGGCAGAACAATTCAGCATCCTCCCAATTTCGAGAATGTCTGCGTTCAACGTAAATCCATTTCGAGCCAATACGATCCAGGTACCGATTTACGGTTTTCTTGTTCACTTTGGATAGTAATTCCTGCATCTCTGACAGTTGCTGTTCAATCGCCTCCAGTTTTGTTTGCAGGTTGTCCATCTTAGATAGCTGACCCTCGATTCTGTCCAGCTTCTTCAATGCCTCACACTGGTTTTGCGGGTCGTGCAAAAGACACACCGAAGTGTCCTCGGCCAAGGAGCCCAGAGAATCCCACGAAAAGGACAAGACGAACCAGTAAGTGGTCAACTTCAACATATTGATTTCGAATAACTAGAGAATCACGCGAGTGTTTAAACAGAACTGATTCTGGATTTATTTACCTAAGTCCGATGAGCATTTGGAATATCGCTGATAGGTGTTATCAACAAAAGCTCATCGAAAACCCCAAAATCAGCTCTTAAAAATAAAACAATGAGAGCTTAAAGCCTGAAAACATTTATTGCTCTCATAAAATATGTTCTTCATAAGTATGTTTATAAATCTCTTGTTAAATTAAAGCAATTACAATATAAACAATCTGTCTTTTAAATATAGGGATTCACATCTTGTTATCTAAAAAAAACATTTTTTAAAAATTTAAATTTGGGTAAATGTAATATATTGTATTACTTCCTGATTAATAAATTTCCCGGATTTCCCTGTGCGCCTTCCCAGCTCGTCTTCTCCTCCTCCGCTTGCCCACCACTGGAGGTCCGACTCCGACTCCCACTCCGATCCCGGGAACGGGAACAGGAGCCAGCTGGAGCAGGAGGGCATTGCTGATCAGGGCGGCGGCCATGCCCGTGTCCTTGTAAAGGTCCTGGCTCGTAGTCATGCTCATTGGCGGAGCCGTAGTCGTCGGCTTGCATTCCAGTTAAGGCGGCGCAGGGCAAAAAGTAAATAGCTCTTTTTGGACAGATTCTATACGATCAGCGTGTACTCCGTATTGAGGACTCCAAGCAGGTGCCCATACTCAAGGATTGCCCGAACCAACGGTGTGAATAAAGTATTGGTAACAAAAGGATTCTTAAATTTATTCGACCATCGTTTAATAAATCCATGCATTCCCCTAGACTTATTAACTATTTTCAAAATATGAAGAGAGAATTTAAGTTTAGGGTCCAAGAGGACTCCAAGATCGTCAACAAGCATTATTCTTTCCCAGAATTTCCACTTAGCGAATAGGTGACGTTATGCAGATTGACCCGACAAAACGTCATCAGCTTGCACTTAGAGCTGTTTACATATAGTAAGTTATCGTGACATCAGTTTGTAAATTTCTTAGGTCTGATTGAAGGTTTAAATGACGCGAGTATTTATTATACTGCAGACACAGTTTTACATCGCCCACGTACATAAGAATTCGGGAATGCGGAATGACCAATGGAAGGTGGCTTCCTTGTGGTACACCAGAGGTAACTCTGCGGAGACTACTTAAGAAGTTTTTGAAAAGGACTCTTTGTGTCTGGTCACTGAGATAACTAAAGATCAGCTGGAAACCCTATCATGTCAAGTTTGCGTATCAATCGGAAGAGATTTACAGAGTCAAATGCTTTACAGAAGTCTGTTAAAATTAAGTCTGTGTGAAAATGATTTTGAAAGCCATTTATCACAATGGCGCGAGCTTTAAAAGATTTGTTGTAGTGGAGTTATTAATCATTTAAACAAGGGGAAACTGACAAGTTTGTAGGGATAGGGTAAACAGCTTGAGAAGGGGTTTACACGGTGCATTAGCACAGTATTTAAGAACACACCCAGGAATCCCGTCAGGACCTGGGGAGTAAACTGGTGTATTACGCTGGAGATCCAAAAGGACGTAACTTTCGTTTTCTGGTATGGCGTATAAATATTGCTCACTTGAATAAGACACTGTTGAGTAAGTCGTTAGCGGAACAAACGAGTTAAAATAAAGTTTGATAAGGGAATATAGTATTGTAATGGCATCTTCCATTTTATTGCAGGAGTAGAGATCGGACCAGTCATTGCTAGATATACGATGATAGTTAGCCCGGCGACTTTATAACTGAAAGGTGTCTTAAATAGTCTGTAGGATCGGACGAACGAGGTATGTAAGAGCTGGTAATAAAAATTAACCTGCCGGGGCAGACACATAATTTACACATAAAAATTTCAATTTGAAGTTCAAAGAATCTTCTGTCAAAACCTCTCCACCGCAATAAGGACGCCCCCTCCCCGTCTAGAGGGACCCTATGTATTGCCTATATATTGTGTACTTACCCGGAAAAACTTCGGAGCTAAAGATCTCCTACTTTAACCAGGTTTCTGTAAACACAATATCTTGGGATGCAAACGAAAAGTTATCGGAATACAATTTGGCTAGCTTGCTACGCAAACCTCTTGTGTTCTGATAGCTAATGAGGAGGTACATATGTGGTTAGTTTTTTGATGGAGGAGCTAAAGACGGCGTGGTTTGTTGAACAATTCTCGAAAACATAGAAAATTAATAAAAAAAATCAACATATCTTCGATGTTGTCCAGCCATTATTTATTTCCAATATTTCGATTTATTTGATGACTGCAAGGGTATATAAGGTTCGGCTTGCCAAAGCCAGATTCTTTTCTTGTCTTCTTTAATATTTACTACTTTTCAGACTTTTGTTCATATGACAGCTATATGATATAGTTGTCCGATTTTGATGAAATTTAATTTGAAATTCAAGAGTCATTAGAAAACTCTATATTCCAAAACTCATGATCATGCTCATAGAATTAAATACAATGTTATAATTTTTTACCATTTTATATATATACTAGCTGACCCGGCAAACGTTGTTTTGCCACCAGATGACTTTATAATTTCTGTACATTTACTCAGTTTTAGACTTACATATGTATGTATGTTTGTTATTAAAATTGCGTCTGGCATAAAATGAATCAAGGTTATTATAATCACAACGTGCATTTACGCGATTGGCAAGTGCGCTTCCGGAAGCCTCTCCGCCCATAAAGTAGATTTGTAAGAATTCATGTGGTTCATTTGGCATTGGCAGCAGTGAGCCCATTTTATGATAATTTTGAATGTAGAATTGTAATTTTGACGATTTGCATTAGTATTTCGAAATATTTCTGTTGCTCCGAACGATGTCATTTGAAAGCATGAATTAAATGTTCCAATTGACTTCAGGAACACGTTATTCATATATAAATGCTCGATGTACCTGTTGTCGTTGTTGGTCATTTGTTCTGCATCTATTGACTGTGAAACGGCGTGATTGTCGTTGTTCTAATCTTCTGACTTCATTGCGTTCTGCTCGTGTTTCTTCTGGCTCTTCTCTGACTTCATGGCGTTCAGTTCGTGTATCTTCTGGCTCTTCTTGATGCAATTGCGCTATTCTTTCGGATCTTCTATTTCGCATGTATCGAAATCTACTTGTATCATGGCTCAAATCTCCACTTAGCGTTTTCTTGGCATTGCTCACTGGACAAAACACTCTTAAATAGTATTCATGATTTTACTTAATGATGAATGATTTTTGGCGCAGTTTAAATTTATTTAAAATGCTATGGTAGCGTGTTTTTATATATGTATTTATATATTTTATATATGTTATATATTCTTTTTATCCTTCCTATGGCAGCTATATGATAGAGTTATCCGATTTTGATAATATTTAATCTGAAATTCAATAGTAGTTAAAAAACACCATCTGGAAGAAATCAAGTCGATCAGATGAAAAACAACGGCGTGAGAATATTTTATTTCATTCTCTCGTATTGGAGCTATCGGATATAATCGCCTGATCCGGCCCGTTTCGACTTATATACTGCGTGCAATAACTACACAACTTTTGGGAAAGTTTCAGCAGGATAGCTTCAAAACTGAGAGACTAGTTTACATGGAAACAGACAGAGGGACAGACGTAAGTGCGTATTTCTATTCAGATCGTGATCATGATCAAGAATATATATACCTTATGGGGTCTAAGGCGTCTTCACTTCGTGAAAATAGACAATTACATTGCTTCCTACGATTCATGCGTCATGATGATAACCCCGTCTGGGAAACCCATAGATTACGGAAGCCTTATCACCAGTGACTGCAGCTTTTCCGTGAGCGTTAAGTTAATTTTACTTACTTTGCTTTAAAAGCGGTTGCCTTCGGCGGCCATCCGTGGTCAGCCAGGGAGAAACCCTGAAGGCTGGCCTCGCGAACCTCGAGAAGTTGCTGGAGCAGAAGGAGGCTGCAGGCGACAGTGGATCGCATTGAAGGCCAGCTGGCAGGCGTAGCTGAAGCCCTGTCCAAGGCCATTAAAAACCTTCAGCACAGCAAGTTCGAGCGGATCGGGGACCGGCTGCTCTACGTGGGGAACAACAGTCGCTAGAAGTGGAGCCTGGCTGAGCAGACCTGCCTCCAGATGGGCGGTCACATTGAACTCTTTTATTTTTTTGCAAATTTGTAATATGTTTTATATAAATAAATAATCACATGAGCAAATCACTACTGCTAATTTTTATGTTTTAAATATGAATTAAGTTTGATTAAAAATCATAGCATACGGAAAAATAGCATGTTATGAAAGATTCTTCAACCGCTGAAGGCAATAGCTCAATATCTCAAGAATTACGGGGAAGCGGCAGGTATTGGTGATAAGGCTTTAGCAATCTGTGGATGTGGGTAGCGGGGTTATCAACTTGACCCAGGAATTGTAGAAAGTATGTGTAATGTGTAATATTTGTTGTTTTTTAAGTTTAAGGGATTTCGTTGGTTTCCATAAAATCTTAATATAACTAGAACGCTTTGTATGTTTATTCCTGGATAATCTTTTTATTATAACCACACAACTTCTTTTAATCAAAAGTCGCCTCGCAAATGAAAAGATAAGCTATACTGCAGTCCTCGTCGTACATTACGCCGTTATAGATAACCACGCAGTTTTCATTTCCTTTCCAGTTATCGGGCTGGGAGTGTCGCCAATTGAGAAAGGGAGCTGGCTTCCCGGAAGCCACGGACACAAACTCGCCCTCCTTGGCCACGTCAGTGATCCCCAGCCAGTAGGAAGTGCTTCCCCCAGCTTTTCACTCAGATCGCTCAGCTCGGAGTCGTTCTGGATTGTGATCAGGTGACCGTTTATCCCACGGCAGAACGCTTCAGCTTGCTCCCAATTACGATAACGTTTGCTTTCGATGTAAATCCATTTCGAGCCGATCCGATCGTACAAATGCGTATTTATGGAATTCTTGTTCACTTTGGATAGTAATTCCTGCATCGCTGACAGTTGATTTTCAATCGCCTCCAGTTTTGTCTGCAATGCATGAGAGATAGCATTCTCGCAGGAAGCCTCCTTCTGATCCCATAAGTTCTCCAGCTTAGATAGCTGACCCTCGATTCTGTCCAGCTTCTCCTTATGAAAAGTTATATGATCGCTCATCGGCCTAAGTGCCTGCAGGCAGAATGCTCCACATTGGTTTGGCTGGTCGTGCAAGAGACACACAGATGTGTCCTTGGCCAAGGATCCGTAGAAATTCCACGAAAGGAACAAGACTAACCAGTAAATGATCAACTTCACCATATTGATTCCGAATAACTAGAGAATCACGCGAGTGTTTAAACAGAACTGATTCTGGATTTATTTACCTAAGTCCGATGAGCATTAGCAATAAGACTGATAGGTGTTATCAACAAAAGCTCATCCAAAAATCCACCATCAGTTCATAAAAATAGAACGATGAGAGCTTAAAGCCTGAAAACACTCATTGTATTCATAAAACATGTTCTTCAAAAGTGTGTTTGTATATCTCGTTAAATTAAAGCTATTGAATATAGTTTTTTACATCTTGTAACCTAACCAAAAATCTAATAAAAACTTAAGTTTGGGTAAATGTAATATATTGTATTACTTCCTGATTGATAAACTTTCCAAGTGGAGAGAATTTGACACAGATCACTGATCTAGGTTTCCCGGGGTGCCTTCGCAGCTCGTCTTCTCCTCCTCCGCTTGCCCACCACTGGAGGTCCGACTCCGACGCCCACTCCGATACCGGGAACGGGAACGGGAGCCAGCTGGAGCAGGAGGGGATTGCTGATCAGGGCGGCGGCGATGCCCAGAACGGTGGCGCTGGCCAGCGGAATGAGGAAGCTCTTCGCCAGGAGCGCCTTGGGCGACAGTTCCGGCGATCCCTTGTGGGAGAGCACCTCGTGCGAGTCGACGGGGTACGAGCTGTAGGAGTAGGAGAAGTCCGGCGGGTAGTGGCCCGGATCCAGTGTTTTTTCGGCTCATATTACAATATTATGGCTGTCTGATGGCATGTGCTCCAGGGCCATTTTAAATATTCTCACTAATTGATTATTATTATGAAGAAAGGTTTGCAGTTGTTGGACAATGGTTCTCTTGACGGTTGGATTATGAGCACAACGTGTATCAACTTCCCCATCTTGATTGCCCATAAAATAAACTTGTAAGAATTGATGATCCGCATCTGGCACTGGCATCAGTGCCCCCAGTAGGTGATAATTTCGTCCTTGTATCTGTAATTGTTTATGAACTGGTTAAATTACTTTTGATATAAATACAAATGAGGATTTAAATAAGTCAATTATGGTATACTACCCTGAAAGTGCACGAAAGTGGGCATGAACCTTTCATGTACGATATGCGTTGAGCGATGTAAATTGGAAGTAATTGTTATATTTTTGGATGTTAGCCAAGAAGTGTTTAGACTCACTATCCATCCCATTTACTTATGACTGTAACGCCTCAAGTGGTGGAACCAATTGCGGCAATTTTACTTTGCCACCAGCACAACACAATCCTGCAGATTCGCCGCTGTATTTTAATGCTTTACAATGTTGACAAATGATTGACATGTCTCCAATCGTTATAGGAAAATGCTACTCGTTCCAGGTTTTCAGGGGCATTGCGTCTGCGGAATCGATCGAATTCATTTTTCCGTGCTGTCTGCTGTTGTGATCGATGTGCACGAACTCGTTCCATTCTCTGCCTATCCACTTCATTGTTATTTACTCTGGAACGTAAATCTACCTTACTTCTACCACTGTTATCATTATCAGCCTCTCGCTGGTCATCAGTGCGGTCAGGTCAGGTCGTTTTCTCCTTGGCATTGTTAGCAGTATCAAATAAAAATGTTTTTGTGCACTACGGTAACTATAATGACGGTTGCCAGCGCTTTTTCCAATTTGGGCCTGATTCGGCAACACTTATGTGAAAAAACTTAACTGACTTGTAAATGACAATTGAATACTACAAAAATTGAGTTAAATTGCTATGGTAGCGTGGGTTTGTCAGTGTGATGATGTATTGGAAATAGAAAAGGCTTTTTTATGGTTTTCGCGGCAGTTATTCCATTTTTTCTTACCTTTTAAAACTTCCCTGGATCAGCAGATAGATCAGCAGGTTAAACGTCATAGAAACTTAAAAATGTTAAAATGTTTTTCTATTCATATAAAATTTGAAATGCCAGCTACTATATCATATAGCTGCCATAGGAAAGATCGAAAAATCTTTATAAAATAAACGGAAATAAAAAAAGGTAAAAAAAAATTTTAAGTTAAACCGTTTCATGTAAATCATTTACTAAATGTACTAAAAGCCAAAAAATAATATAAAATAGATACAGACGTGGGAATTATAAACATATGCTTAGACTAGACTAAAATAAAACCGTGGGGCAAACAAACATTTTAATCAACGATTGTACACAATTGACTTGCCCCACGGTTTTATTTAAGTCTAGTCTAAGCATATGTTTATAATTCCCACGTCTGTATCTATTTTATATTATTTTTTGGCTTTTAGTACATTTAGTAAATGATTTACATGAAACGGTTTAACTTAAAATTTTTTTTTACCTTTTTTTATTTTCTAGTTTTTAGTTTTTATTTCGCATTTTTATTTATATTTTTTTTACCATTTTGTTCCCACGAGTAATAGTCATTTAAACGGTCGACGCCCCCAGAGGTCCAATAATTAGTACATTTATCTTAAACATTGCAATGCATGTTTAACATAAAACCTTTTAAATTAAAAAGTTTTTTTTTTAACAAATTTGATTAAGTTTTTATTAGTTTTTAATTCGCATTCTGTTTAATTGGGGCTTCTCATGTAAAATTAAAAAAAAATCCATTTTTTTTCATGGATCGATAGAATAACGTCTTGAGAGTTAATTTCCGAAGTTTTATGACTCAACTCTCAATATTATGGAAAATATGAGTGATTGAACGAGCGCTCAAGTTCAAGACCCACACTAACTCAAAACTTTAAATCGTTTTTTCTCAAAACTATGATTTTAAAAACGCGGTACACAATTACGAAAAAACTACTGAACCGATTTTCGATTTCTAAAAAGTGTTTTGCAGATTATACATTGAACGAGTGCATGAATATCTGAAATTGTGAAATAAAAAGTTATTTTATACACTTTTCAGCCCAATTCAGCAAAAAAAAAAAAGACGAAAAAATGGCACTTTTTTTCAAGACGTGATTTCAATATTTTAAAATCGAATTTTTTGAAGTTGCAGACATTCATACACTCGGGGGAACCTTGCTGAATAAGAAAAACTTTTTTTTTTTGTAATTTTCAAATGAAAACTTTGGGCTCCACACTGTACCGCAATAAGTCCCTCAGCCGCGTCGAGCCACACGCGACCTTGAATAAGTCCGCCATTTTCTTTTTTAGAATTTTCAAAAAATGTTTACTTTAAACATGTCTTCAAATATATGCAAAAAAAATTCGTGTAAGTTTTCATTTTCCAAGTGAAAAAAATTCCCAAAAAACAACTAATTTTTGACATGAGAAGCCCCCCTTAATTCATTTAGTGCTTCATTATTGCATGGTTTCTTGCCTGTTAGTTTGTTGCAGTCCAACTCTTTTATACGTAGTCCCTGCAAAGATCTTACTCTACTAAGAGCCATGTAAGCTTGACCGTCTTCAAACAGTTTCGCACCTAAATATACGACTGCGTGATCCACAGTGCTGCCCTGCATTTTATGTATTGTAGAAGCCCATGATAGTATTAAAGGCAACATTCTTCTCTCAGCCGTCCCGTAATTGTACTTAGCTGGAAACTGTACGGCTTTCGGGTGTATAATATGTACTCCGTCTTTTTCGAAATCAGTTCGGACGGAAGGTACATCTTTTGCATACATCTGAGTTCGACAAAATTGAGGCCAAACGATTTCGTTGATGTAGCCTATAGCGCCATTAACTCATCCCTTCGAAACGTCAAAATTGGACCGTAGCATGACTTTTGCCCCCACAAATATTTCCAGTTCTGTTGGTAAACCTCCAGTTTTGTTTCTATCAACTTCACTTTCTTTAGCTCGTTTTGCTTTATAAAATAATAAATATTATTTTAACATATTGTGAATCTACACCATCCTCAAACCCCCTGGAATACACACAAAAAATTTCATCAAAATCTGCCCAGGCGTTGTTGAGTTATGCGCTTACCAACACATTTTGCGATTCATTTTTATATATAAGATTTAGCTTACCCCGTTTGTTGTCAGATTGATCTGAATTAATCTGATGTGTTTGACAGTGACAATGATACCCATGTTGATGGGATTAATAAAACATAAGTTATCCGCTATTTTGCAGAGGCCGCCATAATGAATTTTAATTTTATATAGTACATTGTATTCTTCTTTTTGAGACCTTTCATTTGATACCCATATTGATGGGATTGATAGAACCTACGTTATCCGCCATTTTGCGGCCGCCATCTTGGATTTACAATGTTATTGACATTACTATATTGTATTGTCATCGGAACTGAAGGTGTGTACCACATTTCAGATCAATCTGACAACAGGAAGGTACTTAAATTTCAATTTCTAATTTTGACCCTAGGGTGACCTAAATAAAACAGTTTAATAAAATGATAACATCGTTGTTTTTCATCAGACAGTCATTATTTTTGAAATGTAGAGTTTTCTAACGAGTCTTGAATAACGAATTGAATGTCAACAAAATCGAACGACTATATCAGATAGCTGTTTTATAAACAATAGTCGAAAATATGGAAAATTAATAGAAAAAACGTTATAGCTTCGATGCTGTTTAGGCTCTATGTATCTTGTTCGACTGCAAGGGTATATATGTTATGTTATATGTTTTTAGTCGTTCGTGAGTTATAGCGTCGCAAACATGGAGCATAATAAAGAGAAAATACGGCATATTTTACAGTACTACTACGATAAAGGCAAAAATGCATCTCATGCTGCCAATAAAATTTGTGAAGTTTATGGACCCAATACAGTTTCCATGTCGTCGAAAATTGTAATAAAATCGCTGAATTGATCGAAAGAGACCGGCATAGTAGCTGCCGTAGCATTGGCCAAGAGCTGGCCATGAATCATCAAACCGTTGTAACCCATTTGAAGAAGCTTGGATTCAAAAAGAAGCTCGATGTATGGGTGCCAACCGACTTGACGCAAAAAAACATTTTTGACCGTATGGATGCATGCGAATCGCTTCTGAATCGGAACAAAATCGAACCGTTTTTGAAGCGGATGGTGACTGGCGATGAAAAGGTGGTCACTTACAATAACGTGAAGCGCAAACAGTCGTGGTCGAAAAGCGGTGAAGCTGACCAGTCGGTGGCCAAGCCTGGATTGACGGCCAGGAAGGTTCTTCTGTATGTCTGGTGGGATTGGCAGGGAATCATCCACTATGAGCCAAACGCTCAATTCGGACCTGCACTGCCAACAACTGGACCGCTCGAATGCAGCACTCATGCAGAAGAAGACATCTTTGGTGACGCGCCAGAAGCTCCGGGAGCTCGAATAGGAGGTTCTTTTGCATCCACAGTATAGTCCGGATCTCGCACCAAGTGATTACCACGTATTTCTGTCCACGGCGAACGAGCTTGGTTGTCGGAGTTACTCTCCGAGTTTTTTGCCAATAGGGAAGCGAGCTTCTGTAAGAGGGCATTATGAAGTTGGCATCTCGTTGGGAACTCGTCATCAAACAAAACGGCGCATTTTTGACTTAAGGGGCACAACTAGTGTGACGGCCTAAAAAAATGGTGATTTTTGGGAATTTTTATAAAAAAAACTACTTGATGAATTCTTTTCAAATTTTCAGAATATATTTATAGATGTTTGAAGAATAAACAGTAAAATTTTTAAAGAAAAAAATTAAATATTTTTTAAGCTAGAGCCGATCTCCAACGGCACTAAAAAAAAAAAGTGCCCCAACTGCTGCAGTGATTCCGGCCTTCTCCGTGGATGAAATCAAAATATGAAAAATTCTCGTTAAACTAGATGATATTGTCCATACAATGACCTACAATAAAAAAAAAATATCAAAAATTGACAAAATGGCAGCGTTTTGAAAAAAAAAATCAAATTTTACCCAAAATTTTGGTCGTTTTTGGCCTGCCAAAATTCGATTTTTGATCAGATCAAAAAACCGATAGGTCATTGTAGGGAGGACTATATATAGAACACGTAAAAAAAAAAAATTTGATAGTGATCGGATTATTAGTTTTTGAGTTATCACTGCAGCAAATTCGGAAAATGCAGTTTCGAGAAAAACGCGTTTAAAGATAAAATGATCGTATTCACTGCTATACGAGCGGCTGCTCTTAAAATTGCTATAACTCAAAAACTATTTAAGATATCGATTTGAAATTTTAATATGTTATTTTTAAAGGTTGTATCTACCAAAATATGAAAGAAAAAAAAAAAAGATTTTTTTGAAATGTCACACTAGTTGTGCCCCTTAAATCGCATTATTATAGCCAATTTTATGAACAACTGAAAATTCAATAAAAATACCGCGAGACTTTTTGACAACCTTATATTTCGAAATATTTGATGACTGCAAGGGTATATAAGCTTCGGCTTGCTGAAGCTAGCTTCTTTTCTTATTTTCTGTATTCTATATTCTGCTAATATTGAACTGTTCGGAGGTTTTTCAATGAGCTTTTGTTGATAACACCTATCAGTGATATTCCAAAGACCCGTCGGACGTTGGTAAACACATCCAGAATCAGTTCGGGTTAAACATTCGCGTTGTTCTCTGGTTATTCGGAATCAATATGTTGAAGGCATTCAAATTCTGCTTAGTCTTGTTCCTTTCATGGAATTCTTACGGATCCTTGGCCCAGGACTCTTCTGTGTGTCTTTTGCATGACCCGCAAAACCAGTGCGGGAAATTCTGCCTAGAGGCGCTGAAGCCGTTGCTCGATCATATCGCTTTTCACCAGAAGGAGTGGAGCACCTGCGATGCCCAAAAGCAGAATGAGACCCAGGCGAAGCTGGACAGAATCGAGGGTCAGCTATTTAAGCTGGACAACTCTCTCGAATTGAAGAACCTGCAGACAAAACTGGAGGCGATTGAAAGGCAACTGTCAGCGATGCAGGAATTACTATCCAAAGTAAACAAGAAACCCATAAATACGCATCCGTATGTTCGGATTGGCTCGAGATTGATTTACATTGAAAGCGAAAATAGTCGAAATTGGGAGCAAGCAGAAGCGTTCTGCCGTGAGATAAATGGTCACCTGATCACCATCCAGAACGTCTCCGAGCTGAGCGCTCTGAATGAAAAGCTGAAGAGAAGCACTTCCTACTGGCTGGGAATCACTGACGTGGCCAAGGAGAGCGATTTTGTGTCCGTGGCTTCCGGTCAGCCACCTCCCTTTCTCAAGTGGGAAAACTCCCAACCCAATAACCTGAACGGAAAAGACAACTGCGTGGATATCTACAACGCCGAAATGTACGACAGCGACTGCAGCGAAGTTCAGCTTTTCATTTGCGAGGCGACTTTTGATTAGAAGAAATTGTGTGGTTATAATAAAAAGATTATTCAAGCATAAACATTAGAAGCTTACTTGTATTATTAACAAATAATGGTAAATAACGAATTCCCTTAAATTTGAAACATCCAAGCATTTCTTATTATCAGTTTTTTCTTCATTTAAAGTGAAAATAGACAATAGCATTGCTTTCTACGAATCCTGTGTCAAGATGATAACCCCGCCTGGGAAATCCATAGATTATGGAAGCCTTATCACCAGTGACTGCAGCTTTTCCTTGAGCGTTAAGTTAAATTCACTTACAGTGTTTCAAAAGCTGTTGCCTTCGGCGGTCGAAGACTCCCAGAAAATATGTTCGAGTCGTTAACTTACCTGATCATCCTCCTTGCATGGGATCCTTGGATCATCGGATCCTTGGCCACTGGCCAGGACGTTGGGAGCTCCGTGTGCAGGCTTACGGACCCGAACAAGCAATGTGGAGAGCACTGCCTCAACGCTCTGATGCCGACGATCCGGCACATTTACCACCAGCAGAGGAGCAGCACTTGCGATGCCCAGAAACTCAATGAGACTCAGGCGAAACTGGACAGGATTGAGGGCAGACAGACGGCGGTGCAGGAAGCCCTGTCCAAGCTCGAGTCCTCGCTGGAGGCCAGCATGGACCTTTGGAAGACATCAGTTGACAGCCAAGGAGCAACCCTGAAGGCTGGCCTCGCGAACCTCGAGAAGTTGCTGGAGCAGAAGGAGGCTGCTTCGAAGCTCCTGCAGGCGAAAGTGGATCGCATTGAAGGCCATCTGGCAGGCGTAGCTGAAGCCCTGTCCAAGGCTAACAGGAACCTTCAGCACAGCAAGTTCGAGCGGATCGGGGACCGGCTGCTCTACGTGGGGAACAACAGTCGCCAGAAGTGGAGCCTGGCTGAGGAAGCCTGCCTCCAGATGGGCGGTCACCTGGCCACCATCCAGAACGAGGCGGAGCTCGCTGCCTTGGAGGGTAAACTGAAGAGGAACACTCCCTACTGGCTGGGCCTTTCTGACCTGGCCAAGCAGGGCCAGTTCGTCTCGGTGGCTACCGGAAGGTCAGCAGGCTTCTTCAAGTGGCGAGCGACACAGCCGAACAACTTCAACAACAACGATCGCTGCGTCAGTTTGTACAACTCAGAAATGTACGACAGCGTTTGCGAGGATGCTGAACATTTCATTTGTGAGGCAGCCTTATGAATACAATTCTTTGAGTTGTTTTCTTTTTTGCAAATTTGTAATATGTACTTTATAAATAAATAATAACTCAAGTCTGGCGGCTTTCTTTCTTAAGTTGTTTTATTTTTTGCAAATTTTTAATATGCTTTATATAAATAAATAATCACTAGAGTCTAAAATTATGATACACTTTTCAGTGTCGATTCTGTGGATTGGCGACTCGGTTTTATGACTGTCGCTCCGGGTGCAAAAGGTTAAGTTCTGCCTGAGCCCAAGCTGAAAACAAGCAAAACACAAACAAATTTTAAGTTTTGAATATGGATTTCATTTGATTAAGAATCATAGAATAGGAAAATCAAGAGATGTGTGTATGTATTGTATATGTCGGATCATAAATTATGGTAGTCAGTGTAAGGGGAATCAAATCGCGTGTAACGATTCTTCTCGCTGCATTCTAACGATTGTTTGTTAGTGCGATTTATTCTACCTATTCGGCAGGTATTTAGAATAGTTCGATGGGAACATCTTGCCTGAGGATAGAGGTTTGGAAAAAGGGTTACGCATTAGGCGATTGTCGTGCGTGTATGCTTGAGCCACTGGGACAGAGATGCTAGTATGTGTATCACAACGTTTTCGATAGCCAGTTTTCGGGATTCTGGAAACGTCTAAAACAGGCAGTGGTGCGCTCAAGTCTATTCGCCATCTACAATCGTCTAATAATTATAATAAGGCATGGACAAGGAGAATCTTAACCCGACATATATATATTTATTTTATATATACATAAATGTATCTACAAATGTTTCGTATAAACTCTCGTTGAGTTCCTGGGCATCTTAAGTGCTGTTCCTCTGCTGGTGGTAAAAGGGCTTTGTTGTCAGCATCGAGCATTGAGCCAGTGCTCTCCACATTGCTTGTTGGGGTCCGATTGGATCCAAGGATCCAAGGACTCCATGCAAGGAGGGCGATGATCGGGTAAATGGAGTCTTTACCTCAAGAATTACGGGGAAGCGCCAGATATGGGTGATAAGGGTTTAGTAATCTGTGGGTGTGGGTTGCGGGGTTATTAACTTGACTTGTAAAAAGTACTATGTGCAATTGTCTATTTTGACTTTTAATAAAGAAAGAGCTTTTAATTACTATTTGCTGTTTTTTAAGTTTAAGGGATTTCGTTAACTTCCATAAACTCTTAATATAACTAGTACACGTGTTATGTTTATTCTTGGGAAATCTTTTTATTATAACCACACAATTCCTTCTAACCGAAATTCGGTTCGCAAATGAAAACTGCAAGTGATCTGCAGTGGGTGTTGTACATTTCGCCGTTATAGATATGTACGCAGCTCTGTTTTTCGATCCAGTTTTCGGGTTGGGAGTCTTCCTTGAGAAAGGCAGCTGGCTGACCGGAAGCCACAGACACAAACTTGCTCTCCTTGGCCACGTCATTGTTCCCCAGCCAGTAGGGAGTGTGTCTCTCCAACTTTTCACCCAGGGCTCTCAGCTCGGAGTCGTTCTGGATTCTGATCAGGTGACAGTTTATCTCGCGGCAGAACGCTTCAGCTTCCTCCCAATTTCGACGATTTTTGCGTTCGACGTAAATCCATTTCGAGCCAATCCGATCGTACAAATACGGATTTACGGTTCTCTTGTTCACTTTGGATAGTAATTCCTGCATCGCTGACAGTTGCTTTTCAAACGCCTCCAGTTTTGTCTGCCATTCATAAGAGATGGCATTTTCGCTGGGAGCCTCCTTCTGAACCAATGAGTTTTTCAGCTCAGATTGCTGAACATCCACCCTGTCCAGCTTCCTTTGGATCTCATTCAGCTTCTTCTGGTGAAAAGCGATGTGATCGATCATCGGCCTTAGCGCCTGCAGGCAGAATGCTCCACATTGGTTTGGCTGGTCATGCAGAAGACACACAGAAGAGTCCTTAGCCAAGGATCCCAGAGAATCGCACGAAAGGAACAAGACTAAGCAGTAAGTGAATGACTTCAACATATTCCTTCCGAAGAACCAGTTAAACTGAGGAACCTTTGAACAGTACTGAGTCTGGATTTAGTTGCTTACATCCGATGAGCCTTTGGAATAAAACTGATAGGTGTTATCAACAAAAGATCATCAAAAAACCCACTATCAGCTCTTAAAAATAAAACAATGAGAGCTTAAAGCCAGTTGTCATAGATTATGTTCTTGAAAATTATGTAAATCAAGAAGTTTTAGTTTATAGTTTTAATAATAAGTTTTATTTATTCGGTCCGCTGTCTGGCGTGCCCGGTTAATTTTATAATGATGATCCACGTGGTTTGTGTGAGTTGAGACTTTTATTATAAGCTTGCGCAGGCGATGAACGGCGTGTATGATCTCCGAAAATTGACTGACTGAGGATCTCTACCGAAATGTTCCTTTCTCTAAAACTCGCCTTACTACTTTCCAAGTCCATTGCAGTCGTGTCTTACGACTATATGACCAAATATTATATATAACTATTATCTTAATATATATAAATCTCATGTCACGATGTTTGTCCGCGATGGACTCCTAAACTACTTAACCGATGTTAAATTTAATTGGCATACCATGAGCAGTCTGGTCCATCTTGAGAGATAGGATAGCTTAGATCTTTAATTATAGTCGCAATTTTATTTTATTGCAAATTATTTGTCTATAATAAATTGACAGTTAAGATTATATTTGACTTCTCAAGCAAATCGCGAAATTTGAATGTAAAAACCGGTACGTCATTACCAAACAACCTAATATATAAAAGGAAGTCGTGTTAGTTACATCACTTATAACTCAAGAACGGCTGAACATATTTGGCTGAAAATAGGACATAGGATACTTTTTATCCCAATCGACATACCAAAAATCGCATATAAAGTGAGTTACTACCTCATCACACCGACAAACACACGCTACCATAGCATTTTGACTCAATTTTTGTGGTTTTGGTGAATTTAAGTGAAGTGAAGTTTTTTGTGGTTTTGGTGATGGGTTTTTTTTGAGTAACATTTCGACAGCGTTCCCGTGTGACGGGAAATCTTCTGAGAAAATCTTCTGTACGCGTGTTAGTCATTGTACTCCTCCTAAACGGCTGGACCTTTTTTATGAAATTTTTGTATGTATTCCAGGCGGTTTGAGGATGGTTTAGATTCACAATATGTTAAAAAAATATTTATTATTTTTAGGGTTTTTAATGTTTTAATAATTTTACAAATTTTTCCGCTTATACATTGCAAACTCAGTAGGTAATCACACTAATATTATAAAGAGGTCAAATTTGTTTGTTTTTTTGGTATGGCTATGTCATACCATAACACTGTGCGACAAAAAAATGTTTGAGTTGATTTTTTCTTATTTTTCACTTCTACTAGTCAAAATAAGAATACAAGTTTTTGGATTTGTTAATATCAATAGCCAATCAGCTTCTACGCACACTCAAATGTCCCAAAAACGCGTGTTTTTGCATATTTCACAGCCTTATAATCACATATTGGGAAAATATTTTTTCACCGTTATAAGCGTTTTATGCAAGTTCAATATCTATTAATTAAAATATATTAAGCAAATATACCGTTAGGCTTTTATAACAATGCTTTAAAAATTTTTTCTCCCAGCTCTATACTCTGGGCGACTACGTATGGAACTTGTTACGCGAGGATACCTCTGAAAAAGCCAAAAAAATCAGAAAAAAATTTCACTTAAAAAAAAAAAATAATAGTTTATTGGAAGTAAAAAAAAAATAATATTTTGTGTTAAATATTTTCATAATAATAATTTCATTAAATTTATCATAAAAAAAGAAATCCTATCACTTAGAAGGTGGCATAAATATTTTTGTGCATAACTTATGCCCCTTAACCGAAAACAATCAAAAAAGTAACTCAAACAAACATTTCGTTAAATTTTGTCGCACAGTGTAATAGATTAATAACGCATGTCGTCAGGGTTGGACCACTATTGTAGTCAGTATTGGGCCATCATAATTTTTACATTTTATTCGTATATTTTCGATTTTTGTTGTAATAGTGCAAAAGAGTGAATTTTAAATGAACCAAAGAAATTATTCCTTACTTTTATTCGACAAAAACAACGACCGAAAAAAACAACTTTTGGCAGCTGTTTTTTATCGGATCGACTTGATTTCTTCCAGATGGCAATTTCTAAGTGCTATTGAATTTTGGATTAAATTTTATCAAAATCAGATAACTCTATCATATACCTGCCATAGGAGAGATCGAAAAATATATACAGTGGTGGCCATAAGTATTTTGTCAAAATAAAAGTGAAATATACTCGAAACCTGAACTTGCTTCTTTTAACTTTTGGTATCAATGGAAAGGTAATTCAAATGCCTTTAGAATGATACCATACTTTTCTCAATTCATTCGATATTTATTGAAAAGGGCAATTTAAAAAAAAAGTCAAAAAAAAACTTTTTCCCTCGGCTTCAAAAATAAAATCTTTGGATTATTAAAAATAGAGGAAAAATTATTTTTGAAAAATTCTTTTTGCAGTTCCTATTATTTTTGATTAAAGAAACTTTTTGCATCCAAAAATTTTAGTTTTGAAGCCGAGGGAAAAAGTTTTTTTTGACTTTTTTTTAAATTGCCCTTTTCAATAAATATCGAATGAGTTGAGAAAAGTATGGTATCATTCAAAAGGCATTTGAATTACCTTTCCATTGATACCAAAAGTTAAAAGAAGCAAGTTCAGGTTTCGAGTATATTTCACTTTTATTTTGACAAAATACTTATGGCCACCACTGTATATATAAATAATAGAAAAAAAAAATTATAATGTTATTGTTTTTAATCCCACGATTTTTTTGGAACAAATTTTTTAAATACTCTTAAATCGAGAAAAAATTTCATAAAAATCAGAGTACTATATCATATAGCTGCCACAGGAAAGATCGAAATATCTATATAAAAATAATTATTTCCGTTATTTTGATTACCTCGTTGTTTTTTATCAGACAATCATGATTTTTGGAACATAGAGTTATCTAATGAGTCTTGAGTTTCAAATTAAATTTCATCAAAATCGGACGACTATATCACATAGCTGCCATATGAACAATATGCAAAATGAATAGAAAAATCGTCACATCTTCGATGTTGTTAAGCCTTTATGTATTTTGTTCGACATAATTATTGACTGCAAGAGTATATAAGCTTCGGCTTGCTGACGCTAGCTTCTTTTGTTAATTTCTTTAATACTTAAATACGGTTTTCTGGCTTAAAGCTCTCATATAATTATTTTGTTGAACTGATCGGAGATTTTTCAATGAGCTTTTGTTGATAACACCTATCAGTGATATTCCAAAGACCCGTCGGACGTTGGTAAACACATCCAGAATCAGTTCGGGTTAAACATTCGCGTTGTTCTCTGGTTATTCGGAATCAATATGTTGAAGGCATTCAAATTCTGCTTAGTCTTGTTCCTTTCATGGAATTCTTACGGATCCTTGGCCGAGGACTCTTCTGTGTGTCTTTTGCATGACCCGCAAAACCAGTGCGGGAAATTCTGCCTCGAGGCGCTGAAGCCGTTGCTCGATCATATCGCTTTTCACCAGAAGGAGTGGAGCACCTGCGATGCCCAAAAGCAGAATGAGACCCAGGCGAAGCTGGACAGAATCGAGGGTCAGCTATCTAAGCTGGACAACTTTCTCGATTTACAGACAAAACTGGAGGCGATTGAAAAGCAACTGTCCGAGATGCAGGAATTACTATCCAAAGTAAACAAGAAACCCATAAATACGCATCTGTACAATCGGATTGGCTCGAGATTGATTTACGTTGAAAACGATAATCGTCGAAATTGGGAGCAAGCAGAAGCGTTCTGCCGTGAGATAAATGGTCACCTGATCACCATCCAGAACGTCTCCGAGCTGAGCGCTCTAAATGAAAAGCTGAAGAGAAGCACTTCCTACTGGCTGGGAATCACTGACGTGTCCAAGGAAGGCCAGTTTGTGTCCGTGGCTTCCGGCAAGCCAGCTCCCTTTCTCAAGTGGGAAAACTCCCAACCCAATAACCTGAACGGAAAAGACAACTGCGTGGATATCTACAACGGCGAAATGTACGACAGCGACTGCAGCGAAGTTCAGCTTTTCATTTGCGAGGCGACTTTTGATTAGAAGAAATTGTGTGGTTATAATAAAAAGATTATTCAAGCATAAACATTAGAAGCTTACTTGTATTATTAGGAAATAATGGTAAATAACGAATTCCCTTAAATTTGAAACATCCAAGCAATTTGTATTATCAGTTTTTTCTTCATTAAAAGTGAAAATAGACAATAGCATTGCTTTCTACGAATCCTGTGTCAAAATGATAACCCCGCACGGAAAACCCATAAATAACGGAAGCCTTATCACCAGTGACGGCAGCTTTTCCTTGAGCGTTAAGTTAAATTCACTTACAGTGTTTGAAAATCGGTTGCCTTCGGCGGTCGAAGACTCCCAGAAAATATGTTCGAGTCGTTAACTTACCTGATCATCCTAATTGCATGGGATCCTTGGATCATCGGATCCTTGGCCACTGGCCAGGACAATGGGAGCTCCGTGTGCAGGCTTGGGGTCCGATTGGATCCAAGGATCCAAGGACTCCATGCAAGGAGGGCGATGATCGGGTAAGTGGAGTCTTTATCTCAAGAATTACGGGGAAGCGCCAGATATGGGTGATAAGGCTTTATTAATCTGTGGGTGTGGGTTGCGGGGTTATCGACTTGACTCAGGAATTGTAGAGAGTATGTGCAATTGTCTGTTTTCACTTCCAATGAAGAAAAAACTTTTTGTTTTTTAAATTTAAGGGACTTCGTTGATTTCCATAAATTCTAAAATAACTAGTAAGCTTATTATGTTTATTCTTGAATAATCTTTTTATTATAACCACAAAATTTCTTTTAATCAAAAGACGCCTCGCAAAAGAAAAGATAAGCTTTACTGCAGTCCTCGTCGTACATTACGCCGTTGTAGATAACCACGCAGTTGGCTTTTCCGTTCCAGTCAATGGGTTGGGAGGATGCCCACTTGAGAAAGGGAGGTGGCTGACCGGAAGCCACGGACACAAAATCGCTCTCCTTGGCCACGTCAGTGATTCCCAGCCAGTAGAAAGTGCTTCTCTTAATCTTTTCATTCAGAGCGCTCAGCTCGGAGACGTTCTGGATGGTGATCAGGTGACCGTTTATCCCACGGCAGAACGCTTCTGCTTGCTCCCAATTACGATAACGGTTGCTTTCGATGTAAATCCATTTCGAGCCGATCCGATCGTACAAATGCGTATTTATGGAATTCTTGTTCACTTTGGATAGTAATTCCTGCATCGCTGACAGTTGCTTTTCAATCGCCTCCAGTTTTGTCTGCAAATTATGAGAGAGCATTTTCGCTGGAAGCCTCCTTCTGATCCAATGAGTTTTTCAGCTCAGACAGCTGACCCTCAATCCTGTCCAGCTTCTTCTGGTGCAAGGCAATGTGATCGATCATCGGCCTTAGCGCCTGCAGGCAGAATGCTCCACATTGGTTTGGCTGGTCATGCAGAAGACACACAGAAGAGTCCTTGGCCAAGGATCCCAGAGAATCCCACGAAAGGAACAAGACTAAGCTGTATGTGAATGACTTCAACATATTCATTCCGAATAACTACAGAATCACGCGAGTGTTTAAACAGAACTGATTCTGGATTTATTTACCTAAGTCCGATGAGCATTTGGAGTAGGACTGATAGGTGTTATCAACAAAAGCTCATCAAAAAACCCACCAAAATAAAACAATGAAAGCTTTAAGCCTGAAAACACTCATTGTATTTATAAAATATATTCTTTAAAAGTATATTTGTATATCTTGTTCTTTTAAAGCAATTACTAAATAAACAATCTGTCCTTTGAATATAATCATTCACATCGTGTAATCTATACAAGAATCTAATAAAAACTTAAATTTGGGTAAATGTAATATATTGCGATACTTCCTGATTGATAAACTGTCCAAATGGAGAGAATTTGAATGCACTGATCACTGATCTAGGTTTCCCGGGGCGCCTTCCCAGCTTCCCGTCTTCTCCTCCTCCGCTTGCCCACCACTGGAGGTCCGACTCCGACTCCGACTCCGATCCCGGGAACGGGAACGGGAGCCAGCTGGAGCAGGAGGGGATTGCTGATCAGGGCGGCGGCGATGCCCAGAACGGTGGCGCTGGCCAGCGGAATGAGGAAGCTCTTCGCCAGGAGCGCCTTGGGCGACAGTTCCGGCGATCCCTTGTGGGAGAGCACCTCGTGCGAGTCGACGGGGTACGAGCTGTAGGAGTAGGAGAAGTCCGGCGGATAGTGGCCCGGATCCGGCCGGGGTCGGTACACGTGGTACGGCACCCCCGCCTCGCCGCTCCCGGAGTAGCCGTGTCCTTGTGAAGGTCCTGGCTCGTAGCCATGCCCATTGGCGGAGCCGTAGTCGTAGGCGTACGGGTGGCTGTCGTAGGCGTAGCTCTTTCCGGCACTCCCGCCGCCACTTGAGTAGTGACCTGCGTGGAAGAGAGTTTCGTGGTTAAGTAACAACTTAAAGTTAGAGTCAAGTATGAAGTACTTGAAGTCAGTAAAGTTAGAATCAAGTACAAAGAACTAAATTAAGGGCTGAAAAGGATTTTACAACGGTTATTAAACAAAAAACATATTATAATTAGAACAAGAACTTAAATAAATTAAATATTCTCTAGTCTTCCGGACTTATTGTTTTATTGCGAAGAGTATTTGGCTGCACTTTTATGTTTAAAACTCTTATAATATGCATTTCCGTATTCCGTAAAAACAATGACATCTTTTAAAATCCTTGTAAAATATTTTAGGTGTGTAGTGAATGTCAAGGACCTGGGAAGATATATTCGAAAAATTTCAAGTATGTTAAACAATTGACTTAATCATTCCTTCAATTGTCGTCGATTTATAAAATAAGTTGTAGATGTAAACGAATATTATTTATTAAACTCACTCAGCAATAATAAACATTAAAATAAATTCAAAATCGGATTTTGCTGCATTTACTAGTATCACTTTATCTTAAGATAATACGCTTACAAGGTTAATGACCATCGAAAGATTTTAATGAACTTCAAAATGACGTGATGTTTTCGAGCATTGAAGCAATATATATAAAAGAAGTTGGATAATCTACGAAAGTTTTTAACAAATTCCGAAATTCTTCTAAAATATTTCATATATACTTTTATATGAAACGTAACTCAGATGAAAAGATCTGGCAGATCTGGTTACTCCGACCACTCACCCACGCTAATCCGATCGTGAATGTTTCCGCCCAACCTCCACTTCTCGTAGGCCTCGCTGAGATTCTCCGCCTGGCTGGATGAGCCTCCTCCAACTGGAGGCAGCGCCCCAATGGGCTTCGATATAAAGCCAGCTGCCGTGCTGTCCAACTTGGAGGCTGAGCTGGAGGCGGAGGAACCCGGTCCCCGGTAGAACTCCGGCGGAGGATCGTAGCTCTTGGCTGCTGCCGAGCCCAGGGGATCCAGCTTAACGATGGCCTGTCGCTTCCGGGGCTGCATGGGCTTCCAAGACTGGGATTCGGACTCGGATTTGGATCCGGACTGAGACGCCTGGATCTTCGGGGAATTCTGCGCCTGCGCGGCTGCGATAGTTATGCAAAAACCGAGCCAGAGGCCAAGGGCCGCGAGTAGCTTCCCCTTGATCGCGAACATTTCAACTGAGTGCGCCGCCTGCAAATCGGGCGACTTTATAAGGGTCCCACCACCCAAAAGCCATGTCGTCACCCGGAGTGGTTGGCATTTCAAGCGGTGGCGACAAATTGCAGGCAGACGACAATTTCAGGCAGCGATTTCAAACGATTTCAGGCCGCTGGCATTGAGACGTCTGCAGTGCGTTTCGACGGGTAAGTGCGATTAGTGCCGCCAGCTTGGGAGCTGCTCCCGCTCCCCAAGACGTTTTCCCAATGGTTCTTTCCACACTCTTTCGACAGGCGGCCGTTTCATCAGCGGGAGCAGCGGGCATGTAGTTGCCAATTTGTGCCTCTCGCGGCTTATTGAAATAAAGCGTGCGCACCCAAGATCTGTAACCCCCAGCAGGTGAGCAGCCCGAAATTAGTGGAGTTATTCACGCCCCCAGGGGGCAAAAAAAAAAACACAAAACAAACACAAGACACAATCATCTTTTAATTAAATCATTTATCGCTGCCTATTTCGGCTGCATTTCAGCTGTGGATGTTCAGCGAAGGGGAATGATCGGAGGTGAGCTCGAAGGAGGGTCTGAAAAAGCCAACTTTGGTGCAAAAGAAAGTTCACTCTTTGGAAAATGCGTACGTCACTTGGGGAAAGAGTTGCTTGAGAAATGTTACAACATATTTTAGATTGTTCTTGATTATGCACTTAAATTTTTTTTGGATTTTTTGTTCGACACAAGGTGAGAACCTGCCTTAAATTGTTACTAAAATAAGAATCTTGAATTTGTTAACCTTACCTTACTTAAGAAAGAAAACAAGTTGGGGGATAAATCACAAAGTAAGAAAATAAATATAATATTGTTTAAGAGGAATCATTTAAAGATCCAAAGTCAGCGAGACTTAAGTTAAATTTACTCGTAGATTAGAATAAGGTACTTTTAAAATAAATAATAACGTACTTGTTTTCAAAATTATAAGAAAGATTTGATCTTTTTATATCATGTATATTATTTATTAAAGATTATAGATGAAAAAAAAAACATGGAATAGCTATTCCCCAATAGAACCTTAACAAGCGAAACCGTTTATGTGTCCGACTTCTGTCGCTTTCGATACATTTCCGGCATGTCCTCTGGATCGGAATCTGAGCCTGCTGGGGAGGGCAAGTTGCCGTCCTCGTCGCCAAGGACCAAGCGCTCGAAGATTTCCAGCTGGATGTTCAGGATGGCCATCAGCTTGAAGATCCGATCGCCGCGCCTCAGGTAATCCGCATGTCGCTCCTCGTTGGAGAGCCTCTCCTGTGGGAAGCTGGCCTTGCCACTCCTCTCCTCCTTCTGTAATCTCTTCCGCTCCCGTTTCCTAAGGGACAGCTCCACGTTCTCGGAGACTGTGCGTCCGTGGCGATTGTACCCATGGTCCACGCAGCGAAAGCACCGCCCCCACAAATTCATGTACTCGACGCGCAGGAACTCCATGAAGGTGATGTGCTTCCTGCCCGCCTGCTCCTTCAGCTCCCGGCCCGTCTCCTCGAAGTAGTCGTAGATGACCGAGGCGAACACGTTCAGCAGGATGATGGCCACCAGGAACACCAGCACCAGGTAGAGAAGGAGCCCGAGGAAAACCCCTCCGTGAAAGAACTCGGTCGGCCGGACGCCCGCGTTGAAGCCCACTGAGTACCTGGAGAAAATTTCAAATTTTAAGTCGCTTAAAACATAATTTTAGTCGAAGTATGGGACAGTATGACGGTGAAAACTATTTCTACATTCCATTGAAAATATTATATTAAACAAAGATGGATACAAAATATGAGTAAAGCAAAGAAAACGAACTTACCATACAAATATTGACCTAGTATTAATTGTTTGAAAAATATTAACTTTAGTAAATTCCAAATATATAATAAAACAGAAAGTTAGTGAGATTAAACATAAGCTATTTACCACAAGAACTTATTTACTATTATGAATTAAAATGATAAAATATCATTTTAAAAACATTTTCTTTAGTTTAACAAATACTAAAATTAAGGTTAATTAAAAATAACTTTGAGCTCTACCCAGTGTTTAGTTGTTGTAGCAAGCATATTTTCCAAACTTAGCTACTCATCAGAGAGCGATACCCGATACCCAATACCCGATACCCAATACCCACCACATGCAGGTGATCACGGCGGCGATGATGTGGTGGAAGACCTCGGCGTTGTTGCCATTCGGCACGGCGAGCGCCATGCCGATGCCCATGAGGAGGACCAGGATGATGAGTCCCAGACTGGCCACCGCCCGCCAGGCGGAGAAGAGGGTCCGGGAGAAGTGCTGGAAGACGGCGGCGAACTGAAGGACCTTCCACAGGCGCAGGGTGGTGATGCAGATGAGGAAGCCCTTCACCATGGCCAGCAGCTGGTGCAGGCGCAGCGGTCGCTGGAAGTCGAGGTACTGCCCCCTGGTGTAGGTTTCCACCATCTTGAGCAGGTTGTCCGTCTCCATGTCGCGCATGAGGGTCAGGCCGAGCAGGAAGGCGTTCAGCAGGCAGATGCCCACGTCCACGATGGTCCACGACTCGCGGATGGCCCTCGGGTCGTGCCAGAGCCTCGAGAGGACGCCGCGGGCGAAGCTGATGATCAGGATGGCGTACACGCACAGCACGAGCAGCTCCCAGCTGGTCCGCATCTCCACGGTCGCCAGCATCTTCACCGTGTCCACGTGCGCCCGGGAGATCTGCACCCCGAACGGGGTGTTCTCCACCCGCAGGGTGAACACCGTGAACACGTTCGCATCCGCGTTGTACATCGCAAAGTCGATGAACAGGGCCGAGGTGTTCCTGCTCAGCCAGCCGTACTCCCGCAGGTACTCCACCTGCTTCAGGCAGTTTATCTGGCGGAATCAACTTATATAATAGGTACCTAATAATTTTAATTATAAAATACAATCGAGTGAAATCGTATCACAAAAATGTTCCGATCAGCTACACTCTTTTCAAGTATGATTATGAGTTAGTATGAATTAGTAAACATTCGATCAAATATATTTAATTAATTATTTAAATTTATTTGGATATTGTTATAATTATCTAGCGAGGAAAATTTGTAAGCCACTCTACTCGATAAGAGTTTATGGGACTGATTTAGATACTTATGGTATGCATAAACTATAAATTTATTAAAAGATACATAAGAAAGAGATAGAATTGTTTTCTACCCAATTGGACTTATCGTTTTTTAAATGAGGAATATTATATGACGAGTGCCCTCATGTATTCTTGTGTATTACTTTAAGGATTAACAATAAAGTTTAATAAAAGTGTTTGACTTTGAAATTGAAAGTGATTGGTTTTTATTTATTTCGTTGTAATAGCTAGTGGATTCCACACTATGGAACTATTATTCCCGAAACAACATACTATGCATATAAAGAGCTGTAACACTTAGCAAACCTTAGCGCTCATCATGAGAACCACGTAGCCACGGCGCTCGGGGTAGTTGTTCAGGTATCCATGGTGATCGAAGTTGAGCAGCAGGCCGTTCAGGAAGGTGGGCCTAAAGTCCGCCGGAATGAAGGGGTCGTAGATTCTCCAGAACTTGTCCGTGTAGTGCAGCCGGTGGTAGGGAAGCTTCCACTCGGGGGCATACGTCTTCTTGTCCCACTTGGGCTTCCCCCATCCGATGTGCGCGTCCAACTGCCGCACCTGCCGCAGGCGCACCACCCCGATCCTCTGCCACTGCTCCATGGCCCACCAGCCCTCGTGTCCTTGCACGTCCTTCACGAAGAAGCTCTCGACCATGGTGATCTTGAGGAAAAGGTGGATCTGATGGATGAAGTTTGGATCAAGAGGGGGCGACAGACATTGAAATAAGTACTTAAGAAACACACGCATCTGCACAGATCATCAATACTTATAATTATCAAATAGATAAACGATTAAATAAGTAAATCAGGGGATGGGCTACACTTAAATACGACATTTTCTTATTTCAAATTTTCAGACAAGAAGTTTATAAAAAACTTATACTTTGGTAGAAGCAATTCTGAAGAAAAGAGTTTAAACGGAATGAAATTATGCCTTGGGGCTAAACAAAATCTTAACTTAAATCAGTTTATTTTATACAATAATCCTACCACTACTAATAGTTAAGTTGAATTATTAATATTAAGTTAACTCATATATGTACATCACTATCAATTTGTTTCTTCGAAATATTGATATAATAAATTATAAAGAATGGAATAATTAATTAGCATCAGATATAATGGCTCCGATCATAAGGAAACGATTTAAATAACAATAATGTGCTAAATAAACGCATTATTAATTAAACTCAAGTTCATACCGCCCTTGAATTTGGTTCTAATAACTACTCAACGTAATGCAATTGTACCTTTTTAAAGTTAAAAGGCAAATTCAAAGAACAACCTCAAGAAGAGCACTACCCACCTGGTAGAGGTAGTAGACCTGCGACAGGCCGAAGGAGACGGAGGTGTTGTCGAAGAAGAGCCGGTGCATGTTGTTGGTGTTGAAGTAGTACTCCTGGCTCTCCTGCGTGACCACCAGGAACATGAGGGTCAGAAAGAAGGATCCGAAGAGCAGGAGGTCCCCGGAGATGTGCTTGTACCGCCTGTTCAGCATCTCGTTCTGGTGGCCCTCGGTGATGACGAGCTCGGAGCGCAGGCCGCGCACCTGGATCTTCAGGAGGGTGATGTGGTTGTGCTTCTGCATCCCCCTTCTCCGCCTTGATGGGCGGGTCCTCCCGCGGCCAGGTGGCATAGTCCACCGCCTGCACCAAGTAGCGGATGGGCTCGTAGATGAGGAACTGGCAGAAGAACACCAGCACGATGGTCACCAGCATCGTCCTGAACCTCTGCGGCTCGTGCACGAACCCCGAGAAGATTGCGATCAGGGTGAAGCACACCAGCAGCACGAAGAGGGTCACCCCGAAGCAGACCAGGTCCTTCGGCCTAACGTTCTTGAAAGCCATCTTTGCTGGTTAACAAATTCTTTTCCGTTGCGAAAAACTTAACTCAAATAATCCTTATTGTCAGAAACTGGATGTTTGCACACTTGATATTTGAATCGCAGCTCACTGGGTGAAAAAAAATCAAAAGGAATCCTAATTGAAAAAGCACTTCATATGAATTGGGAAAAATTTCCATTAGTTTTGTTTGAAATTCAGTTATACGAAAATGGATTAACATATTTTTAATTACAAGAATAGTTATAGTGAAGAAATTTAGTTGTGATATATCAATGAAAGCGAAAATTGAAGGCATGCTCTCGCAAAAAAGAAAAAGTTTCAAATGATTTTTAATAGTAAAAAATATTTAAAAAGAGCTTTTTTATTTTGAAGTTACCCTTTAGAGGGAAAAGTATATACAAATTAACTTTCTTATTGTCATTGCAAAACCTTTCGAAATACTTGAGATTGCTTTAAATATTGTTTGTTTATTAATATTTTGTTTTAAGTGAGAAAAATATACCCACACCAACCAATTCGAGACTCGTTTTTGTGACTTTCAACGTTCTTGTATTTAATATTGATAGTTGCCATTCGTAAGGTATTGATGTATAGTTAGGTATAAATGTATATGCACAATCCATTAACTTAGTTAACGTTTCTAGATTAGAGTAGGCTTCTTCCGAAGGATCCTCTTGTAGGTATACTTGGAGACTAGTTGCTAGGGATTGTTTGGGATAGGGATAGTTGACTAGACACGCAGATATAGTGCGTATAGTGCGTATAATACTGGCTGATCCGGATCGATGGGACCGCCAAAGATCCGGCGACTGGCGAGCGCTTTCATACATTTTCGGAATTGACTTTCGGTGGCCCGGGAGATCGGGAGAGCGGGATTCCCCTTGGACACTGAGAACGGAACTCCTCCTCCTCCGCGGAGGAGGAAACACACATGCTACATACGGTTAGATACAGTTGGATTAGTTGATGCTCCCGTCACGGATTAGTTGGCGGGCAGGGAGCGCTGCGAGCGCTTGCCCCATCCGCCGTGCAGCTTCTGCCACTGGTCGCGCTTGCCCCACATGCCCTTCAGGTTGTTCCAGGTCGGCTCCCGCTTGCCCCATGCCCCCCTGAACTTGTTCCAGCCCTGCGCCTGCCGCCGCTTGCCCCAGGCCACGTTCATGCTCTTCCAGGCCCGCTTCTCCACGTCCGGTTCCCCTCCCAGCTCCTCCACATCCTCTCCAGACTGCGATTGCGATTGCTGCTGCTGCTGCTGCTGCTGCTGCTGGGATGCCTGTCCGCTGGCCAGCCGCTCGAAGGTGTCCCAGTCGATGGTGTTGGTGCCGTCGGTGATCACCAGCGGCACAAAGTGCCCGGTCATGTAGATGTCCGGATCGCCGGCGTCTCCGCCGGACGACCGCTTGCCCCAGGAGCTCTGCAGCGACTGCCAGGCGCGCTTGCTGTTGCCGTACAGGTCGCCCTCGCTAAGCTGGTCCAGCACCACCTGCTCGGAGAGGCCCCCGCCGCCCGGCTCGTTGGAGGCGGCACTGGCCGCTCCTCCGTTGGCCACCAAGCTGCCGCAGGCGCTGCCCAGGATCAGGAGCACCAGCAGGAAGCCGTACGTCCTCCGCGTCTTCGTGTGGGCCATCACTGTGAAAACGGGCGAAATGGAGGAGGGAAATTTCGTGAATGAAAGCCCAAATTAATGCTGATGGAGGATGGAGGTATGCACTCTAAGAAAACAAATATAGGAGGCGCAAAAGATTCTTAATTTTGAGTTAAATGTTTAAAGTGCTTTATTGCTTAAACATTAAAGTTGACTTTGACTTTGTTGTCTGAAAACCATTCATAATCATTTTTGATTATTTTATTTATTAAAAAAAAGTGCCTTTAATGATGATTTTGAGGTATCTATTTAAATGAAAACAAAATAAAATACATAAGTAAACAATGTTGAGAGAACATTAATAAATCATTTTCGATGGAAAAAAAATATATTTATTACGATATTCAATATTGCATAACTTTTGAAAATTCCCGAACTAACAGCAAGAAAGTGTAAATTATAAAATACATTGTTTTAAATTTATATCTACGGAACATTAACAATTTTCAGGAATTTAATAAAAGCAACATTATTTACCGAATAACATTGCATAAATGCTACAATAAAAACAAAATAAAAAACCCAGATTAACGAAATAAAATAAAATAGAAATAAAGTATTTTAGCATAATTGATTTTCGATATCAAACTTCGAAGTCCACTGATTTAAAAATTTCTTTTTTATAATTCATTTAAAATAATAAAGTAAAAACAAGTCAGGTACACTCCATCTCAAATATCTCTCAGTGCAGAGGTGCAAATATGAATGAATAAGTGCCGAAGGAAAGACTGATCCCGAGGAGAAGGCGCGACCGCACTGGCGGAATGCTCAATTAAGCCGCTGCCAACGCCACTCGACTGCTCCCTGGGGGTCCTGCCGCCTCCCGGAGGCTCCCCTGGAGTCCTGCGGCAATCATTTCCGCCCCCGGCCCGCGGAATTAAGGCAACATGCGCTGGAACAAGAACAACGGGGAACAAGAACGCGGGGAACAAGCGTAGCGATTTAGCTAAATAACCTCTCTAATTGAAAGCGGTGGGGGCCACCTTCCGTGGGCATTTGGTGGAGGCGTTCGCTGGGTGGCGGGGAGTCCTTCTCCGGCAGGATAACTGAGGTCATGCCGTCTGTCGACCGCTGCGTTAAAAGGCAGCAGCGCATAACAGTTACAATTTATGGCCTATTAATGTCCCTTCTGGAGGTAGCAACCAGCGGGGCAACTGGGGAGCGGGCCACTTGGGGGGAGGGCACTTCGGAATGCGAGTAGGCCAAACAATGGGAAGTGGGGCACGGAGCCATCGCAGCGGATGATTGGCAACCGGAATCGCCGGAATCGCAGTCTATAATGAGGCCTTAAATCGTTAATACGCCGCCCCACAGTCAAGATTATGGTCCTGTTTACGCACGGGCTTAAGTGCCTTGCGATTGCACTTGCGGCCACTCGACAGACTAGACAACGCAGCCGAGGAAAGCCAGGGAAAACCCTTGGAAAACCCACCCAAAGGGGGTGGGGAATGGGGCATTTGTTTGCACTTCCTGCCAAAGTAGTTTTTCCTATGCGTCCGCATGAGCATCGCAACCATATTGATTTGCATACATTGTTGCGTTGGCTGTCAACAGAGCCATATCCTGCTGAAAGGACACTCCAAGGAAGCGGAAGCAACAGTGTATTATGCGGGAATTATGTGCTTATTATTGCGAGTTTTCCTACATTAGCTTAACCTTTGAAGCCCCTCAGAAATGTTGCAATTAGACAGGCTTTAAATCGATTCATAAAGTTACACCCAATAAGTTTCTGGATTTAAAATGTATAATTTTTTAAGCAACTGCAAGGTTTTAATAAATGGCTAGTGAATCAAACCACAGACGAGATATATTTTCAATACTTTCAATATTTTCATACCATACATCCTAAAAATGAATGATATTTTTTTGGCAATGCCTTTCATCTTTTTGGCTTCGGTTTTTAAATAGCAAGCTCTTTATCACTTTTTGAATTATTATTTTGATAGAATGCCTCTCCGAATAGACCTCAAGATTGAGCAATTAAAACTATCCCTGATTAGCCAAACCCGATTCCCCAGTTTGCTCGCTTTCATTTGAATTATCGCATTATAATTTGGCGTAATCCCCGTCAGATTTTCTGGTCACTGCAAGTCAGCAGCAGCAGCTGGTGGGCGCCAACATGGTTAGCCATCAGCCGGGAATCAAATATTCAAAGCCTGGCAAAATCGGAGGAGTGGTTCGTACATATATCTTATCTGGGAGGTCGCCTGATTAAATGATGTTGCTGGCAGCCCGCTTGGATTTGCTTGGCTAATTGAGAGGCGTTAGCGGTGGGCCAACCCGTTCCTGGATGCGGACTGTCCCAGTGGCTCCAGTTTCCCAACTACTGACTCCTGACTGATTGTCCGAGTGCAGAGTTGGCCGCTTTTTTCCGGCTTAGTTCGGACTTAATTTGTGCGCTTGTCGTTGATTGATTGACGCCGCCCAGATGAAAGTTTTAGCGGCTTTGCGCCAAATTATAATATATAGCCACCGCGATGATAGAGCACGCATCGAATTTTATGGCCCCAATGGGTGGAGAGGGGGTTGGGGGACAAAGGGCAGGCAAACGTGCCGGGTCAACTTGTAATTGAAATTAACTGAAAATATTTATGGCCCTTGCGGCTGACATTCTTGCGAAGTCGCTAGTTGACTCGCTCGGCTCCATTATTAATTTGCCAGCCTGTTGCAGAATTATTCATGTGGTGTCAGGACATCGGATCGGACGAGTCCTTAAGGCGACATCTCCTTCGAGTGCGGCAAACAAATTTTCGCGCCAAAATTAAACAGCCCGCTGCAAATCGAATTTGCCGCTCTCCTATTTTTTGTATGGCTCGATAAATAGCTAGGGCAAATATTTGCCAAAGGATGGCAGTTGCCAATAAGTACTTTGTTTAAATAGGTTTCCTGCCGGCACCCACGCACAAGGACTCGTCGCCTGTTGCCGCCGAGTGTGAATGGAAATCTTCTCGGGGACATGGGCATTAACGAAAATTCGTAAATAAACAAAATATCCGCAATAGCGTAAATATACTGCTCGTCTCAAGCAGGTTGGCCGTGGCTCTCCCTTCTCACTTCTCACTTCGATTCCGTGGGCTGTTTGCCGAAGGAGTTCTGCATAATTTTGCCATGCTGCGCAAACAAATTTAAGCTGATGAGTCCTACAACTTTCCACGAGTGGATTATTTTTAAAATTTTCAAATTCCATGTTTGGAACGCAATTGCTTGGAATTTTTGGCGGAAATCGCTTCATTGGCTTTTAATAAATAATTGAAGAGAGCTTCCTTTAAATTTTACACAGGAACTACCTTTAGAAAAATGTGTGACTTAACTTTTGAAACATTTACTGGCTTTGAATCACTTGTAAATGTTTAAAAAAATTTTAAAGAAAATAATGGACTTCGAAAACGTTACTTGTGTTATTTTTGTATTATTTAACGCTTAAGAAATTTTCCAGCCTTGTGTTCACTGCACTTTATTAGCACCTTAGATATACTGAAAGCTTGTATGCATAGCTTCTCTTCTTAAATACTGAACGATCACCAGTTTTTTTTAATTACTTAAGATAACATATGTTTAGATAAAGGTGTAGTAAAAACGGTATGTCTTAGAATCTAAAATGTTGGGCCATATTATAGGTTTGCTCAAATTACTTAAGAAATATTCCTACAATTTTAAAGCAAACGTTTTCTAATTTTGATTTTGAAAAATAAGTGATGAAATGCAAGCAATGAAAACGATTCAAAATAAATTTACCGAAATGCTTCAGTATTTTGCATTCAAACAACAAGCAATTTAACCACAAGAATTCATTTTGGAAATTTATTTCCTGTGGCACCCAATCGAATTACAAGCATATTGAATTTCGAACCAACCACTCACCTGAGTCAATTTCTGCACGATTTTTGCGTTTTATTGTTCACAACCCGGAAACTGTGGCCAAGGTTTTTAAATTGTATTTCGAATTCAGAGAAAGTGGGCTGTTTTATTCAATTTTTTCACATGGAATAGCGTTTGTAAGTGAATTTACGGCGCCGACTGCAATTCAATTAGCGCTTTCGCTTGACCCGTGCGAAAGTGGTTTTGTGGAGCGAGGGCGCTGTTTGTCCTGCTTTCCGGTCTCTGAATTCTGAATTCTGATTCCAGGTTTCAGATTCCTGGTTTCTGGTTCCTGGTTTCTGGTTACTGGTTTCTGGTTTTTGGATGTGCGCAAACCTGTTGATCAACTGCTAATGATACGCAGCCCGGTGCGGCGCTCGCTTATAAATCAAAACGGAAGCGAATCGCCGCCCGAACGCCAATCCAAGTGTCCACGAATGGAGCTTCGTGTGTGGGTGTGTATGAGTGTGTGTGTGTGTGTGAAGAGGACTGCCGGCTGCGCACGCACACAAAGGCGGGGGATATCCGCCTGTCGCCGTTTGTGCAACGGAAGTGGCCGAAACCGAAAAGTGTGTTGCCTATTTAGCGGGGCGAGTGGAAGGGGAAGGGGGAAGCCCCTTGTTTCAGGGCACACATGCGCGATTGTTTGCTCTGACTTCCCCGAATCCGATGAACCCCCGCCGAACTCCCCAACCGCAAAATCCCCGGCTAGCCGTTGCCGATCCCCTGGGAACGCCGGTTTGCCTTGGACTCATTCAAATTCAGGCTCACGCTCTCCTTGGGGCATTTAAAATTAAACACTCCACACTTACACTTACGACGGGCAAATGGAACTAACAACTGAACGGCAGCATATTGCATATTGCATTTCTTTGTCGCCGGGCGGCGATTGAGCGACCGGGCACAAATACGATTCCGCCACTTAGCATCCACCTTCGCAATATACTCGATGCGGTACTCGATGGCCGATACAACAGTCAATAGGAGTCCCCGCCAGGAGCTGAGCACCCGGACGAGAACCCTTTTAGTGCTTCATGAATATTTATGGCGACACAGCACCTCCTCGGTTTTGTGGCTAAAAAATGAAGGAAAAGGCGCTTCTTCAATTACAAGACTCGCCCCAAAGATGTCACGTGGGTGTGCCTGTGTGTGTTGTGTGTGTGTGTCGCACATCAACAGGTTTTCATTTGCGGCCATTTGATGGCACGCCGAATAAACGATGATGGGAATATTTATGACACTCCTCTGCCGGCGCGTATAATGAATGGGCTCCGAGACCCCGAACCCGATCCCGATCCCGACCCCTCGCCCATTGCTGACATCCCCGACCCACCCGGCGATAAGCTACGTAGCTACTAATTGATTTGGCCCCTGATAAATCGCTGCCGACTCTCAGCGCCGCTGACAGCTACATGTGTCCGCTCCTCCGCAGAGAAGCACGGAGAGAAGTCTGATCGATTACGGAAAGCTTATTGAGAAAAACTGGAACAGTATATATTGTCTACTTTTCTTTGTTAAAATAACATTAAAAGTATTGGAAACTTAAAAAGTTAAGAAAATAAAGTAAAAAGTATAAATAGCTAATGGAGATGTTTGCCATAATAAACGAATATATTTAAATTTATTTAAAGAAAAGCCTTTCGAAAATATATTACTTAATTTTTAATTGAAGTAAATCAAACTTTTAATCTTGTGAATTCATTAAATATAAAAAAATTAAAAAGTAAGAATTTGTATAGAAATATTAATTCATTTCTTTCTTTATTCAGGAAAACCATATATAAACATTTATTCTAATTTATAAACAAGAAATGATTTGTGAAAGTGGCTCTGATATAACATAAGACCATATTTACTTCCTTTATCAAAAAAAAAATATATATATATCTTATGTAAAAGCAATTTATTATTGTTATTGTACTTTTTGTTATTCTTCTGTGAGGCTTATCAACATTAATTTTTTTGAGTGCTCTTGATTAGAACCGGAGTGCAGCAGCAGAAACAGAAGCAGAAGCAGCAAACGAAACGATTGTAAATCATTTCCATTTACGTGTCTGGCCTAATTGCTGGCATCCAACAAGACCTTTGAGCGATCCATTCGGGTACGTCATCAGTAATGTTTCATTTGCATGGTGACAAAGTGAATTAAATGGGTCCGGGTCCGGGTCCGGAAGGCGGAACAATGGTCGCACAATGGCCAAGTGCAGCGAAGCCTCGCCTTCAGAAACGCCTCCTCCTTTCTTCCGAACGGCACACTTGCACTTGTGAGGGAATCCCTTGGCGATTCCATTGTGAAGATGATGTAGCTGGCGCTGTTGGCAGCTAATAATAATTTGTTTGCACTTTGCATATGCCATCTGGTCAACAAAGGGCAGGCACGGCCATAGGAAGGTCTCAGGGAGCCCAATATCCTGTGGGTCAAGGCAAAAGTAAAGTTATTGTAAAACTTTAACATGCATACCCAAAAACTACCCTTGCCATTTATCTTTGAGCAGGATTTAATTTTAGGATTTAATTTAGTTAATACTGTTCTATACTTCTGATGCATCATATTTTTTGTAACAAAGCAAATGTGGTATTGCATTTCTTGACTAATTCACCTCATTTTAATTAATAATATGTTGGATTTTATAAAGTTATGAACGTTATGTTAGATTAATCATCAGTGAAGTAGGAAATCAAAAAGGTGATAACATCTTTTGACTAGAATAATGGTATGAGTTTGTTAAGTTTTAATAAAAAATTTATGGCATATTCAAATCTAAGAAGACTAGTGAAAAAAGCAATAAAAGTAGTAATAAAGTGTTTTGGATGTCTTACTTCGTTACAATGTCCAAAAGAAAAATGCTGTCCAAATAAAATAAATTCAGGATAAGACATTAAATGATTTTCTTAATAAAGAAAGTGCTTAGGTGCTTGATTCTCATCAATGAACTGCGTCTATATGGTTTCAATAAAAAGAATTATAAAAGAAATAAAATAAAATTTTTACTGCTGAGTTTAATTTTAACAATTGTGCTTGCTATTAAAGGAGCAAAAATCTTTTCATAATTATACTACCTGAATATTTAAATTTTGCGCCACATTGCTGCCTGACAAAAGCTGGTTGGCACAGATATCTTTGGCTGACAAAACTAATAGGTTTTAACCAGCCGAAAAAAAAATATTTTCGTGGAAGCCACAAGTTGTTTGATTATATATATATATTCATGATATTTTTATATTCATGTAAGCTAATACAACTTTAATTTGAGTTTGTGTTATGATTTATGTTAACGTTTGCCATGTTTCCGCCGAATTCGCCGTGTTTCTCGTTCGCAGTGAAGAATATAGTGTTGAACAATTTTGTAAAGTAAAATGTAAACAGTTCTGCCAGTACGGGGTTTCACCAACTTATTACCAGGTGGAAGAAAAAGTTTTCACGGGCAAATTTAGGAAAAATCGGTTACCCCAAAAACAAAGTCGAGGAAATAAAAACAAAGCCGGCTAGATTGTCAGAAAATGGATTTTCCCCGTGCAGACATGAAATAGAGGCAGCGAAATGGACATAATCTTGCCCAGAGAAGCGCACGATGCGCAAAAGTTCTTGGACTGCGCGGACAAGTTGGACTACGATGAGTTTTCAGCGGTAAAGATTTCTATTCTATGTAGCCCGTAATCCTGCTTAAATGGGTAAAATCTATAATTGCAGAAAATGTTTGTGTTCTTCAACCATCACAGCGATGTGGACGTGTTCGAGTTGATGGGCAACGACCGTCTGTCGCAGTTGCTCTACGGATGGGAGGTGTGCCACCTGCCCACCCGCGATCCTGATTCCTTGAAGAATCCTGCCCTGCGCCACATCGTCCTCGTTCTGGCCCACCACTCGTTGCAGATGCTGTTCAGCCAGGAGTGGAGCACCTGCTCCGAGGGACTCAAGCACCTGCTGCTCTACAGCCTCACCAAAGCGGTGCCGGCCTTCTACCAGATCTCCGAGCTGGCCAAGTTCGACTGGCCATACATCATGCAGTTCCAGACGAGACCCTGGAGCCTTCCCTACATGCAGCAGCTGTTCCGCAACCTGAAGCAGAACAAACACCATGCTATCGAACACACGGTTCCTGTGGCAACAGGAGAAGGTTCGGGATTCTTATCTTTCCTTAGAGAATTCCTCTTAACCCTTGACTCTTCCCGCAGACATTGCTTTTCTGAAGCAGGAAGGCCTCTCCCTGGTTATCCTGCGCCTCATGCAGCTCTTCAACGCCGGCAACTTTGAGGCCGTCAAACAACTGGCTCTTCGCATGCTAGCGGCCTGGTTGAAGGCCCACGAAAACTCGCCATTTGCGTCCTTTGAACAGGATCAGAACACCATTACGCTGGTGGGGCACCTATACCTCTTGACCGTTTTCGTAAGAGACGAAAACCGTGGCTATGTTATAGACAATTTGGTGAGGAATACATACTTATATACACAAAATCCAAACTAATTAGCAAATGCCATCCAGATGTACAACATACGTTTCTACGCGCAGAGCATGCAGGAAGCTTCGATCTCACACGACATTAACTTCACGCCCGCTCGGCTTATTGCCCAGATTTGTGTGCGACTGCGACTGAGCAGGAACGGGTTCTTCGAGCAGATTGGCTTCAAGAAGTTCAAGCTCAATCTGGTCACCTCCTTTGCCGTCATGCTGGAGGCCTACTCCAGCTATGTGCTGGGCAATCTTTTGATGGAACTGCAGTCACTGAACGAGCACGACTTCCTCGAGCACTTGCCCCAGTTCAAGGTGCTCATGTATCGCTACGTGGAGGAGCGAGAGAACAGCGAGCGTTTCCTCCTGGAGGAGCTGAAGAAGATTGAGAAGCAGCGCAACAGCCACCTGCAGCCACATGTGGTGGACCTCAATCTGAACTACCAGCAGCAGATATGCAAGGGCAACCGGGCCAGCAACATTGGAAACTACAAGAACTGCGACGACGACGAGAAGCCACTGCCGGAGACGGACGAAGAGCAGGACAGGCAGATAGATCCGGTGTTCCAGAACGTGCCAAACAACGAGGAGGTGCTATCCTTCGTCTACAAACTGCTGGCCGAGCGGGTAAGCGAGTAAAATAGTAATAAAATATTGATAGGTTAACTAAAAGTTGTTTTTTACAGAACTTTTCTGGTTGGAAGTTTGCCAAGATTGCGCTCCTGCTGAAAATCATTGGCCAGCAGCTGAATGCCATCGAAATATGGCGCTATCATCCCGGTCTGACCACCGCCTTCATGCTCAACTTGGAGCAGAAGATGTCGGTGAACTATGCCGACTTGGCAAAGGTCTTCTCCGACCACGCCTTCATGGAGGCAGAATTCTGGCTGACGGCCTTCTATCTCTACCCGATAACTCTGCACTACAACGAGGTCAGGCGCTGTTCGCGCATCAAGAAGAGGCGCCAGGAGGAGGATAACTGGCCGCCAGCTGCGGCTGCTCACAGCGTCAAGTACGAACTGCTGAGCTCCACCATTGATGTGGACGAGATAGTGTCCATAACGAATCACAACGCCCCTGTGGCCGACTACGATCCCGTGTACAAGTCGCTGCAGGCGCTGCGTCTGCCCCGCAGCATGATCAAGGACCTGCTGACGGTGGTCTTCCAGCCGCGGAACAAGCGCTACTCCTGGGCCCTGGACTGGCACACGCTGCACGAGCGATGCCATGCGCTGCTCAAGAGCCAGGACCTGAAGGAGAAGTTCGTGGAACTCAACATGGCCGAAGCGAGCGACCGCTTGAAATACCTGGAGATCGACTATGCCAAGTACAGGGATCGACCCCAGCTGGACTACGGCACCATTGAGGAGGGCTACGAGAACGCGGCCAACCTGCCGGAGGTGGAGGAGGAACCAATACCGTCGCCTGCTGTAAATGAAGAAGCGGCAAAGGTCGCACAGCAGAAAAAGCGGCGACCCGCTAGACGCAAGTTCTGGGATGAAGGTAAAATCTTATTTTGGAGAACAACTAATTATATTTGTTTATATAACCGTAACCTTAGTTGTAACAGCTTTGTTTCTTGTTTAAATATTTAAAATTAATATTAATCCCTTTTCAGTGGAGTTCTCAGAAGACGAGGAGGAGGCAGCCTCAAGCGATTCGGAGCCCTACTACACGGGAAACGGACGACGGACTCGAGTCAGAGCCGCAGCCATGGTGGCCAATGCCATGCTGTCCGACATGGATCGCAGTGTACGCAGTGGCCGGCGATCCAGCTCCCCAGAGACATCAGAAGCTAGGTCAGATCCTCACCACGAAACCGAACGGAATATGGACACCGAAGTCAAGCTGCCACAGCCACCATCCCCAAAGGAAGCAGCTGCCAGTCAGGATGAGCATACGATCAGCGAACTAATGGAGGCTCGACCAAAATTCAGCAACGAAACGCCGGGATTCAAGCCCTTTTCCGACATCTGGAGTTTCGAGAAGGAGGAGCTGCAGAACGTGACCAGCGAAGGTCATAACCTGATGGAGTGCAGCTCGGTGCTCAGCAAGTTTAAGAAGTTGAAGCAGCTCAGAATAGCAGCAGCAGCAAGGCCCCCCATTCCAGTGGGAAGGCTGCTTCGCACAGGATCGGAAACCGAGAGCGTTAACTCCGAAACATCCACGATGGCCACGCAAGACTTCAACGAGCGGACCTGCGACGATATTTCCGGTGTAAGTAAAGAGCTAACGCCCTCGTCGCCACCAAAATGTGAATTAACCAGGGAGCCTGAAGTGTTGCAGCCCGCTAAACGAACCGAATCGCAGCTAATGGAGAAGTCCCTGGAAGTTGGGAACCTGACCAAGGAGCCCGTGGAAACGGAGAAGGCTCTAGAAAATAGGCAGCTGAAAAAGAAGAATTGCGTTGCAAAAGAGTTTTTGAAAACCGGATATCTAAGTGAAGTACGTGAAACTAGACAGCGAAAAGAAGCGGATTTGAATACTGGTCAAAAAGAACCTATCTCCGATGAAGCTGGTCAGCCTTGCAGTACTACGCAACAAAAAGAGGAGATTATGGAAATGTCTTCTAGGATTACAGAAACCGACACGGAAACGGACACTGCGGAGGAGACGTTGCAGTACGAAAATGCCGAAAAGGAACCGGAACGCAAGCGCCGGAAAACCGGATCAATAAGCCAGGATACCAAATCACAGTCTCCGCCCTGCAAATCCACCTCAGAGGAGCAGGAGCTCCTTGTCCACAAGTGTCTGACGCATCCGGCACAAGTATGCTTGAAGAAGCTCACCTCGCAGGACATCGCAAAGCTCCGCGGAGTGCGGGTGCGGATAAAGCGCACCAACTTGGACGACTACTATCGCAAAAAGCGAAGACAAGCGGTGAGTCTGCTGAGCCAGAGCCAGAGCCACTCCCCGACCGAGGACAGCAATGCGTCCTCGCACGGCTACGATATCCGCAACCACGGCCGCAGGCGCTTCAAGAAGTTCGTGCACATCACGTCGGACTCGCCGTCTCCCTCGGTGTCCTCGACGCCCTCGCCGCGCATAATGCTGGCCAAGGCGGCCTTCAAGCACATAACATCCGACTCCTCCACGGATCTGGAGGAGGTGGCTCGCGCTGCTTCCTCGCTCAGGAGACGGGGACGCGGAAGAGGCCGAGGGACAGGCGGACCCAGGTGCAGGACGGAAGCAACCTCCCGACGAACGTCGGCCTTTCCGCCGGACGTGATCGAGCTCTCCTCGGACTCGCTGTCCTCCAACTCGCCGGTGCTGGGCGGCAACCACCCGATGATCCACTTCTCGGAGGTGATGGAGATGGATCCGCTGTACGAGGAGGCCATCGTTCCCTTCTAGCACGCTGTCGATGACCGGAGCAGATTGCAGATTGCTGGGCCGCAGGCGAGGCTCTACGTGCTCGGAACGAATGCAGACGAGGGGTTGCACGGAGGTCGAGCAGAACGGAGAACGATTCGAGTGGCAGAGGGAGGAAGGAGGACGGAGCATAGCTGGGAAAATAGAATTTGTCTCGCTTGTTAGAAGGCAATTAGCCCCGGGCACATTCGGTATTTGCTTTGGCCAGCACAGAGCCAGGATTCTGATGAAATTATGTGCATGTACATCTGTTTGTCCAAGCCCCGGCTCGTCCATTGTATTTCGGCTTCTATTTGGACTGTGACGACGCCCGCGGGTCTTTAAAAAAAATTAAAAATTTTACTTAACTTGCAAGCAAGACTATTATAAATATAAAGAAAAATGAGAAATATATATTGTGTTTGTTAAAAAAGGAAAGTAAAATTAAAAAATGTATATTTTTTTTAAGAATAATATACTGATTTCTTGATCGTTAAGCTTATTCGTATTGTGTTGTTTGCTTTAATAAAATAAATTTACACTTTTAAAGCCATTATTTGGATCTGAGTTTTACGCTGCTTCAAGTTCCCAAGGATGGCAAATATTTGTTTAAGGGAAGCACTTAATTAATACCCATTAAACAGCAATCGGCAGTTCATAAATCTGAAAGGAGGCACATTATCAAATTAGCCCCGTTGACACTCTCGATTTGCCGCTCGTGCTGGCAATTTGCGACGACTGCCGCATATCATAACAAATCCACACGTGGCACCCGTCCACTTGGCCACTTGAAACTGCAACTTCGATCCTCCTTAAATCAGCCCAGCCGCAGATAGGAAATCCACAGCGGCACACTTGGCCACTTGAGCAGCCGTTAAGACCGCGGCACGTGCCAACGCCATGGCTTTGCCCCCCTCATCCAGATGGAAAGGATGGACGGAATGGAGGGGAGTGAGTGCTTTTGGCCGACTGGCTACACATGTTGCATTCTGTTGCCTTTGGGAAGTGGAGGCGGTATCCTCGCCACGTGCCACTAACCCGTTTAGCGACAAGCGAAAGCCCTAAACGCTTACTGCGGTTCAGTGGCGAAAACCGAAAGAGTTGCCGGTAATTGAATCGTTTGATTTGCAATCGCATTAAGCCCACGTAAGTTCGGTGTTGCGATAAAGTAAAAAATATTTAAGCCACGAAATTGATATGCTCTAACAAAGGGTGAAGCAATAAAAGATATACCCATTGTTCTATCTATAAAAGCAGGGTGAATATATTCCTATTGAAATCATTAAATATTTTCTGATAAACATTTTTCAGACATTTTTATATTTAATCATGATTAAAAATGATCATGACTAAAAATAAATTTCATTTAACAATTTTTTACTGCTATTTATTTTTCTTTGGTTATATGTATATTAACTATCATAGCTATAATATTAACTAACCAAATAGCTCAAATCTGATACCTAAAAATAAAGACAGTTAATTAATTTATCTAAAGTTGATTTAGAAAAAATGTATTTCTAAAAAAAACGTATTGTACTTTGCAAACTAAATATATTCGATTTCAAGAAAATGAGTTTTCAAAATTAGTCAAAAATAGAAACATGGATTAAAATAGTTAAAGCTTGAAAATATTTGGAATGCAAATTGCTTTTAATTTAATTAATGAGATATACAATTTGTTTAGAGTAATTTACAAAGGATTGTATGAAGGTGGATGAAATACTTTTTCTGTCAAAAAATATGCTTTGCATCATTATGTTTATGCACTAGCAGAATGCGTTAAAATACACTACTTAATCTCTCGAAATGGGGTACGTAAAGGAGTGGATACCTTTGATGATGCCGTTGGCGACACCACTGATCCTCGGACTCAGACATCCTTCCGATTGGCTTAGAGAGCGCCGCTAGCCAGCAGAGCGTGAAAAATGCTCGTATTTTGACTGGTAGCGCTGCCCGCAGAACGAATTTCCATCTCCCCGAAGAACAACCCGCTGGTGGAACAGCCAGAACCACCAGAACTACTAGAACTGCTGGAACTGCCAGCCAAGCGACTCCTGAGCGAGCGAGTGGGCAAAAGCCACCCTCGAACGGCAATCACGGCGCATATCTGCTGGGATTTGCGTTCAGCGCTCTGTGCTGCAGAGAAAACTCGATGGCGCCGCCACGACCGACGACAATGCGCCGAGGGTTGTTGCCCGGCGGTCCGGACCAAAATCAGCGGGCTTAATGGCTGGCCGGGCTGGGCGGTAGCATAAAACCGGTGCGCAGTCCTCGCCAGCTTTTAGTTGGTGCGGGCACGCGAGACACGAAGAATCGACGACGAACACACGGCTCTCTCTCTCTCTCTCGGAAATCGGAAATGTTCTAAAGGATATATAGCACGTACGCAAACGGAGTAAAATCATCGAGATCGAGATGGCCGCCTGCTACAATGCCTACAGCGCCGGTTCGCAGTCCTTCGAGTTCGACGAGGAGGACGACGACGCCTCCTTCGACAGCGGCTACGAGAAGAGCTTCGAGACGGAGGCCCAGCTGAGCTCCCGCCGGCGGCTGGACTTCGACGGCAGCTACGGCGGCACTCCGCCCGCCCCGGCGGTCCAGCATCCGTACTCCGGCGGCTGGGACGCCGTGCCGCTCAACTCACCGCCGGCGGGATTCGTTGGGCTGCTGGACACGAGCAGCAACCACAGCACGCGGAGCGGCAGGACGCTGGTGGAGCACCTGAACAGCCGGGCCTCGAACGGAGCCTTCGATCCGCCGCTGACCAGCACGCCGGTGAAGTCGCCCGGGGATCCGGATGCGCCGCGCCAGAAGCGGAAGTATGCCGTCGGCAAGAACAGGGTCACCCGCTCCCGGAGCCCCACGCAGGTGGTGCGGATCAAGCGCTTCCGCCGGATGAAGGCCAACGATCGGGAGCGCAACCGGATGCACAACCTCAACGATGCGCTGGAGAAGCTGCGAGTGACATTGCCCTCGCTGCCGGAGGAAACCAAGCTGACCAAGATCGAGATTCTGCGCTTCGCGCACAACTACATCTTTGCACTGGAGCAGGTCCTTGAGAGCGGTGGTTCCATTAACTTGGACCTGGAGAAGCTGCAGAACTTCACGCTGAGCGGCGAGAGGATAACCAAGGAGCTGTTCGACGCGCTGTTCGTGAATCCCCAGCCGTATCCCATGTTCGGATGCGGCAGGATGTTTCCGTATGGCCAGAATGGAATGGCGCCGCTTGTCCAGGGTCATCCTGCTCCTGTTCCTCCTGCGGAGCATCCGCCCGCGATGGGGGGCTTCCAGCAGGGCGTGGACTACCCGCAGCAGCCGCCAGGATTCGATTTCACGGGCAGCATGCGGTTCTACCACCACCAGCAGCAGCAACAACAAGCACATCTGCATCATAATCCCCAGCAGGAGTCCAATGCGCAGCTCTTCTCGCAGGAGAAATACGATCTGTTCAGGGGATCCTTCGATGCAGCTGCCAATCTCCAGCCCTCGAATCTGGACTCCGGGGTTCACCAGCAGAGCAGCTTCTACACGCAGACTCCGCCATGGAAGGAGTACCCGGAGGATCAGGCCATTCCACATCCGCAGACTGTTCCACATTTGGATCCGCACAGCTACAAACAGTTCGCCCCACAGGTGTAGCATAGTTTTTGGGGGCTGAATATGCGATTAAGGATTTTCCAGCGTGATATATTTCAAGATTGCGGAGATTTGATGGATACTAAATTAGGGAAACCCTTAGGAGATACATCTTTGATTTACTTTTAAAACCCAAAGTATCTTACTTATCTTTCTCCCGGTTTCCTTACTTTACTCTCCTCGAATCCCCAGCAATCCGTTGATATAGGTACTAAGTGAGAAAACTAATTAACTGCTCAGATTATCTCCTTATTAGGAATCAGAAAGTACTTCCAATTCCCAACAACAAGCTAATCTTTGAACTTAATAAGTTGTATATTGCAGAAGGATCCTCAATAGATAAATGAATTGTATTCTAACTTATCTTTTAGTTTTTCAATGATCAAATTGGTTTCTTTTTTGCGGATCTCTAGAAATTATTTGCATCAAGAAGGATCCTTAAAAGATGAACCAATGTTTTCATATATCAATATTTTAAGTTCACTACATTATTATCTAACGCTTGCTTTAATCCATTTTAAATTGGTTTCTTACTTGCGGATCTTCTAAAAATATTTTGAAGAAGAATGCTTAATCTGAAAATTTCAAATACAGCACTCTTTTTAAAATATTTTTTTCATATAAATCTCGACTATACAGTACCAATCGGTTGTCCATTAAGTGTAAGCGGATATGTACCTTGCCATTTAAACATAAGCCTAGACATAAAGATCACTGAGATGTACCAGGTATTAGCCATAATGAACTGTACAATCGAATAAGTATATGCAGGTTATGCCAGATTATATAGGATATATCAGTTATTGCAATGCAAGGAAAGCGAGCTAGTCAGGGCCACAACTTTAACGTGATAAGATTGAATTTCGATGTAAAGCCATAAAGATCTATTTTTGCAAATAAAGTTGACGATCAAAACGAGCCGGAAAATTGATGGTGAATGGGAGGAATTTTAGGAATGGCAGGAATGGGAGAACAACTCCGGGCAAAGTCAAAAATAGTAGCCAAAGCAAACAACCCTGAGCCACATGGAGAGAATCAGAGTTCGGTTGTGTGCGGATTTGAGATCCCAAACAAAGGACTTAAATTCAAATAAATATTGTATATTGCAGTGCACATAAAACGAATGGCTTTGTGTGTGTGCACTGCAGCTTGTTTTTATCGTAGGGGGCACTTTTCGCCCTTACAATTCGACATGGGGTGAGTCGAGTCCCCGTAGAAGCTGAACTCCGTGCTGCGAACTTCGAACAATGGAAGATTGCCCGTCACCTGCCACACAATTACAAAACGAATGTACCAACAGCAGCGGCAATCCTGAATCCTGCGTTCTGAGTCCTGGGTACTGAAACATGAGCCGTGAGCCGAGCAGTGGACCTGCATGAATGCCACTCAAATTATTTAGTTGAATGAACCGGCAAGAGTCGAGGGAAACTGCCTTACCGCTTTGCTGCCTAACTGCCTAACTGCCTTACTGCCTAAATGCCCAAATGCCTGACTGACTGACTGACATTTTCCGTTACGAGGCAAGGGTGAAAAGGTGTGGAAGATGCTGCAAAGTCGGTAAGGAACTCGGCATCTCAGTCCGAGGATTACAGTAAGTTTGCTGTCATAAATACATTTTAAAATTTAAAAAAGAACTGACTGCAAATAGCTGATATGAGATATCTGGAAGAATGGGTAAGCCAGAAAGTACTCGTATAAATCTTTTTGGTCCAGCTATTCAAAAACAGTCAAAGGTTTTTTTTAGAAATCTTATTTCTAACAAATGCCGCTGGAATTGTATACCTCCTTTAATAATTTGCTCATTTGATTTCAATCATTTTTAGTTTTTACACGTTAACAGAAAATTAACATAACTTAACTAATTGATAACAATTTTTGTGTACCAAAACCATACATATCGTACAACATTTAGTATTACGATGAAGAAATTGTTTAATAGTTTTAAATTATGTTTTAATTTCAGAATCCGGTACAAGTAAAAACAAATAATTCAAGTTGTTTGATAAAAACAAAAACACATCACTTAATACAGTTTATTAAACAAACTTTTTCCAAAAGTATTCATTTATTAATACATTTTTGTAGCAGGTGTCTATTAATAAAAAACTATATCTTTTGTCGATATGTTTCTTTCATTGGGTAAAACGGCTACCAAAAGATTGATTAGGGTGATTACAAATATTTCAAGTAATATCCCTTATGTACAATTAATATGGTCTAGTGGAAATAAAAATTCTTTTTTTTGGGTAGCAGAAAATCGCACATTGTCAATTTTTGGGGTATAAGTATGAATTCGCTGGTATTTCCCGAACTAAGCCGGCGTTTGTCATTTGAGCAGCTTTGTTGGAGGTGTCGGGATTTATCTTTACAATAATCATTATTAAGACCGGCATGGGTCCTTCGTTCTCTTGTCCCGTTGTGTGGCAAAGGCGCAAATACGCAGCGGGCGAGCCCGCTAAGCTGCATTCAATTTCCAGGACTCTCGACGAGGGATGAGGATGAAACCAGAACCAGGACCAGTACCAGGCATCATTAGCGGACGGGGTGGCTCCGTTTCGATGGATATCGGCGGATCAATGACGACATCTCCGCCTCGCTGCCCCTTCTCGAATGCTAATGCACTGCGAGGCTGGAAAAACAATTTGGCGATGGCCATAAGGCGATAAGCAAACCAAAATGGAAACAAATTGCCATGGACATGCTAAAAGGCCTACACACAATGGCATCTTCTTTTGCGGCAAGTGCAGGTCCTTGGAGAGCGATTCAAATGCGGTCCGATGAGACTGCACAAAGGCGAAGGATGTGGGTCGGCAGATGGAAGAGGGTGCTACTCCCAGGAACCCAAGGAAAATCACTTTTCTGTAAATATTCAGGGATTAGTCAACAGAGATAAAACATAAGTGACCGTTTCATATGCTTTTTCATCGAATCAAGAAATGATAGTCCCAAACATTCTTTGAAGTTCTTTTTTCAAGGAAATTTGATTATTTTTTTACGAAAGAATAGTAACCATCTACTCAAAATGAAGATATATACTAAAAAAGAAATAGGATAAACTATGATATTATACATTTGGGAAACAAATCTCACCGAATAAATTTAATTTACCTTTTAAAATTAACTTCTCTTCTTTCAGTAAAAACATTTTATGTTGGTCCCATACCCTCTGTTTTTTTTTAACAAAATGAAAGAGATATTTTGAACTGTCAAAAGAAATATAGATACTGCCATAAAAACGGGGAAAACATGATTATTTAAAAGTATAAATAAAAATCAATTTAGTGAAAATTGTTTAAAACAGTTTGGTTGAAGCGTTTATATAATATTTTGTTAGTCAACTTCAGTTACAAGTTTGTAAGATGAATATGGGACTTTATAAGTTTACTAAAACAAAAGAAATGGTAATATAAATTTAGTTAAAATTTGTTTAAAAAAAAAAACATAATTTGTTGTTTTATATTATTGTACCAATAGATTCATATAGACTACACAAAATATACAAGCAAAGTGCTGGCTCAGTTCGTTCAATAAATATTTTCTAAAATCGCATGTTTTCCGTCCCTTAGGTGTACACGATTATGGGTCAATAGGTTCGATATGCATATCGAAGAATAAAATCAGAGTTCAACCCTCGGATTGGCAAGTATGAAATATTAAGATCATATATCACACCGTTCCGGAGAACACATCGCCAATTTGTCCTTGCCCTTTTGCGATTCCCATTTCGCAAATCGAATTTTATTTGCCGAACTGATTGTTTTACGCCTTTTTAGCAAAAAGTTGGCACACATTTTTTTAACCCTTTGCCGGTGCACGTGGTTTTTGCAGACCCAGGATCTATTGTTTATTACCCCTTCGGTCCTGATCAAACATTCGCGGCAGAGATTCGCTTTGGTGCCGCAGTTACACGAACACGTTCGCTTTTTAGCGGCAAGTTGCTCGACCTTTTTGCCCATTCATTGCCCTGCTCGAATTGGTTTATCTGTGAAATCTCTGACGTCCTCCGGTCGTTGTTGTTTATGAGCCTTCCGGGGTGTGCAACCTGGTATACGTTACTGTTCCAAATACAAACAAAAAAAATCCAGGGAGAGATGCATCTATTCCCTACCTTTGTCGCTTTCGAGTTGTGTGCTCATCTAACCGAAAAACATTGGATAAACAAACAGCCGCTCGAGTATTTTGTTACACTTAGTGCCCCGTCCCAGGACCGATTTATTCCTCAACGTTTCCGAGTCCGCAGAAGGAAGCCAATCTGTCGCATTTGGGTGCACTGGTCCCTCGACTGAAACTGTAAAATGTTGTGCAAGCGCTGATTTTTAATCCGATCAGAGCGGTTTTAGTCAAATTTAAGCAGATTTATGTCACATTGTTGAGCCAGAAAGTGGTACGCTGAGCGGGAAAACAAAACGAAAATGTTAACACATGTAAATCAAGAATCAGATAACTATATCGTGCACAGCTCTTCTTTTAGGCAAATCGAATTGAGATCATGTTCGAGCTCCGAGCGATAAGACCAGAAAATTCGATTTAGGTTGCGGAAAATTAACAACGAAGAGCAGCAACAAATTGCTACGGGTTGTTTGAGGATGTTTTATGTAAATGCATAGATCTATGTTAAGGTTTTTGGACATAAGTAAAAATAAGATACACATTAAAACAAGAAAGGAAGCTAACTTCGGCAAGCCGAAGCTTATATACCCTTGCAGTCATCAAATATGTCGGACAAAATACATAAAGGCTAAACAACATCGAAGCTATGACGATTTTTTATTAATTTTCCATATTTTCGACTATTGTTCATATGGCAGCTATATGATACAGTTGTCCAATTTTGATAAAATTTAATTCGTAATTCAAGAGTCGTTAAAAAACTCTATATTCTAAAAATCATGCTTGTCTGATAAAAAACAAACCGTAGCTAGCTTCTTTTCTTGTTTTCTTTAATACTTATGTGCTGATTCCAGGCTTAAAGCTCTCATTATTTCATTTTTATGAACAGATCGGAGGTTTTTCAATGAGCTTTTGTTGATAACACCTATCAGTGAAATTCCAAAGACTCATGGGACGTTGGTAAATAAATCCAGAATCAGTTCTGTTTAAACATTCACATGGTTAACTATTTATTCGGAATTAATATGTTGAAGTCGATCACTTACTGCTTAGTCTTGTTCCTTTCGTGGGATTCTCTGGGATCCTTGGCTAAGCACTCTTCTGTGTGTCTTCTGCACGACCAGCCCAACCAATGTGGAGCATTCTGCCTGCAGGCGCTGAGGCCGATGATCGATCACATCGCTTTTCACCAGAAGAAGCTGAATGAGTCCCAAACGAAGCTGGACAGGATGGAGGGTCAGCTATCTGATCTGAAAAACTCATTGGATCAGAAGGAGGCTTCCTGCGAAAATGCCATCTCTCATAATTTGCAGACAAAACTGGAGGCGATTGAAAGGCAACTGTCAGCGATGCAGGAATTACTATCCAAAGCGAACAAGAAATCCATAAATACGCATCCGTACAATCGGATTGGCTCGAGATTGATTTACGTTGAAAACGAAAATTATCGAAATTGGGAGCAAGCTGAAGCGTTCTGCCGTGGAATAAACGGTCACCTGATCACAATCCAGAACAACTCTGAGCTGAGCGCTTTGGATGAAAAGCTGGAGAGAAACACTGGCTACTGGCTGGGGATCACTGACGTGGCCAAGAAGGGCGAGTTTGTGTCCGTGGCTTCCGGCAAGCCAGCTCCCTTTTTTGATTGGGCATTCCCCCAACCCAATGCCTTTGGAAACGTATATGACTGCGTGACTCTCTACAGCGGCAAAATGTTCAACCTTAGTTGCAGCAAAGTTCTCCATTTCATTTGCGAGGCGACTTTTGATTAGAAGAAAATGTTTTCTTATAATAAACAGATTATTCAAGAATAAACATAAGAAGCGTACTAGTATTATTGAGAATTTATGGAAATCAACAAAATCCCTTAAATTAAAAAAAAAAAACAACAAAATTTTATTCTCAGTTGTTTCTTTATTGGAAGTGAAAATAGACAATTGCATTGCTTCCTACGATTCCTGTGTCAAGATGATAACCCCGCACGGAAAACCCATAGATTACGGAAGCCTTATCACCAGAGACTGCAGCTTTTCACTTACAGTGTTTCAAAAGCGGTTTCCTTCGGCGGTCGAAGAATCCCAGAAAACACGTTCGAGTTGTCCACTTACCTGATCATCCTCCTTGCATGGGATCCTTGGATCATCGGATCATTGGACACTGGCCAGGACATTGGGAGCTCCGTGTGCAGGCTTACGGACCCGAACAAGCAATGTGGAGAGCACTGCCTCAACGCTCTGATGCCGACGATCCGGCACATTTACCACCAGCAGAGGAGCAGCACTTGCGATGCCCAGAAACTCAACGAGACCCAGGCGAAACTGGACAGGATTGAGGGCAGGCAGACGGCGGTGCAGGAAGCCCTGTCCAAGCTCGAGTCCTAGCTGGAGGCCAGCGTGGACACTTTGAAGACATCCGTGGACAGGGAGGGAGAAACTCTGAAGGCTGGCCTCGCGAGCCTCGAGAAGTTGCTGGAGCAGAAGGAGGCTGCTTCGAAGCTCCTGCAGGCGAAAGTGGATCGCATTGAAGGCCAGCTGGCAGGCATTGCGGAAGCCCTGTCCAAGGCCATTAAAAACCTTCAGCACAGCAAGTTCGAGCGGATCGGGGACCGGCTGCTCTGCGTGGGGAACAACAGTCGCCAGAAGTGGAGCCTGGCTGAGGAAGCCTGCCTCCAGATGGGCGGTCACCTGGCCACCATCCAGAACGAGGCGGAGCTCGCTGCCTTGGAGGGTAAACTGAAGAGGAACACTCCCTACTGGCTGGGCCTTTCTGACCTGGCCGAGCAGGGCCAGTTCGTCTCGGTGGCCACCGGAAGGCCAGCAGGCTTCTTCAACTGGCGAGCGACACAGCCGAACAACTTCAACAACAACGATCGCTGCGTCAGTTTGTACAACTCAGAAATGTACGACAGCGTTTGCGAGGATGCTGAACATTTCATTTGTGAGGCAGCTTTCTGAATACACTTCCCAGAATTGTTTTCTTTTTTCAAATTTGTAATATGTAGGGGAATGTCGTCAAGGTTGGACAGTTGTCAGGGTCGGACACTTGCAATTTTTCTAATAAACCAACTATCGCCATCTGTCTGCGAATGTGGTATTAATTGTTATCACTGTGGGAAACTTTTCATCCCTAGCCGCATCCCATAACTGTTAATTTTCCTGTTTTGTTGACATAGTGTCGTGATAGTGAAGAAAAAAGTATTCGAGAACGCGCTAAAAAAGTGGCATAATTCAGCGGAAAATATGCCATCCGCAGGGTAAGTTTAAAAATACGTTAAGTGGTTCCCCCTTAACGAAATCCTAAAAAAAAATTTGTTCTAAATAAAGCGATTTGGTAGTTATGTTGTGCGGTAGGGTTATGACTCATGTTGTCAGGGTTGGACACTTTTTGTTGTCAAGGTTGGACACCCTTGGTTTTTTCCCTTTTGTCAGAATATTTTAATTTTTCCAATGTTTTTTACAGTTATTACAGTGGTAATTAATTACTTGATTCAACAAAAAGTGAAATAATTAGTAAATAAGTAAAAAAAAATAAATTCTTTGAGTAATAATTTATTTTCTCCCTTTGAGGAGGTTCACGCTACAAGCGAACGACGAAAAGAGGTAAAGTCGACTTGCATAATGCTGTCCTGGCCATTAAAGCAGTTAAGTTGGAGAAAGGAAAGTTAAAGACAGTAGCAAGGGCTTATGACCTGCCTAGAACGACTTTGCGGCGATATATTAAAAAAAGTATTGTAGATGAAGAATATGAGGACATTTCTACTGTTACTGACGACGATCTCGAGAAGACCCTGAAAAAGTTATTTTGTTTGTCCTAATTGTTTGTAAAATTTGTTGATCACAATAAAAAAGAGTCAAAAGACATAAAATACACCTGATCCATGGATAATTTCTATTGTTTTTCATTCCACAACATAATGCTCATTGTCAGACATACCTTTTGCCTTTACCTTTCAAACTATTTACGCAAATGATCTTAATTCTTATTAAAACGATAATTATAGGCAAGGGTCGAAAATGTGTCCAACCCTGACGACATTCCCCTACTTTATAAATAATCACTCAAGTCTTTTTTTCTGATACTGTATTATACTTATACCTCACCATCTGATTTATTTTTTGAACGCCAACAATTCAACGTTCAACATTGAACGTCGGCGAGTGCAGACATGCATTTATTTCTCTGGTGCTCCGGAATACAATCGTTAAAAAAACCAATATAAAATAAAAATAAACGGCGAAAAGACGCTTATTGCGATGAAAAGTCGCAAGTTACTATTATTTTGTGTTTTTAATTAGTGCTTCTATTACTAAAATACAAATAAAAGCAGAAAAAAAAAAACAAGATAAGAAAGAAAAGAAAAAAAGTTGGCCTAATTTACCTAACAGAGAGTCTTTTAAGAATAAATAATGTACCTAAGAATAATCGCAGCTCGTGCGCATTATTTACTTTCTTGACATTAAATTACAGTTTAAATTTCTTTTGAAGAAAACAATTGTCCTTGCACATGAGTGATTATTAATTAAATAAATAATAAATTATTAATTTTCCAACCCCACATTAAGACCATTTTCTATTCCAGTCACATTCTGTAACTGTGCCAAAAAAATACGCATTTCGAATATATTCCTTTTCCAAATGAATAAACTGTTAGACAAACAATACATTAAACTTTACAACTTCACACCCGCTGCCAGTGAACGCGAAACGGAAATGTTGGAGGAAGCACCCTTTTGCCGAGCCCAAAACGGAAAGGTCCTTTCGGCAAGGAGTGGTAGATGGTAGCTGTACCACAAACGATGAGTTGATTGTTATGCAAATGAGCCAGGCCAGCGACCGGCGACCAGGACGAAATGTGAGAGCCCAACCCCAGACTCCGACTCGGATTCCGGCTGCAGTTCATCAAGTGGTCATAAATTTATAGGTAGTTTGCTCAGAGCTGCGAGGACGAGAGGAGCTGCCTAATTACTATGCACTGCCATGTGCATAATGAAGCTGACATTTCTAATTTATGGTTGATATTTGTTAATTTTTTTCCTTGTGCATAAATTGAATCGGAAAGGTTGGCACTAAAATGTCGGCTAAACAACGGTTTCATGCCCAGTTATTGTCGAATGTAAACAGAGGACACGGAACGTGCGATTTAATGGGGGTTATGGCGGAAAAATCCTTTGGTTGATCCTAAGCCGACGCTTCCTGGTAGTTGCACTTCCGGCTTAGAGCCGAAATTCGCGAGAAAATCCCGCGGTAATTCCACCATTGTCCGCAGAAAAAAGAGGAAAATTCGGATAAAATTGCGGAAAATCTTTGCAAAAAAATTGCAAAAATTACCCCCAAATATAATTCGGAAGCAGAACTAGTAGTTAACTGCAATTACACAACCCCTAAGTCCTTTTTTATGGCGAGCGGCCGTTATGATTCCTTTCCTCACTTTTGTGCCCGGCTTTTCACTTTTTGGTATGCACGCAAGGCTTTTGACTATTTGTTGCTTGAATGGGAGACGGAAATGGCCGGACTCAGTCATTAATTGTTGGCATTGTTTGTCGGCTTGTCAGTCGGACATCTGGCTAACTGTCTGACGCCCGACAGCTAATGTGTCAGGCATTTGAATCTGGGGTAAGAAGTTAAACTGCGGACACCTGCGTTCAGAAGGTACGAGTACCATACATGTGTAATGTGAATAAAACGTTACGAAACACAGTTGGGTGAATCAGATAAAATCAAATGTAATAACTCAATGTCCTTCATACCACCAATAACGAGTAACTTCAAAAAGATAGCATCTACATTCTTTTATTTTTAATATTTATGGCGGTACTTTATAATATCAATTAATATGATTAAGATGATATATTAAATATTTTTAGAATACTGAAAAAAATATATAAACAAATCTTCAGATAATAACAAAGTAATTTTGGTATTTAAGTTCATTACTAAAAAAAGTTTCCAACAATAATAAATTATTTGAAAGTATATCAGAACCAGGATTTATTAAACCAAACCAACACCATACGGATATTTGGTTCACACTTGCAGATAGCTCCATGCTAAGCCCTTGGCGCCCGAAATGAAAACTATCTATTCAATGGTATAGAATGAAAAGATATTCAATGGTATTAATTGGTGATTACCGCAACTTTGGGCCTCGATGGTTGGCGCCATGAGTGATTTGCCAACGAGCCGCTCTGACTTTGACACTCGAGTTTGTAGTGTGATTTATGAGGATGACACTGCCATCATCAATCACTGTTCAAGTGGAAGGTGATTTGGCAAAACACGAAAAAAAGACGCAGACTGCAATCCAGGTTAGTTAGGCTTTATGTAAATTTCGGGCGGAGACAATCGCTAGTGCTAGTGGGGGAAACCAGTTTAATTACACTCCATCTCTGGAGGCAGGAGCAACCCCCAAGGGTTCAGTCAAGTTGACCCGGACAACACTTGATTCGATGTCTTGCGCTGTTGATGTTGTTTCGCTTTAAAAAGTTATAAAAATAAGTCGGAGTGCATGTGGCAGAGTGTGCGGCAGCAACCCCCGGGTTCATCCTGCACCCTTTGATTTTGGTTAGGATTGAGAATCGGGGATCGGGGACAGGGATCGGGGCAGGACCAGCATCATCCCCTGTTTTCCCGCCCGTTCTCTCGCTCGCTCGTTTTGCCGGGGGCTAATGAGCGCCGCACATTAGTTTTAACAACATTTATTATTTATGGGTTTTCCCTCCTCCCCCCGCTCGACCCGCTCACCCTCACTGCAGCCAACTACCTCTCTTTCCTCCTCATAGTATATTTACTTTGGACGTTACATTTTTCACTGCCTGCATGGCGACGCAGTTTCCGAAATGAACTCACTCAAAATGGGACTTCGCAATTACTCTAAGCACGGCAAGTTTAATTGGAATTTGGAATCCGGAGCGGCTCGTTAACAACTTGAGCCAGGATCTGATGGCACTTAAAAAGACTCGAAACGGTTAAAAGGATTATGGGATATCATGCTTGCTGAAAGACAGACAGAGCATTTTCCTTGAGTACCATTTTGCAACTTGAAGAAAACAATAATTTTAATGATAATAATCCCCTTGTTAGGGTAACATCCATATTTTTAAAATTTGGACCAGTTTAAAAAAATTTTTAAATAAATATTGTAAAGCAACTTAAAAAGTCAATGATCATTTGTTATTTGTCTAATAAAATACAGAAATACATATCTATAACATATCTATCTCCAATTTTTTTTTACAACTACTCGTCCTTTTTAAAACTTGTAACATTTGTTACAATTTTTTATTGTAGTTTTTTTGATATTTGTATTTATTTTTTTTTTTGCGATGCGTGAAGCTATTTACCATTTTCAATCAAATTAAATGGACCTAAAATTCAATTATCAAGTTTTTCTAACAAAAGTACTTCAACTATTACGAATTTTATTCTTTTCAAGATCATGTAATAAAACTCTGCCACCAAAAAAATCAACAAATTTGCAGCTTTAACTGATCCAAACCACTTTTGTTGGCCTTCAGTTTCCTGGATTTAGGCCATTAGTGGGACTGCGGTTCATTTGCATATCACTTCACACGTTTGCCTTTAACGCAACGCCAACGCGTTGGGAAAAGAGAGTAAATGCTCGCGTTTTGTTTTTCACATTTTTGTAGTTAATAGAATTTATTTGCACACATGTTCACATTGGACAAACTACTTAGTCGAATATAAATATATTTACTTAACAGCGAAAACATATGCATTCTGGTCGAAAACGGGAACGAAAACCCATTTTCGGTCGACACGCACATGGCCTGACTTTGACTCCTGGTCGAGGATTGGATTGTGGAGCTGGAATTTGGCTGCGTTTGGGGCTATGTTTATTCTGCACTTGTTCGACATGTTATAAGCAAATAGACGATAAGATAAATATGTTAAAATAAATGCATTCCAGACCTGCCAAAGTACGGATGAGAGCCCGCGAATTCGGTCCGGGTAACCAGCACTTCGGCACAAATGACACAAAGAACTGACTCGACTTAGGCTACAAATTGGATAATTGCTACACTTTATACATTATTCTTTCTGTTTTAGGACTAACCTAGACTAAATGGTGCTACACGTACATACTAGATCACGCGCATAGTATGCTTAAGCTTATGGTATATGGACTGATTTGGCATTCTATCGTCTACCAATCTCCGCCCGAAAAAAGTCCCGGTTCGCAGTTGCCGAGCGGAGATCCTGTGGAAAATTCCTGGAGGATCTCCGCTGGTGCAAAGGGGGCTTGAGTCTTGGGCACTAGTCTACTAGGTTTGGTGGTCAGTGGTTGAACCTGGACCTCCCCGTGCAGAAGATGAGCTGCGGCTACAAGGGTCCGTAGATGGGTTCCGAGTAGAGCACCGCCGGCATGGAGTAGCTGTACGAGGTGGGAGTGTGCTCCGTGGGAGTTCGCAGACTCGCCTGCAGACTCCGCTTGCTGTGACGCTTCAGCCTGGAAGAGGATAAAAAATTAGTTGGGGATTCTGTAAACCCTAATACAAGGAAATCCTTTCTAAACCGTGCAATAGTTAAGATACCCGAACCCTTTGAATTATTCACTTTTCAAAATAAAATGTTATCTTTACGAAGGCTTACAAAAAGACTACAACAAATTGTTAAACACTTTTATATCTGAAGTTAATATTCCATTGTTAAATATTGATCGTTTCCCAATATGATATTGAGATATTGATTCTGCCATATGTCGCAATCATAATTCTAGCTAAATATAAACATACTTTGAACACGCAAAGAATTTTACTTATTTTTTCATGTCCGTTTCAGGGTAAATTCCTTATTTAAATTAAAGTAAATGTTTAATATTTAATAAAACAAAAATTGATTCTATTTTCATTGTTAAAGCATAAGTCCTATGCAAAAACTTGACCTTAAAAACAATCATTTGGACCTTTTTACTAATCCTATTTTGTGATTAAGGATTTAATTGAACTTACTTCTTCTTGAGGCAGCAGGCTGTGCAGAGGGAAACCAGGGCAGCCAGGCCGATGAGGGCGGCGAGGAAGACCAGCCACGCCCCCGCCGAGGTGAGCATTCCGGCGAAGATGGCTGCCGCATGGGTCCTCCTCACCGAACAGGACTCCACCTCACTAACTCCGAAGGCGGCATAGATGTCGATGAGCTCCTGCCGCAATTGCTGCGAGTTCATCAACTTCTGCATCTCATTGAAGGACAGGGCTGCTCCGTTCTTGAACATCTGGAAGCACGAGCTGGTGGCAGTGAAATCCAGACTCATGTCCGGTCGCGTGAACACCTGGGTATCCAGGACGTGCAGTTCCAACCCCAGCGGCTTCAGTTTCTTCTGCAACTGCTCCTGGAAGGGTCGAATGTTGTGTTGGATTTCGTTGGGGGGTCGGGCGAACACAAACTTCAGCAGGGACTTGTCGCGGATCACAAACACCTTGAGATTGGTGTGCGCTTGGCGTTTGGGCTCCACGGAATTGTTGGCCATCACCCGCATCAGGAAGTAACCATCAACGTAATCAGCAAAGGATCCTCCAGTTCTCAGTTCTCCCGTTCGATTGTTCAGCGTGAAGAGATTCTGCAGGTTGCCAACCGCAAGACTACGACTCCTTTTGTAGAATTGTGGCACAAAAGTCACGTTTTCAATAGAAAGCCCAACTGGTGGAGCCTCGGCATCTGCGTCACTGGCCTTCAAAGTGGTCACCACGGTGTCGATGGGCACATTAATCCTGATGCCCACAGTGGGTTCCGGCTGCTCGAACTGCGGCAGATTATCGTCGATGTCCATCACTCGGATGTTGATTCGCAAATGGGAGGGATCCATGCGATCGTAGGGATCTCCGACGAACTTGTACCCAGGTTCACCCAGTTTCAGACACTTAATCGTCAGAGTAAAGGACTCAACCTGCTCTCGATCAATACGTTTTTGAGTCTTCAGAATGGCCAAACTCTCGTTGTTTCGCTCGATCGTAAACAGCTGCTCGTTGTTCCCCTCAATGATCACATAATCAATGGCCGCATTTTCCCCAAGATCCTCGTCCAAGGCGCTGAAGTTGCCCACAATGGTGCCAGCTGGTTCCTCTTCCTTCACCGACATGCTCAGGGGTCCTTCGTCCTTTGAATAGAAAGAAATTGCTTATTATTATTTTGTGAACTATTTTCAGACTGAAATTCTAGACCCTCTAGCATTAATTCATCACAAAACAATATCGGCTCACAACCTACATTAATTTAATTTTACCTAAACTCTATTATCTCAGATAAGTTTTATATTTTTTTGTATAGGAAATATTAATTTGTACTTACAATTTCTCTGGCAAATCGCGGCTCGTGATCGTCGACATCTAGAACTGCGATCTGCAGGATTCGCGTCACCGATTGCTTGGGTTGTCCATTGTCACTGACCTCCAGAAGAATCCTGTACATGTTCTTGGTCTCTCGATCCAGTGATTGCCTTGTGGTAATCAATCCTGTGTGGGCATCGATAACGAAGGCTTCGGCATCAGGAGTATCCGGCAAAATTCGGTAGGTTATTGTTCCGGAAGGAGTGTTTTCATCATCCGGATCGCTGGCAATCACTTGAAAGACCGGGGCTCCAATGACAGCGTTCTGTAGAGGGAGTTTTGGTTATCAAATGCTATAGGATGGTTTAATAACAATCTCTTACCTCTGTGACATTGGCCATTTGACCCACTCGAGGCGACACAAAGAAGGGTACTCCATCGTTGGCACTCACATCCCCAATAAATATCCTTACATCGGTGTCCGAGGAAAGAGTGGGTTGCTTGGGCAGCTGGTTGCCATTGTCCTGGGCACGAACAATTATTACGTAGGGTTCAGCGCGTCCTTTTCCCGTAAGATTGCGACGTGTGGATATAAGACCACTTATGTGATCCACCTTGAAGAGTCCATTGGCCTCGCCCTCGTTGACCAGCTCGTAATGCACCTCGCCACCAAGACCCTCATCCGCATCCACAGCCTCCAATTGGAGGACAAATGAGTCAATCTGGGCATTCTCCGGAACCACAGTGCTGTACTTCTTCTGTGTAAACTGCGGTGCATTGTCGTTGACATCGAGTACCTCGATCTGCAGATCCACCACACTCTGCTTGGCATCCGTGGGTCTTCCGGGTGAGTCCTCCGCCTTGATCTGCAGCTGAATCCTGGGAGTTCGCTCTCTATCGATTACCTGCCCATTGGCCACGATGATCTCGCCAGTTGTGTTGTTGATCTCGAAGAGCATGGCATGTTCGCCTTGCAGCGAGTAGATGATCTTGTGGTAACCCAATCGCTCATCCCGGGCATTGAGAACGGCATCCTTGTCCAGGGCTCTCACCCGAATCACTCGCTCCGGATGAGGACGGTTCTCGATGATCGTGGCTCGATAGGAACTCTGCTCGAATCGCGGGCTGTTGTCGTTCACATTCTCCACGGTGATATTCACCCGACTTACGGTGCTCCTTTGACGATCGGCACTATTTGCACGAACTTGCAGCTCAAATTCAGGACCTGATTCACCCAAAGCCTCGTAGTCCAAACGCTTCTTGAGAATCACTTCACCAGTGCGCTCTGCCACCTGGAAATAGTCCACCTGTTTGGGCTCCACCAACTCGAAACTGGTGATGGGTTGTCGGGTCACAGGATCTTCGGCCTGAAGGATAAACAGCGCACTATCTATGGGCATTTCTTCCTTGATCTTGACATCGATCACTGGTCGAGAGCTAGTCCATCCGGGGTTCTTAAACACCGGATTGGTGTCCTGGAAGGACTGCACGTACACGGTCACCTCGGTGGTGTCCACCTGTCCCTCGGGATCCACCTCCGCATTGAGATCTCGCACTCCCACAGTGAAAATTATGATGGCAGCTACATCGTGGCGAAGGGAACCATTAACGAAGATCTCTCCACTTTGTCTGTCCACCCGGAATGCCTCCTGCAGTCGATAATTACTGCGATTGGCGATATTCACTCCCGCTTTTGTGGTGGCAGTGATGGGTCCTATTAATCCGTATTCCAACTTAGAGTTCAGGTCCTTGTCGATGGCTTTCACTCGAAGGACACTCTCTCCGATGGCTGTCCTCTCGGAAACATAAGCTGCATAGCTATTCTGCTCAAACTTGGGACGCTCGTCGTTGATGTCCTTCACATTTACGTAGACCGTGGTAGTGGCAGTTTCAGGGATTGGAGTTCCCGAGTCGACGGCATTCACTATGATCTCAAAACTGTTCATGTTCGAATCCCGATCGATGCGTGCTTGCGGAGACACTGTTATCAATCCAGAGCTAAAAGAAGAAATATATTTAATAAGATTATATTTATGAAATTAAGAAAATTAGAAAAACTAGTTGGAACTAGGAAAACTCTCTCGTTTTCATTTTTGGAAGCGAAATCAACAAGTTCTGATATTAGTTGAGTTTTTTGATTAGCTTTTTCAATTATTACTCAATACTCACATCTCATCGATTTCAAAGTTGTCGTTGGCACCCACAATCCTGTACCTCAGCAGGCTGTCCAGACCATCTGGATCGTGGGCAGAAACAGAGGTAACATTCGATCCTGCCACCGCATTCTCGGGAATGGAAACCCTATAGCTGGGAGGTCCAATAACAGGTAAGTTCTCCATGTTCTGGAAGTGACCGCGGAAAATGGGTCGCTGATTCCCAGAAATGCCAACCCGAACCAAAACGCGAGTAGTGTTGGACAATGGAGGAATGCCTACAATAAGATTCTTTATTAAATTTACCTGTTTATGGGCATTGAGATTCTAACTCACCGAAATCCGTGGCGGAAACCACTAGTTCGTATTCGCCACGTTCCGTGTCCATGGATCGCGCTGCTTTCTGGATGACTATCTCACCCGTATCCGGCTCAATCCGGAATACATTACCGGCAATGCTGTTCTCGGAGACAATGGAGTATTTAACTCTTCCGTTTCCCTGCGTGGGACCATCTGCATCGTGGGCACGAACGAAGAATTGGGGTTCAAACAGAGCAGCTCCTTCTCGAATGGTTCGACTGTATTCCTTGCTCTCGAAATTTGGATGGTTGTCGTTCACATCGGTGACCCTGATGAAAAGATTCGCATTGGCCTCCCGTTGACCTCCATCGATGGCCACCACGGTGAGACTGTAGCTGCTCTGCTTTTCGTAGTCCAGGGGCTTCTGCAAGTAAAGTCCTCCCGTTTCCGGATCCACATAGAAGTTGTCTGCCCCGAAACCCTTCAGTACATAGCGAACGTGTCCAAATTCATCGGAGTCTGCATCAGTGGCTTTCACATGACCAATTAAAGCATCCACGGGAAGATTCTCAGCTGCCGTGAAACGATATGTGGCTTGGTCGAAAACCGGAGCATTGTCATTGGCATCTAGCAGATGGATCTCCACCCGGGACTTGGCTTTCTCCACACCCTTCACCGAAGCCACCAGATCGAACTCGAACCGCCGGAGGTCCGGATCTCGGACATCGTAATCCAAGCGACTGGCATTCAGCACCTTGACAACCACTGGGGTTCGGCCTTGAGCTTCGGTGGGTGATACTGCGAAAACCCCATCGGAATTGGCCACGTTCCTCAACGAGAGCTCATAGCGACTGTTCTCTCCCATGTCGCGATCATCCACGAAGATCGAGAGTCCCGGCAAGGGCATTCCATTCGCCAGGTTCTCCGCAATGGAGACATTGAAGTGTGGGCCACTGAAAGTGGGCTGATGATCGTCTACATCGGTGACCACGATGGTCACTCTAGTCAGCGAGTGCTCGGCGGGAATGGCTCCATCGATCAGCTCGGTGGCTCTTATAGAAAACACATACACCCCGCCATTCTGCAGAATCTCGGCGTTTTCTCGATCCAGTGGTTCCGATGTGGTTTGCAGTACGGCGGTTCCCTCCCGGGGATCTCCGAATGGAACCAGTTCAAAGTGGCCGAAAGGTTCGTCCTCCAGGGAGAGGAATATGTCCCTTGGAATACCCACATCCCCATCGATCGCCTTCACTGTGAGGATGCTCACTCCGGCAGGAGTATTTTCCGGAACCGTGGCAGAGTAAGGAGCATTGGTGAAGACTGGCGGCTGATCCTGGATGTCGATCACATTGATCGAAATGGTGGCCAGCGAGGAGAGGCGGTTATCTAAAGCACTGTCCGATGCCGAAATGGTGAGGATGTATGAAGGACGACTCTCGAAGTCCAGCGGTTGCTTCAATGCCACTCGAGCTGTGTAGTTCCCGTCCGAGATTTTCACTGCCCGCACCTCGAAGATGTCGCAGAGGTCATTTTCCTGGGAAAATGGAAAATCATTAAGCTTAACACAATATCATAAGATAATATTTAATATCTGTGCCGCTTATTAAAGGCTTTAAATATGATTTTAAAATCTCTATTTGAAGTTTGTGCTCGGAGGTAGTAATTAACTTCATCAATGAAAGAATGGAAAAATAAAAACAAAAAACCAAACCAAAATTATTGAAAAAATCAATTTTGTTAAATTTCTTCTATTGCGGCATAAACTACAAATTGATTACAATCCTGACTTTTATTTGCATGACTCTGAAGTTTACTTTTTCCTTATAAACATACCTACCATAACACGAGAAACACAAAATGGAAATTTTAATCAGCTTAGGTAAAAAAAACATCCGAACCCGACTTAAGTCAGACAAACAATCACAACCCGAAGTAAAGATTACGTGCACATTTTCGATATTACACTGCATTTTCTATTATATCTACAACTAATCACTCACCTCGACGCATTTCATCTGAACCTCAGCGTTGATTCCCTCATCCCGATCGATGACCACGATAGGTGGCTCCACATTTAGCTCCGCTCCCACTGGCAGGGATTCACTCACACTGGCGGTGTAAGGTCTTCCCAGGAACATCGGCTGGTTGTCATTGTAATCCCTCACGGGAATCTCCCGCCGCTGGGAAACCGTATTGGGTTCGGTGCCATAGACGCCTTCGTCCGTTATGCTGATAATCACTTCGACGGTGTCCTGGGTCTCGCGATCCAACTCCTGGCGCAGGCGCACCACTCCCGTCTCACGATCCACGGAGAAAACTGGCCCACTGATGCTGTATTTCAAGCGACCGCCTTCGGGATCGGTTCCTGGAATCCAAAATTAAATTCAATTAAATAAGATTTTAAGTTATTAAGAAACTGCACCCAAAATTTAGAATACGATTTTAATAAAATAAAAAAGAATGTTTAGCACTGGAAGAATTGTACGAGTATACAAACACGTATTGAGTTAGACTGTGCTATAATTTTTATATGCAAAAACTCAAGGGCGTACCCTACACGTTCTTTATTTTAAATTGTTATAATGAACCACGTTCCCAATATTTTACTGATAAATTGAGGTTCCCTTCTCTTTTTCCGCTTTGTTCCTTCAAGTTGAAGTTACCGATAAAATCTATTAAGAATATACATTAAAGGTAGTTTCTCCAAAGAACTGGACAAATGTAAATAACTAAGGCTATGAGTTCTCTTAGTAAAGTACAACATATAATCCATATTTAATTCTTTTGTTTTTGGTTTTCTGTAATCATTGAATTTGTGAAATTTTATTTTAACATTTGTTTCGATCATTTAGAGCAAGGGCCAAATTAATTAAATACTTTTTCTGCGCCTTTTTTTTTAAAAACCTTGATTGCTGATAATGATTATTAAGCATTGTCAAACAAAGAAAAACATTTTGTTTGGTGATTTTCTCACAAAAAGAAATGTAATAAATGATTCAATGATCAACGAATTCCAAGCCCCCGGGGATCCAAACTGAGTTTCAAATAAAAAGTCAAAGACTTATTCCCTGGGAAAATTTATGACAACCAGATATATCTCCACAACAAAAGCGATTTTTATTCACTTTGAATTTATAAATTCATAGACAAAGTTGAATTCATCAACTCATTTCTAAAGTAATAGTATCAATCACTTTTTCTGCGTGTGGGTGGCGTGTGTTTGCCAGCCGGAAAAAGTGTAACAAATTAGTTGGCAATGGCTTGTTGGTTTGTTGGGTCTCCAGTTTGTTTTGTTGGGTTGTCTTGGTATCCCGGTGTTTGACACGCTCACTGCTTTAATTGCGAGAAATTGTAATCCGAGCCAGCGTCATAGGCTGTCACTTCGTGGAACTCGCAGCCGTTGGTTTATGTAAAAAGCGTGTGAAAAATGCTAATTCGGTTCCCACAACCTCCTTCACGCCGACTTTTCCAGTCCACCGCCGTTTTCCGGCCACTCGGAACTGGGGCAACTAGTTAGTTGTGGGTCCAACCCTAAGTGGATTGTGTCATTCCCCCGGCATTTTCTCTTTCGCTGTGCCCCCAGTCTAATAACAGGAAATATATCTACAAGTATTTGGCTCGGCCAGCCGAAAAATACTCCAGCCAGGGGCAACACGAAATTACTTTAGAAATTCTACCAAAGCAATCGTGGAGAAAAGAAAGAAAACAAATGAACCCGAAGAGCTTACAAAGAAAAACACAGAGACCAATAAACGATCCGGTCGGGAAAACAGCTTTTGGCAGACAGATTTTTCAAGTTTGCAGGGGGCATGGGGGAAATTGTTTGGGAGCGGGTCTGTGGTACACCGTCAATTGCAGCACGACCACAAAAAATGGAATAATGGAAAGACATGACTCAAAGCGGGAAGCAAACGGGCAAAGCCGCTCCTCCAGCTTACCGAAACCCAAACATACCAATATCACTTCCCCCCTTTCCCGCCGAATGCCCCTGAGCTTATTGCTCCATTCCGATCCCCAACAAAACCCCATTGCATTGGCGCGTGAGTGACCATTTTAACTTTTCAAAGTACTTAATCATATTTTTACAACTCACACTCGGACATACCGTGTAATAATGACCGGTTGTTCTTAGGAAAAGTGGGGAATGTGGAATCTTTTTTAAAATTGAGAGGTATTAACAAATTGTAAGTACAAATATCACTATTTAATAGATCAAAAGTTTTTATACAAGAACTTTATAAATATAGTGAATTTAAAACTAGTTGTTTCTATAATTAAACTGGATAAAGGGAATCAAGAACATAAGTTGTATATCGTAAAACAGTTTCTATACTTAAATATATATACTCTTGTAGAGCAATACTTAATACTGCTAATGGTAAGATATTTAAAAAAAAATATGATGAATATACATATATTTACGATAACAAACACTCCAGATTATTTAGCCGTGTGGACTTAGAAATATGTTAAAAGGATGTAGAGAATTTGCCTATTCATAAAGTAAGTTTCATGGCTTACAAATTCGTTTTAAAATGCGTTCAAGTGAGTATTCCTAAAAGTGCATTTTCCCTCACATATAGTAGATTTTATCATTTAGCTACGCGAACTCCTGTGATAAATGATAAACTGTAATCGATCCAGCGAGAGTATAGGGTATCTTTGGATAAACCATCTGCACCTTTCGATTCTGGCTCGTTTTCTCTTTATGAATTCTCGTGTTCGATTCAAGTATGTGTGTCAGGGGCGGACGCAGGGGGGTGTCCGGGGGTCCGGACCCCCCCCAAAAGCTCAGACTTTTTCAAATTTCCTTACAGCACACGGCTTTTCAACCATAAAAACTAAAATTTTTTTTGGTCGGACCCCCCCAAAGGAACAAATTTTTTGATCGGACCCCCCAAACGTAAAAATTTTTGATCGGACCCCCCAAACAACCAAAATTTTTCGACCGGACCCCCCAAAATTTTTTCTGCGTCCGCCCCTGATGTGTGTGTACGTAAATATGAGCCGGGTTTTTGGGCAATTGGGGGAAAAGTGGAAAAGCTGAACGAGCACTGTAATTGCGGGTACGTGCGAGCTGTGGAAAAGCTTTCCTACTTTTCACTTCGCCCAGCATGGATGCCTTTATGCAGGGGAGGATGTACTCGTAATTGTTGTGGTTACCATTGTTGTTGCTGCTGTTGATGCGGCAGAAATAATTTGTGATTTCATGCTTGGCGGAGCGCGTTTGTTAATATTTTGGTTATTATTACACATGGAACAGTGAATGAGCCGAGAGAAACAATCGCCATGTGCCAACATTCGGGCAGCAATTCGCCTAACTGGCTCTTTTTACTTCTGGCCAGTGTGTGTAATTAAGTGGGTTTGCAAGGAAAACTTAAACGGTAAAGCGATAGGAGTTTTCTTTGCAACACGCCGTGCAATTAAATCCTCCAGTTTCGACACCTGGAGGCAGTCCCAGTGAATTTTCGGAGTTGCGCAACAATTGACACTCGGCTATTGACTGGCCAACTGGCAAACTGGGATTATGTTGTGCCAGTTATGGTTTCAGTTTCCCGACTGACCGTTTAGGCAGAGCAATTTCCTTGGCCCGGTCAGTTTTTCAGCTTTTCCACTTACTTTTCGGTGTCCCGGCGCACTCTTGATTTCGAACGCACCGAAGCAAACGTGTTTCGTATCTCACGGATGTCGCTTGCAAAACCAACCAGTCCCCGTCTGCATCCGAGTCTCAGTTTAAGTCTCGGTTTCGGTTACACTTTGCAGGCGGAGTCACTGGGTGAGCATCACCAGCCAAGGCGATTTGGCACACGCTCGGCAACCAGTTAAGACAATGCCCCATCTGATTATGAAGTCGTCTCGAAGCGGCATCAAATTGCAGGCCTCTTCAAAAGTAGCTACTGCTACTGCAACTGCAAATGTATCTCTATCTGTTAACTGGGCCAGGGTGTCAATCTGGCTGTGGAGCAGGTGCAAACGAGATTTGCCAGTTGGATAATAGTTTCAGGGGGCGTGCCACCTGCCCGCCCAGAGTTTAAGTTCGCTCTTGATATGCAGACATAGGAAATCGACTCTCGATTGATGATTGCCCGCCACTCTCGTTCGTTCGGAGTAAAAGTGCTGCTTTTCATTCTGCATCTAATGGGTGCCATTACCATTACCAACACCATTACCATTACCTTACCGCAGTCGCAATCAGCATTATCGTGGACTAACACTTATCGCCGGTGCTACGCACAAACGTGTTCAAATGCATTTCCGCCTGCTCACCTATCAGATACATATGTATCTTGGCTGTCTTTGTTTGTTTTTGTTTGGTCAATTGATTAGCAAACGGCATTCTCGGGCGAGCTAACCTCAAAAAGCTACAAACCAGAAACAGAAACAGAAACATAAAACTACAACAACAAAAAATATAGACAATAAAAACATGAATATCTGGTTGGCTTATCGCGCATTCTTGCAGATTCGCGATGCATATTTTAAGCCAACTTGCATTATGTAATCTTGACAACACACACATATGCGAATATATATCTTTGGAGTGCGAGATACGAGGGTGCTGAAAACGTGCGGCCACCACAAAAATCCAATACTCCGCACAAGGTTGACCCAAAGTAGGTGGCCCACCCAAAGCAAAGCGAGTTCAAGAAATGAAAGTCACCACTGGTAATTTGAGGTATGCTCAAAAGCCAAATTACCAAATTATTAGAGCCAGTTTTCGTGGAATGTTTGTCTCAGCCGAGGTGGCTATACCCTTATTTTTGGTTGGGTTATTAAACTGAAAGACAATTTCCGTGAAAGTAATGGCTGTTCATAAGCAAAATGAAAGATGATTATTAAATATTAAATTGATTACGGGAGTTCTTGTCTTGTGATTAACTTGAATTTTTGAATAGTCAGTATTTAAGTTCTTTATTTTGTTTTCGTTTTCTTAACATTAACATTAACTAATAACAGTATTGTCATTAAATTAAGTTAGTTTTATTTGAGTTAAATAATTTTATTATCTAAAAAGGGTATCAGCTTGTATTTATATATGTTTCTTTGTATATTTTCATTAACAGCCAAGTTATTTCTAATCCTTTGTTTTTTTAATTAAAATAAATAAACTGACTCATAATAATGTTAATTATTCGAAACAAATTAAGACAAAATTATGAAAAGTTTTTAATAGCAAGATATGTTATAAATTTTTTACTTAAGGCAAAGCTCTTAAACTCACTTCTATATCTATTTATATTAAGCTAATTACACTAGGTTTGATCTATGCCTATTGATATTTTATTGCAGATCATTTAAATTTGAAAACAATTAATCTGGCCACTGGTAATAGTGGCTCAGAGATTTATTATTAGTTCGTTACTGAACAATAAAGCAATTGTTCGCACAAAAGTAAAGACAAGAGATAAACATTTTGATAGTAGCTTGATAATTGCCCAAATCGTGACTTACTTACTAATTGAATTTATCTGGGAATTGATAGTAGTGTGACTCCAGAATAACCTAGTTTGGATAACTTTTCTTGATGTTTGTTAACGTGATCTAAAACTCTTTTTTTTTTGATAATAGAATTTCTTAAGAACAACCTAGTTTAGATAACTTTGTAATGCTGATCTGAAACTTCTCACCTATTTATAAAAGTGTTACTTAAGAACAACCTTTTTGGAATAACTATTCTTATTCTTTGTTAATGCTACCGAAACCTTCTCACTGTGGTTTTATTATGCCTTGTACTAAGCTAATGTAGCCCTAAAGTTCCCCTAAAAATAACCCATATATGTGGTTGTTAATAAACCCATCTTCCCACACTGCGCAAGGCTTTGATCCATCTCTATTTTTTTTTGGCCAAAACAAAACAAACTAGTGCCAGTGAAAGGCATTTGGCGCAAACTGCGTGGGAATTGGGCTATTGGTGTACATTGTCTCGGCGCTGCAATGAAAGCCATGAAGCAATTCCGCATAAAATTATGAAACGTGACGGCCCCGTACTACACATGTTGATAAGATGTCGAGCATGCAATCTGGCCAGAACTCCCCCTCCCCTTCTCCTCTTTCCCCTCCCCCTTTCCACCAGCAGGTGGGAAAAACACCTGGCTGGAAGTGAACTCACCTTTCAGCTGGAAGACGGGACTGCCGACGGGCGTGTTTTCCGAGAGGCTGAAACGGGACATGTCGCCCGTTCCGGGAACAAATTGGGGAGGATGATTGACCAGTTGCCCGGCGGTTTGGCCAAGAAAAATCAACAGCAGCAGCGGCAACATGTTGCTGTTGCCGTTGCCAATTCCACTGCCGTTAGGTATCCGTATCCGTTAGGTGCGATGGTGTTTTCGATGGTGTTCACTTGGGTATTTAGCACATGTAGAACGACACAGTTTCGATTTTGTTGCGTTTCAATTTTCGCCTCACTCACTCGACTTCTCACTCCGCTGCGATCGCGTTCTTGGACTGGCCGAAATGCAAAACAAACTCTGCTTATTTATTTGGCCCGAAACAATGATTTTTCAATGCTAACTGCACCGCCTCCCCCAGTTGGCCTTGTCGCAAGTTGGCTCAAACGAATGGGAATGGCTGAGATTTTTAGCTGATCTTGCAGAACTGCTTATCTTAGCCTTGCCATTTGAACTTTTTGCCAGCTCTCGATCGCATTCCACTAATGATGTGCAAAATAAAGGAGGGAGGAGGGGGATGGGGGAAAACGATATCTAAAAGAAATTTAGTGGCGAACAGAAGATTTCACTTTATGCACATGTGAAAAGTGGCACATGATGATGAGGCGGCTGCTGTCTGCCAGTTCCGATCATTGGGCACTGCTTCTTGGCGATTGGCAAATGCGGCGATGATGATGGCTTTCTTTTGGCACCAACAACACAGCAACACAATACCAGCTCGCAAGCGAACCAGGCGACGGAGAAAAAAGGGGCTAAAACAAATAAACAGGCAGACTGGTTCAGGTATAGTCGTAGGTATCCGCGGGTTCTTGTTTTGGCCAAAAAGAACACGAAAGAGAGTCGCAAATAAAGGAAAGGCGGAGAGAGAGGCGAAAATAGCAGGCAGCAAATGCAATTCCAGGGGCTAAGCCTTACTATAATTAACACTAATGGAGAAGGCCCTTTTGAGCCAAACTATTCCACACTTTATGGCTATTTTCGATTTTGGCCAACGCACGCAAAATCACACACAAAACACAAACTCGAAACCGCAAAACGGATGACGCTAGGTCCGAAACTTGATCTCGCTGCTCTGGTATCTTGTATTTTGTATCTTGTATATGGTATATAGTGTCCCGCGGATCTTGGTCAGATCTCGAGTCGAGTTCGAGTTTGAAGCGCGGCAACGTCTGGACGGAGCGACGTTCGCTTACCTTCTGGCCGGACTTACCTGTTGCCGCCCGTTCTTGGCTCTCTGAATGGAAAGAGACGCGAAAACACAGGCCGAGCTCCGAATAATACTGGTTTCCCTCTTTTCGCTCTTGCCGGCTTTGCTTTTGCCGCGCAAGCGCATTTGGCAATGAAAATAAGGTAACTGGCAGAACAACATACTTTCGGGCTAATAAAAAAAGTATTTTTAGAAGAAGATGGCAGATTCCATCAGCGATATGTAGTTCATTTCATTATCACTATTACTGATTTAACCTTGGTTTATCGAAGAGTTTTTAAGTCTTATTAATAACTCTTATTTCTTGGGATTTAAGTAAAATACTCACTTTAAATAGCATCGTAAACAAATTGAAAATCCAAAATAGATTTGTTTTTAAACCAAAATATTTATTTTTATTCATGGAATGAATTCATTCAACTTACCCTTTGTTTTTAACCATTTTGAGTTGATTGATAATAAATACTAATAGAAACTGTTTTAGATTCGGGAAAAATTAAAAACCGTGGTGTAGAGATTTATGCATATGAGACATTCAATTTACCTATTTATTTTATTAAGTTAGGCAAGGCAAACAAGGGTTTCTGAGTGGAGAGACATTGCTACAGCTAACTAAGTCTAAGTACAACTAGCGTAGTTAGTGGTTAGAGAGCGTCGTCCACCTGGAACTGGATCAGATCCTCGACGGGAAAGCGGAAAAGCGAGGCGGTCTGCGCCTCGGCGGCCAACTGCTCGATGTTGGCGCTCTTCGGGTAGCGATACGGTTCGTCCACGGGGGTTTGCCTGTACCGATGATCCTGCCGGGTCAGTGGAGCACTATCCGGCAGCTCGGCAGCCACAATTGGGTGCTCGAAGTCGATCAGCGGAAGGTGATCGCTGCGGGAAATGGTAGATGAGCGATTCCCAGGCGTTGCATGTAGATGTTGCTGTTGCGCCAGTTGATGTTGCTGCTGCACCAGTTGATGTTGCTGCTGCACCAGCTGATGTTGCTGCTGCCCCAGCTGATGTTGCTGCTGCCCCAACTGATGTTGCTGCTGGGTTTGGTTAACCTGGTGTTGCTGCAGCTGAGTAGCGTTGCCTGCTGCATGTCTGGGTTCAATCGGACTGGGAGGATTGGGTGGCGGCAGGTCATTCGAGTTCACCGTGTTGCGCTGCATGTTGTGATTGTAGAAGGGATTGGTGGAGGCGCGGATCGTGGCAGTGGGCTTCTGCTTGGGGAACACATTCAGGTGCAGCATGATGGGGCTCGTTTGGCTCTCCACGGGGCCCTGGCTCTGGCCAGGACTCTGACCATAGATGGACTCCTCGGGATGGACGCTCTTCGGCGGCGGAAACTTGTGGAAGGCCTGCTGCTGCTGGCTGAACCTGGTGGCCTGGTCGGGAAACAGCACTGGCTGCTGGGTGGGGAACTTGAAGGGCGACTGGTAGATGCCGTGCCCCATGTGGAAGGCCGCCGCCGTGGTTCCCGTCAGCGCCGCCGGCGAGGGCAGGGCGAACTCCTGCTGGAAGGGATGCCGCATCACGGAGGAGGGACGCGAAGGCGGCAGCACCGGATATATGTCCAGATTCACTTTAAATGGAACCCTCTTCAGCTGCGGCTGCCGGGTGGCATTGAGCGCATGTGGAAAGTGCTGCACGAAGGGATCTGCCACAAAGTGCTGCTGCTGGCTGCCGTGCTCCAGCAACTGTTGCTGCTGCTGTTGCTGTTGCTGCTGCAGTTGCTGTTGCAGCTGCTGCTGCTGCTTCTTTTTCTTCTTCTTGGACAGAGGCTTCCCGCTCACCAGTGGCTGCATGGCCAGCAGGTTGACATCCTGCGGGGAGCGCGGCTTGTAGGGATACAGCTGGTCGATGGCCACCCTCTGGTGGGGCAGCACCCCGTGGGAATACCACTGCATTGGCATCTGCATCGGCATTGACATGGGCATCGGCATGGGCATGGCTGCCATGGGGAACATGGGCATGGGAATGCTGAACTGCATCTGCTTCTTGTGCCGCTTCCCCCGGAAGAAGTTCCCAATCCCACTCGATTTGAGGTTCTTGAAACTGCCCGCGATGTGCAGACCCGTGGGCATCATCACCATCGGTGGCAGCTTGCTGGGTGCCCCACCGCCGATGTGCAGATGCTGCAAGATGTCCTGGATGTTGTTCAGCTCCGGGCGAGCCTCGCCCTTGGTGAACTGCTCGGGCATTGGACCGTCGTAGGGGAAGTGGAAGGGCTTCGGCTTGAACTCCTCCTGACCGCGCTGAGCTCGGCTTCCCGGCGTCTCCGAGTACTGGCGTCGCAGCAACGCCTTGGTGGGCGCGGGAGGGGGTGAGGGGGATCCCAGCGAGAGCTGCATGTCCTGGGTGGTGAGACGCGGAGGCCGCGGCATCTGGTCACGCGGCAGACCCCGCTGCGGCGTCATGGTCACCGATCGCTTGGGCAAACGCTCGTAGAGATGCGCCGCGTCTCCAGATTCGTGCGACGGTGTTGCGTGTTGCTGCCGTTGCGCTTTCGCGCGCCACGTCCCGTAGATGGGTGCAACATTGCTGTCGGCACGCTCCAATAAGTAGGCGTTCTCTCCGCCAACTCCACCAGCTCCACCAGCTCCGCCAGCCACACCGCCTCCGCCAGCCACGCCCCCCTGCGACGCCTGCATCTGCTGCAGATGCAGCTGCAGCTGGTGTTGCTGCTGCAGCAGGTACTGTTGCTGCTGCTCGTGCTGCAGTTGCTGCAGCTTGGCCCGCATCTTCTCGATGTCGACGTCGCTGTCTGAGTGCCCCGGTTCCGAGGTGGACGGTTCGTCTGCCGAGGACTCAATGTCGTTCGGCGACTGCTGTTGCTGCTGCTGTAGATGTTGCTGGTGCAGATGTTGCTGCTGCAGATGTTGCTGCTGATAAAGAGCTGATGCGGATGCGACCTTGACTACCACGAGAGACATCTGCAGGGCACGGAAATAATAAGATCAAAGATTACAAGGTTTTTGTGTACTTGTCATTAACCAATTTCATCATGTTAAAAAATTGTTACCAAAAATTGAAACTTGGGAGATTCACAATTACTGATCTGAATTCGTCATATCAAGATGTTCATTAAATTGTTAACAAATAGAAACGATTTGATCTTGAAAATGTACAATTATAGTTTCTTCGTTTGATATTGCTCATGCATTACACATACTACCATATACAATATCAAACATTTTTTGATATTGCGATATTACATTTATAAACTTTAATATCATAATATAATATAATATTTTTTCCAACACTTCAATTATTGATATGACTTTTAATGTTTGTAAAGATGTTAACATTATCAATGTTTTTGTAAAGTTAGGTACTATAATTGCTAACTGTTTTTAATATATACTGCACAAATTAAAATTTTTATTATCTGTTTACTTTGAAAATATAATATAAAGCTCAAAATGCTCGAATAATCATATGGAAGAATATAAAACATTTCAGTACAACATAAAAATTTTCAACATTAAGATTTTTCTAAAAATCACACAATTCAGTTATAATTGGTAAAAAAAAAAAGGTATACATTTTGAAGTATGTACCTATATATTTTTTTCTATTTAAAAAGGCAATATATTAAAAATCAATTTATTCATTGTTCCTAAAAATGTTTATAATTTTTTTTAAAGTAGCTATCTTCACATTGTAAATTTGTGTGATTCCGTTGTTCCGTTTCTGAGAGTGACACTTCCTCTTGTTTGCGATTTCCCTGAGATCCCTGCAATCAATAACTCTACTCACAATTGTGTAACCCAGGATCAGGCCCATAATCCACCGCCTGCCTTTAGTTGAGCCTGGATCCAGTCGCGTTCGAGTTTCCCGTTGTTGTTGTTGTTGTCCTTGACTGTCCTCGACTGCCGACTGCATGGACATCTTTCCGGACTCTGCTGCTCGAACCACTCGGCTTGCCTATCGCGTTGTGAATGAGGACCTGGGCTTCTGCCTCATCGCGGATCGCAACGATGACTGAGTTTGGCAAGGCGCTGGCGGCGCCTAAAAAGCATCGGTTATATCGGCCCAAGTGCTACAGCTTAATTAGAAAGTTAATACGGTTTGGCTGCGAAAGCAAAACAGCAACTGCAGACAAATAAATTAATTGCTCGGGCAGATTCGTGCTCCCAGGCATGTGGAAGAGAAAGAGATATTAAAAAACGCATTGACCATGAATATCTAAAGATCGCAGCGAAGTAACTAGAAAAATCGCGGGGAGTTAATAAATCCGAAGTGGTTATGCTCTGACGGAGGAGTTGATAAGAACACAGAGCAGGGTTCTAATTGGTTTCGCCTTTAAAATCTTTAGTAAAAGTTTGAAAAGCGAAATTACAGGCGATTAACGATTCGGAAAATTTTTAATTGGTTGATTTCATGAACACGAAAACAAAGATTTTCTTTTGAATTTTTATCCTTTATAGCAAAATAAATTTGAATTAAAAATGGTTTTCATATTCAACAAAATAAAAGTTTTTTAAAAATTCCTTAAAATGGGAATTTGACTATTACAACCTATTATTTACTTTACCATATTTAGTGCAATTCGATGCGGTTGTTAAAGCTCTAGTTTATTCCAGTTTCAAATATATCTTACACATCTCAGGATAACCTTGAGCTATAACCGGAGGTTAAATTATTTTATGTTTTCTAAAGGTTGCAACCACAAAAATCATTAGAATCTAAATTCCAAATTTTAAAACCCGTAATAATCAGTTTAATATTGCCATAATTTAAATTGCTAAACACCATAACTTAATGTCAAGGGTAACTGGCTTAACCTGCAAGTTAAGCGTTTTATTGCTTTTCAGCAACAAACTCCTTAGCATAGTCGTAAAAACCGATTTTTATGACAGCCATCCAAAGATGAGCACCACAACATTTTCCAAACACGATTTGCTCCCATTTCCTGTAAACAAACGGAAAAAGAAAACTCGTGGAAATTTACAAATAATATACAAATAACATATTTATTTTATTGTTTGGGTTAAAAAGGTCCAGCTGTCAAAACATGCACTTCCCCTTCCCGAAAAGCAAAAGAAACGCTTGTAAATATTCGAAAAACTTATTTTATTGTTCAGGTTTCAGCGATCCGAATAAAAGGTTTATTTAATCGTAATATAGAGCTATATAGTCTTGAGCTGGCGACCGTCACAGACGACGGCCGCCCATCGATCGTGGCATAGAACATAGTCATAGTCATAGAACATAGGACATAGGACATAGTACATAGAACATAGAACATAGATAATAGAACATAGTATATAGCGGGTTGGATAGACTGTTAGCTGTACAATTGGGGCACTCAGAGAGACAAGGATCCCTAGCTGTATGAGTATGCGATTCATCATAATTCATTATTCATTAATTACAAAAATAAAATAAAAACAAACAGTGGCGCCCTCTAGCACCGCTGGCGGCGATTCGTGCAACGTTAGACTGTACGAGTTTTGACTAGATCAATCTAGCCCTAGACGAAGGCCCTATCCCTAATCGGTTCTAGATCTAGATCGCGCGTCTAGAAGTTGAAGGGGATGGCGGGCACGGGGTACGAGTAGCCCTGGTGCTTGGTGGGTGGGGGTGGCACGTACACGGTGGTGCGCACGGTGGGTGGTGGCACGTACTGGGTGGTGCGCACAGTGGGTGGTGGCACGTACACGGTCGTCTTGCGGGTGGGTGGTGGGGTTGGTGGCCGGGTGGGTGGTGGAGGAGGACGGGTGGTGCGGACCGTCACGGGGGGAAGGTAGGTGGGTGGTGGGGTTGGTGGGCGAGTGGGTGGTGGGGGTGGTGGCCTAGTGGGGGGGACGGGTCGGGGGACGAGTGGGTGGTGGAGGAGGACGGGTGGTGCGCACGGTTGGGGGTGGCAAGTAGGTGGTTGGTGGGCGAGTTGGTGGACGAGTTGGTGGACGAGTTGGTGGCCTCGTGGGTGGCAGAGTGGGGCGGGGAGTGGTGCGCACTGGGGCACGGGTGGTGGCACGAGTGGTGGCCGGTGGTGGTGGCTTGTTGGTGGGTGGCAGGTAAGTAGGAGCCGGGGTGGTTAGGCGACGAGTAGTCGGTGGCTGGGTTGGGGGACGAGTGGGTGGGCGAGTTGGTGGTGGGGTGGCACGGGTGGTGGTAACAGGGGGCAGGTAGGTGGTTGGTGGCCTAGTCGGGGGACGAGTGGGTGGTGGAGGTGGGCGGGTGGTGCGCACCGTCACAGGCGGCAAGTAGGTGGTTGGTGGGCGAGTTGGTGGCCTGGTGGGTGGCAGAGTTGGCCGGGGGGTGGTGCGCACTGGGGCACGAGTGGTGGCCCGGGTGGTTGCCGGTGGTGGAGGCTTGTTGGTGGGTGGCAAGTAAGTGGGAGCCGGGGTCGACGCACGGGTCGGTGGTGGTGGTGGCCTAGTTGGTGGGCGGGTTGGTGGTGGAGTGGCACGGGTGGTGCGCACAGTCACGGGGGGCAGATAGGTGGTTGGTGGCCTAGTCGGGGGACGAGTGGGTGGTGGTGGTGGGCGAGTGGTGCGCACAGTCACGGGCGGCAAGTAAGTGGTTGGTGGCCTGGTTGGTGGCCTGGTTGGGGGCCTAGTGGGTGGAGGAGTGGGGCGAGGAGTGGTGCGAACGGGAGCACGGGTGGTGGCGCGAGTGGTGGCCGGTGGTGGAGGCTTGTTGGTGGGTGGCAGGTAAGTGGGAGCCGGGGTCGACGCACGGGTCGGTGGTGGTGGTGGCCTGGTTGGTGGGCGGGTTGGTGGTGGAGTGGCACGGGTGGTGCGCACGGTCACGGGGGGCAGATAGGTGGTTGGTGGCCTAGTCGGGGGACGAGTGGGTGGTGGAGGTGGGCGGGTGGTGCGCACAGTCACGGGCGGCAAGTAAGTGGTTGGTGGACGAGTTGGTGGCCTGGTGGGTGGCAGAGTGGGGCGGGGAGTGGTGCGCACTGGAGCCCGGGTGGTGGCACGAGTGGTTGCCGGTGGTGGTGGCTTGTTGGTGGGTGGCAGGTAAGTGGGAGCCGGGGTGGTCAGACGACGAGTGGTGGGTGGCTGGGTTGGGGGACGAGTTGGTGGACGAGTCGGTGGTGGTGGCGGGCGGGTGGTGCGCACGGTCACGGGCGGCAGGTAGGTGGTTGGCGGCCTGGTCGGAGGACGAGTGGGTGGCAGAGTTGGCCGGGGAGTGGTGCGCACTGGAGCCCGAGTGGTGGCACGGGTGGTTGCTGGTGGTGGTGGCTTGTTGGTGGGTGGCAGGTAAGTGGGAGCCGGAGTGGAGGCGCGGGTTGGTGGTGGTGGCGGCCTGGTTGGTGGACGAGTTGGTGGTGGTGGTGGACGGGTTGGTGGACGAGTTGGTGGTGGGGTCCTTGGTGGTGGTGGTGGTGGAGGCACACGGGTGGTCACCGGTGGTGGTGGCTTGTTGGTGGGTGGCAAGTAGGTTGCTGGTGGCCGGGTGGTTGGGGGCCTAGTTGGTGGCCTGGTTGGAGGAGGAGTCCTTGGTGGTGGTGGTGGTGGTGGCACCCGAGTGGTCACTGGTGGTGGTGGCTTGTTGGTGGGTGGCAGGTAAGTTGCTGGTGGGCGAGTGGTTGGTGGACGGGTTGGTGGCCTCGTTGGAGGAGGAGTCCTTGGTGGTGGTGGTGGAGGAGGCACGCGGGTGGTCACCGGTGGTGGTGGCTTGTTGGTGGGTGGCAGATAGGTTGCCGGGGGACGGGTGGTTGGGGGCCTGGTTGGTGGCCTCGTCGGGGGAGGAGTCCTCGGCGGTGGTGGTGGTGGTGGCACCCGGGTGGTCACCGGTGGCGGTGGCTTGTTGGTGGGTGGCAGGTACGTGGGCGGTGGCCGCGTGGGCGGGCGAGTGGGCGGCCGGGTGGGTGGCCTGGTGGGTGGCTGCGTGGGCGGCCTCGTGGGTGGTGGCTGGGTGCGGGGGGGCAGATCGAACGGCACCTTGGGCGTGGGGTAGAAGTATCCCTCGGCGGCACGAGCCTTGCGCTGAAAGTGGGTGAATGTGGCTCGTGAGATGCAGCCGGTGGGTGGAGCATTGGCGGTGGTCAACCGCTGACTTACCTCGTGAGATTCGGCCGATGCGGTGGCCGCGGCCACAGCGCAAAGCGCCAAAACGAACAGTGCACTTCTCTGTGGAGGAAAAGAGATAAAAAAAAAGTGGGTGAGTGGTGCGACATTTTGACGGGCCTCGGTGGTGCAGAGGTGCGCAGACTAACGACCGGGTCTAACAACCTGATTGCGACTAATTGATCGCCTTCTAGGCTAATCGCCTCTTCACGCTTCACGGCAAATCGGCAACTCGGCCTGCAGTTCAAAAGTGTGGCAAAGTTCAGCCAACAAAGCCATCGAATCGATTTGCCGCAATGCCATAATGCATTGAAAACGACCCGAAATGTTAACTCAACGCAGACATTCAACTTTGACAGGCATTAGCATCTCTAGGTCAATCCCCTCCCTCGAAGGCATGTAAATCCCAAAGATCGCCGCGATTGATACATAATGCCTATGCAAATGCGATGCGACACCAGATATACGAGCTCTTTTTCTTTTTTGGGGGGAACCAGAGGAAGCTGCCCCTGAATTATCGCTTCCGACGGAGCTGTCAACAGGTTCATTTGCATTTGTGGCCGCGGATTCGGCAAGGTCATCGCTAGTTAATGAAAGTGCTCGACGATCGACGCAGCTGGTCGATGAGCTCAATTAATTGGCCAGCGGAGAATTTCGGGGGGCTATAAAAATAGCCGATTATGCGAGAAACCAGCCCGGATCTAAGCGCCAAACTCCAGACCAGTTCTAGCCATGATTATATAATAATCAGCCAAGACAGGCCATAAAACTAGTGAGAAAATCCAAAATTAACATACGCATCTGCCAAACAAAAAAAGAAGAAAAAAAGAGTCCGCCTCGGGTGTCATTTATAACCAAATCTTGAGGATTATTGCCCATGCCTCCAAAAGCGGCTGGGTCCACATTTTTTTTTTCACTTCTGATTGTTTGCTAATTTCAACAGATATTTGACTGTTGTATGTAAATGATTTTAAATAATTTATGCTAATGAACCTGAACTTTTGGCTGTTCTAACCCGTTTCAAGAATCGCATCGGCAACAATTTCAGAATTCGGAATTCGAGAACCAAATCGGGTTTACTCGTAGAGAGGGAGGGGATATAATGCCAAGAAAGTGAAAGGACTTAGAGAGATACTTGGATACTCGCAGAGCCAAAGCGCTTCCCTTGACTCTTAATTATGCTAATTGGCAGCTAATTAATCCGATTCACACCGCATCGAGGGCAGAGCCTCAATGCCAAGACTTCGGGGCAAGCAAATTAGTCCAAACTGTCAGAGTCTCGGCCAAAGACAAAAGTCGGATAAAAGAGGCCTGGGAGCCCTTCGACAATCAGTCATCAACTTGGACAACATTGTCTTCGATTAATGGGCGCCAGTTCAATGGCAACGTTAAGAATCTAACTTAACGGCAAACGATTTTATGGCTATTTACCTAAATACGCCAATCGCGAATTGCCACTCGCAAATGTCAGAAGCAATGGCGAAAATTATGGAAAAAAAAACAAGTTTTAATTTCATCTTCAGCCATGTCAATGCTGACATAGAAACTTCTCGGCCGCCACATGGCAGAATGGCAGAATGCACATGCAGCTGGTCCATCCTAATGACTTAATACGCAAATTGCGGATCGCTGATCGCGCCAAGGCGACTTGGCTCCGTGGGCGGCCCACACGGCGTATGCGTAACATTGCACCCGATGGCACTTGCTCAATTTCTACGCGGCTTAAATGTCAACCGCCAGCTGGCCAGCTCTCTAGCAGCTCTCGGCTAAAGATGATAGCCCGGGTCCAGAGCTGGACCCTCGACGAAATGTGAAATGCAAATAGATGGCGATTGAATTGGAACTGCAGTTGGCTTCGGCAACTATTTGCTCTGTCTTCTTGTTTGCGGTGCTCTGGGATGCACAGAGAAAAAGCAGGGACAACAATCTATTTTTAAGCTTCTCTAACCCTATTTTTAACATCCTAAATCTCTAGTACGAATAGTATCCTTGTTTAATATTTACTCTATATGAAAGTATATTTAAAGTAAATTAATAATTAATTAATTAGTATTATAGTAATTTATATGATATTTCCGTAGTTAAGCTTTCTTTCTATATAAAAAAAACAGCACGATAGAAACTATCATAATTAAATGTTACAAACTAAATAAATAAATATTGAATGTCATTTAGTAAGCTTAGAATGTTTATCCCTGTGGTTTTTGTACTCCACATTTTGTGAAAAATAATAATATATCTACTTGATATAGAAATTTCTTTACTCTCTTTTAGTCAAGCATTAAATAGAAAAATCGTATAACAACCTAAGCTCTGTTTTCTACATTATTTATGTTATTATCTGAGAAGCTTTCTTAGTTTGGAAATTGTATTTCCTTCAGATATCACTTTCGTGTGTTAAACCATCCTTTTTATCACAATGTAACTACTAAAACTGATACTGTTTTCTCCCTCTGCAATACTATTTTGTTTTCGAAATGTCTTGTTTGTCTTCACACCGAGGGACACTGTTTCGTTATTTTGCACTTTGCACACAATGATTGTTCGTTTTGGGTTAGATTGGATGGGAACTGGGAACTGTGAACTGGGAACTCGGTTACCATGGTGTACACTTTCGGACTGCTACAAACGGCAGTTGCGGTAATCCCGGATGCGTAGGTAATCCTTTGCGGTGTGCGTGTGTGGTTAATCCTTGCGGACGGTACAGTGAGGATCGGAAAAGGAAGACGCGACCGATCGTATCAAATTCAATGGACGATTGAATTTGATCGATGCCAAGCTAAGTTGGTTTAACTTCTAGGTCGAGTGTGGAATACCAACTAAAGCATCAAAACTTGTAGATTTTCTATATATACTCGGACGCAGCATCTGCCCAGATGGGCAGCGACGTTGGCAGAGGCGTCTTGGCCTGGGCGACAGCTGTTAACACAGACGGCCAAGAGCCGAAATCGAAAGCGTTTTGGCCAGATGAAGATGAGCCGAATGCGCTGCTCCTCTGCCGACGTCGACGTCGACTGCGACGCCAACGGCTGACCAGACCAGCCAACCAGTCTGAATCTCAGTTGTTTGATGTTTGGGGAGTTAACAGCCGCAGCCGCAGACCAAGTCAGATAACATGGCTAAGACAAAAAAGCAGGCAGACAAATTGAGGCCCAGCAATTATGGCAGAAGAGCAACTAAGCCAGGTAAAGCAACGCCTGCTCTTGTTGGCATTTCTATTTAGCCAACTCGGATTGCGGGGGCAAATACACTCGCACTCGCGCAGTTTTTTTGGCAGAAGTCTTCGGCGAGTGTTAAACACGTTGTCGTGCAGCGTTTAATTTGGTAAATGGGTCCGAGCCACCGGCCACCGAATTTCATCAATCGAAGAGGCGACAAGCTGGCCGAGTCAAGTCAAGGCTCCCATCGAAGCTTGCCAAGGCAAATAAGGCCGAAGAGGCGAAGATCAGGCGTTGGCTAATTACGATCACCCGGCGGATCAGGCCTAAATGCATTTCAGCTTGGAGTTGGTGTTGAAGTTGGAACATGAACCGGTTGACTTGGCCAAAAATGCGTGTGCCCGGGGGTCAGCGGTTGAATGTTAAGGTAGGCTCAATTCATCTCAACTCATCTCATCGCATCGCAACTGCGGCTCCGCGTCAGTCGGATGACCTTTAAACGCACACTCGAAGATCTCCGATTTGCGATCCGCGATCTGCGATCCGCGATCTGCTGCATTCTTCGAGCGACTCCCAAACGGGTTTCAGCGGGTTTGTCATCGCCTGCATTTCGCCTTTTTTCAATTTAATAACTAGAATTTATTAACGCTCAAAGAGTCACGTCTAGATTTTAATGAACCAATCAGGGTGACACCCACTAGCCACAGCCACCGCCACAGCCACAGGCAGTTGGAGTCATGCGGCGGCCCGAAATAGAAGTGACTTTGAACTCTTTTGGCCAAAAGGTGTGTGGTCATCCAGTCAGGGCTAAAAACAGAAAAGAAAAATACACGGAACATGCAAAGGAAGTGCAGGCAAACGGAAGTCACCCCCTCGGCCATCAGGCGGCACTTAGAGCCACAATTAATTCTCGGCGTTTTTTTATTGCATAATTGCTGGCTAACTATTCGGGTCATAACTTGCTTCGCACATCCCCACAAAGGCAATGACACTCGTCGACGACTGCTGACATTTCGAATTTGTCATTGCGGATAAGTGAAGCGCCTCGGCTGCTTCTATTATTTGTTTTTAGTTTTTGGCGCCTCAAATATTCATCTCGAATGGCGAACACCGAATACCGGCTGGAGGAAAAGCCTTTTTTGTCGCATCATCGGACATTGCAAAAGACTATTCAAGATTATTCAACGTTTTTCACGCCGAGGAGCTGAGAACTTGGAGCCTCGGTTTTCGGACTCCGTCGAAGGACGTTGCTGAAATACGGCTAACAAATTAACTAACAAGTCCGTGACATGTGCTCGTTCTGAACCGCATTCCCAACAGGTTGCCATTCAGATAACTTAAAAACAGAGCTGTTCATCTAGGAGAACTTCAGCTTTTGTTTTGGATATGTATGGTCTTTTGTCTTGGGGTGCGGAAATCATGATATCTAGTTTTTCATTATGTTTTATCAGCCAGCAGATCTCGTCTTGGTGCTATTTCCGAATGGTGCTACTGACATTCTCTTGTTTAAATGGTGTTTTTAATGTTCGAGCCAAAATACAAGAAACGAGAGGTAAACAAATATTAAATCATAATGCTAACTGCAATTTTTTTGGTACACCCCACTAAAAACTTTTGGCAAAAACCAAACCTCATCATAAACAAATTTTTAATAGCCAAAGTTCTGCTACAAGAGTTTGCATGAGGTCATCGAAAAGTTGTAAATATTAGCTTGGTTAAAAAATGAGGTGTTGAAACGAATTTATTTTTTTATCAGTTATTGTTTTATTTTTAAAATTAAATAAATTTTGTATACCAAAAAAATATAAAAGATTTTTAGTTCAGCATTTAAATGATTGATTGAGAAACCAAAAGACCAGGCTCCCGTTGTTCAAAACTGGCACTCTTTCGTGTATACAATTAATATAACTTATCTAATCCCAGAGCAAATTAAATACCCTCACGCACTGGCCATTAAAATTGAAATCAAGTCTATTGGCGAGAAAAGCACACAAAATTCAACCGCAAATCGGCTAATGAAAAGTGTTCGCCGAAGAACAAAAAGCTTTGAACAAGATGTCGCCACTGAATATTTATAAGCGGCCGATGACCCTCTACCCACCCAGAAGATACACGCATCTTTGAGTTGAATGGATGGATGGGACAGAGTCGCGTCTCATAGTGCGTGGATATTCAAATTTCGCGGATCTTGTATAAGATAGAATCATATAAATTTCCGAGTCAAATGTCACGTCACCTGCGTCATCGGATCGAGAAGACCCAACTCGCCGAAACATTGTTAATTGTGCTTATGATTTATGCAAATTTGTCCCTATACATAACGCATTTATCCGCGTCTTTCTGGTGAATTCTACATGGCTTCAGTCAAGGCGGACTATATTGTTTTCTGCTTAAGATTTATATTTATGTAAATCTGAGAACCAAACAAACGCCCAACTCGACTAACTAGTTTCCCACTTTGTTGCGTTTTTTTATGCTTGGCTTTAAATTTGGCTGAGAACTCTGGTCTAGGAAGTGAAAATAGCTATACTTTAATTGAAGGCTCAAACTGGATTTTACAACATGCTTTGAAAATCATGGAAATGGAAAGTTTTTGGAACATATAACATATAACCAAAAGTTTACAATTATGTAACCTATAAATAATCTAATTTATTAGATTTTTTCAGGTTTTTCTTAAATTAAAGACTACCTAACACCTTTAAAAATATATCTTTTCTTGAAGGCAATGTTTACAGCCGCAATAAAACTATCATAAATGCTACACTTGTAACCATATTTTCTGTTCCCAAGGCCTTGACTATTTTTTTCAGATTTTAAGATTGATCCGATTAAGATCGTCCTCCATTAAACGCCATATTTCATTCATTGGCTCAATTAATCAGACTGAATGCAAAAAAACAATTAAGTTATCGGTCCAATAATCTGTGAAACATTCACCTTAAATTGATTTAAATCGAGCGACACAGGCTAAATTAATTCTTTCAGCACGATCTCGCTCGACTTTGTTTAAACAATAAAAAGTACAGTTAGATGATTTCAATACCCAAATCCGGACAGTAAATTTATGAATATGATTCGGCAAAACGTACAATGTTTGCAATGCGATTGAATAATTGTTAACATTCGTGTTGGCCAAATCGCATAAACAACTTGCTAACGGCATTTAGTTAATGGATATTCCAAGTAGATAAATAAATGGCGTTTGAAATTCATTTTAAAATCTGTGAAATTTACTTGAAACAAAACCTGCAACTTGCTGCCAAATTAAAGGCGGTTCGGCGAGAAAAAATAAACGTGTTTCCCCCGCAAAAGACCCAGAAACAACAAAAATATTAATAAGCCTTATCAAGGACACCGGCAGGCGAGCGTTAACCAGTTTCTTTTTCTTTTATTTCTTGTTGGTGTTGCCAGCAATTTATGGGCCACAATTGCGGGCCATTGCCATTGGAATCCTTGTCGTGCTAAATGAAACACCCAGACAATTTTTGGGAACCGCCGAGGGTCACCGCGCTGGGAATCGTGGGACAGGTAGCAACTTTTGACAACCGGTTACATCGATCGATTCTGGGCTTGGACGATTACATAACCGAGTGACCCTTGAAAGTTTAACCAACTCGCGCCTGGCCTTTCGAAGCGAAAGTGCCGGGCTTAACCAGAATTTACAAGATCTTCAACGACGAGCTATCATTAATCAGGCTAAGATCGCCGGGGATCAGAAACGGAATCGGGCCTATTATTCACTTAAAACGATGACACCCCGTCTCAAGTTCAAGTGGAGACCCCGTGCTTCGTGGGTCACCGAAAACGGAAGGTGCTCGAAATGGAACTCGAGTTGATGGCTCCCATCAAGAGCTGATTAATGGCCATCTCGAGAGTGCACTTCACCCCTGCCATTTCGACGGCTGAATTAGCCCACTTGGGCATGAGTTTTGGCCACCAACAATCGGATACGAACACTCGTCAGAGGCCCAAATAGTTTTGAGTGCAAATAAAAACAGAAATTGGAGCAGCGCGACTCACACGCGTCGACAGCCACAAGGCTGCTAAAGGCCAAAAACAAAAACAGAAAAAAAAAAACAAAAATAAATTCCAAATTAAATATACACAAATGAGATAAATATAATGTATGAATTGGAGCTACAGATCAGCCTTAAGCCCTCGTTGTGGATGTATAAATTCTACACGGATTGGCCAAATAAAAACAACGAGCCAAAAATTAAATTGGAATAAAATTCATTTGTTTCGGGTTGGGAACTGATCAACTGGTTTTATCGCCTCGATTCGACAGCCAACTGGTTCGTCCCAGTACATAATATATTGCCACTTACTTAAAGCTTGTAGGCAGACCACTTTTGACAGCGGCGATTCTACACCCAAAAGCCCAAATTAATAGTCAGACATGCAAATTTGTCAGTCTTTTGTTTTTTTCGTTAAACGCACCCTTTGATTTACAGAGCAGCTAGTAATACCTTCATAGATCATATTTTTAAGCAAGTTTTTTTATCTTACCGATTGTTTTATTTATAGTCGATAACAAGCTGGTTATTTCATATATGTATTTTTTTAAGATGACAATTATGTTTATTTTGTATTAGTGGACTTATACAATATTCTCAAATCTATGAATTTTAATAAATTCAATTCGGAGAAGATGAGATACGCCAAATTAAAAACCTAGTCAAATAAAAACATATTAACAAAATTTATTTACTTATTTATTTATTTTAAATTCTGGAATTTCAAGTAAGAATAGATAATAAATATGTTCTAGAAACATTGCTGAGCAAATATAAAGGGTGTTCTGCTTTCGACTTTGGTTGCCAGCTAAACTTTTCATTTCATTCATTTTAAAATAAGCTCCATATGGTATCACATACTGACGCACTTTTTCGATACAATCAACTCTTATATATATAATTTACCGAAGTCTGGACGATCGGTGGCCTGTGAAGTGTCTGATCGAAATGGCAGCCACGAACACCATTCTGCACTTGTGAAGGCACGAAAAAGAAACATAATTTCCACCCGGCCATAAATTTCGGCTGTGGCATTTATGATTTGTTGACCCGAGTCCAAGACCACACATTAATCCGCAGGTTTTTGGGAGCTTCCCGCTGTCTTCCGCATTACAAAACCTTGGATTGGGCACTTTAACCCATTAAATAAGTAATAATCCTGCGATATCCTTCCATGTCTCGTGGCATTTATGAAATGTTCAAAGTGACATCGCATTTGAGGCGATTAGCACCGACTTAATTGGATTATGCAATCCAAAGACGTCAATCAGTGTGAAGTCCCCTCTCGTAGGCATCTTCTCGACTCGAAGGTTAGATGGACCAGTTTTCTAATGAATTTCAGATAAAGTTCGGCTCGGACTAGAGCCACAATGAACGCCTAAGTATTTATTAGCTTTAATTTGAATTTTCATATAAAATAAAACCGCGAACAAAACTCGTTGGCACGCTGCTTCTGCACGGAGATACATTTAGACATAGATGCTTCTATACGAAAACATAAAAAGCTAAAAAGGCGAAGAAAAAAGAAACAACACCGCCAAACAAAATCAAGTTCACCTCGAGTGTATCAAATTTGTATAAAATTCATCAGTTAGCAAATACGTCAGCTGGTAATACAAGATCCAAACTTTGTGGTTGGCTCTGTGGCAAGGTGTGTGTTTATATGTGTGTGTATATGTGTGTGTGTGGGCATTATGCAAAGCAGAGGAAGAAGACCAGCTCCAACATACATAGTTACCATAGATACATTTGTACCTGTTCAGCGCGGATCGATTAGCATTTTAGTGGCTGGCTTAATGCCTTAATGATACTCCGCCATGGGAGCCATCGCGATGCAGTTCTGCGTGGCTAAACTATATTTTTATGTGGAATCGATTAACTCGAGCCATACATCACACGCTTGTTCCATCCATTCGATCTGCCCCACTCAAGGCCCCCCTCGGCGATCCGAACAAGCAGTGGAATCAGCTCAGAAGAAGCTCAAGCATCTATTGATTGACCACTTAATGGGCCAACTTCGCACTTCTTTAGCGGTATTAATTGATCCCCGAGACAAGAATCTGTCTCGCTTTATGGAAATCGTCCGGTAATTGCTCAATTTCCTTCTTTATAGCTCCCTATATGTTCCCTAAAGCAATTTACTTCTTGGCCATAAAAGTATTGGGTTGGCATTGAAAATATCCCAGGTTTTAAAACTTTAACCAACAGGTGTAACTATTAGTTTTTACTTCTCAGTATTTGGTTCCAAATGCAAATATTTTGAATTTCCAAACACATGGGGCAAACAAAATGGCAATATAAAAGCATAAGAAACGGACCAAGATAAATATATTTTTTATGGTCGATTTTTTAAATAAAGAAGAACTTGTAAGTTTATTTATATAGTCATTTAATGCAACAAATTACCAAACCCAATAGTCTGAAATAAGAGAAGATTGGCAGAATATTTTCTTTGTTCTACAGCTTTGTGCTAACAAATAAGCAAACAAATTAAATGAGTAATTTACACTTAAACGCTCTTATCGCGTTGGAATTATGTTTCCAAACGTTATTGTTTTTAAAAGCCAAAAATAAAATGAATTTAAATCATAAAAACTATGAAAAAGAGAACATAATCTTTTCAATGTTATAAAATATGTATCAACCATTTATTTTATCGAGGTTGGCTTACCTTTGATCTTGCTTATAGAATACAGAATCAAATCCGAGGCTTCCTATTCCTCGCGGTTTAAAATTCCTGAAGCAAGAAGTCATTGTCCAAAATAGCCCATGTTTATTATATATAATCTTATTTTATATAATCCAGTTTGCACCCATTTTTTATGGCCAGAAGAAACCCACACTGTTCCGTTTGGGATAACGGTACAATATCGATAAATTATTTACCGACTCCATAAGCTTTCGATTTCGATGGCGTTTGCGTCAGCATAACTTGCTCTGCGGCTAAAAACAAAAGTATTCTTCGACGAAATTTAATTGCCGTCTTGGGATGTTCACTTGCCCGGAATCTCGTTGGCAAAACGATTTTGTGCAAATTTGTAGCGAAAATTTATAGCTGAGAATGGCAGAATATAAATTCTTAGCTGGATTTTGGTAGTTAGCGGCAGCAGAATCGATCGACACGATCCACCGATCATGTTCGAACATGTATGCTAATTGAAAGTCTGGTTCCCGAACTTGAATCCATGGATGAGATATTCAAGTAAGAGTTTCGAGATTAGGAATCAAATTTAGCACCCGACTTGATAAACACCCGAACTTTGATATTTAGTAGCCATAAAGTTTCGGCGAACTGAAAACTGAAAACTGAAAACAGAAAACACGGGCGATCATAATTTACTAATCGTACTGTTTATTACATAAGATCGTTTTCGAAATCGTTGTGTTTGCTATGTAACTTTACAATGGATGCTTAGGCTATGCGTTCGTAGGACTACCGACTAACTAACTAACTAAGAACTGAAGAAGCTTAGGGTTAGTTCAGTTACTTCACGATTTTCAGGCACTCGAATCCATGATAGTTCAACGTGCTTAGACTACTGCGTTTATTTCCTGCTCCTGATTTCCAGATGAAGAACAATGACCACGGAATTCTCTCGACTTAAGCTAAGGAACTAGATCGTAGAACTAAATGTCTAGGGGTTAGGCTATTTACAGCTCGCAACTAGAAGATACACTTTCCATATGGACATGCTTTACTCGCGTTACTCGTGACTTAAAGTTAGGTGTGCGGACTACAGATACAGATACGTTTGTTTTGGATGCAACAAGTCTTTTTGAATGTGAATGCTTCGTTTCCCCCTCCTCTTCCTCTGGCTCCTCCTTTTCACCCTCCCCTGATTTCACAGCTCCGTGGAATACTCCTCGGGATTCACGTTGAACTTCCGCCAGCAGATGTGATCCGCCGCTCCACCAGCGCTCGTGGGTGGTGGCAACTTGTGCGAGTTGACGTTCACCACCGAGCTCGCCGACCGCTTCACATGGACGCTGGGCGGCGGAGGTTGGGCGGCGGCGGCCAGGCATCCGGTGGAGCGGCCCAGCGGATTGCGGGACATGGCGGACTGGCCATTGGCCATTTTCCCATTGCCATAGGTGATGGACTCGTTCGAGGGCGAGATCTCAATCCGCGTGGCGTGACCCGTGCCACTTCCCCCGTCCGACAGGCGGCGGATGTAGACCACCTCGCGGTGCTTCTCCACCGACTCCCTGGGCAATCGCATCTGCGTCTGGGTCTGCGGCTGGGCAGTTTGCCTCATCCGCTGGGAGTACCGCGTGGGCTTCGCCTCACTCGCCTGGAAGGGCACGTACTGCTGCTGCGTGATCCCCGGGAACTTGTCCACGCTGATGTCCTCCTCGATGGCCGAGTCCCCGAACATGGAGCCGCTGTAGTTGGGCGAGCTGTTTCCCGGCGTCGAGGACTTCCAGTGCTGCTGGTGCATCGGCGACTGCGTCTGACCTCCGCCTCCGTTCTGCACTCCGTACTTGGCGGCACTCGAATACTGACCCTTCTTGATGGAGTGGGTGTAGTCGCGGGTTCCCCTTCTCCGCAGGGTGAAGTCCCTGCGCCCGGTGTCCTGGCAAACGGAGCGCCACTGCTTCCAGGAGTGCCTGGCCAGAGGGTCGGCCGGTCCCCACTCCTTCGCCGGCTTGGAGGCCTCGCAGATCATGCCGAAGAAGTTGTACTCCACCTGCCGGAAGATCTGCACACAGGCAATCACCACAATCACTGCCAGTACGAAAAGAATTGGCGCCCAACGCGGAAGGTACTCCGCCAGCAGATCGTACTGATCGTCGTCGGCACACCACCACACCAGGATGCCCGTCAGGATGGCGGGACAGACGACCCACAACCACATCCAGACCTTGAAGATGGGCCGTCCCACGGAGAACTCGAGGTCGGTGTAGATGTTCTTGGCCCCGTAGATCCAGGTTATGGCAATCAGCTCGAACACCAGGGCCGTCACCACCATGGTGCCCACCAGGCGCGAGTCCAGCACGCGGGCGATGAGGAACTTGGGCGCCGCGAACGAGATGACCGCCACCACGAGTCCGATGAGGCATATCACGTAGTTGGGGCGGCGTGGCACGAGACGCGTGGAGGTGTACACTGCCACCGTGATGGAGACCATGGCCGAGAGGATGATCAGGGCGTAGATGAGCGAGGGAACCAAGTGCTGGAGCAGCCGTGCGTCACCTTCCCCGGTGCTTTCCAGCACCCGATCGTAGATGGCCGTCAGGGGTTTGAGCTCCTCCATGATCTGGAAACCATTTCCCGTGACATCGAACTGCACCATGAACAGGGTCACGGCGATGGCGTTGATAAGCAGGTTGAAGCAGAGGTAAACCACCGAGGTCCTCACAGCATCACCTTTGTACAGGAACTTTCCCGTGACCATTGGTAGGGCTCCAAAGCCACAGTTCACCGAGAAGAGGACTTGCATTAAAGCATTGAACCAAATGTTACTCTCGGCCAGCAAACTCGAGTCGAAGGCCCACAGTTCCGGGAAGTAGTGCCGACTGAAGGAGTTGCGCACCTCCCATCCAGTGAGTGTGCAGAGCAGGGCTAAACCAACCAATCCATACACGAATACGCTGCGACGCAGGATCTTGGCATTATGGGTGCTGTTGGGTTAAAAGAGTATATGTATCATTGCTTTAAATTAAGATATCTACTTATTTCTACTTACCAAAGCATTACCACTATCCAGATGCCTATCAGTCCCGCTGCCAACAGGCCAAAGTACATTGGATTGCGCCAGAAGGGAGTGAGGAAGGTCTGCTGCAGGCACTCCTGTCCACTGGTTCCCGTCAGTTGGTAGCCACTCTGAGGAATGGAAAGCATCAGAAATAGGTTTTTAGATAGATTGATTGCTACTTACCAATCGCAGCTTCACGGGTCCGGCGCACTCGCGGAATGGCAGCTCATTGGAGGCAAACATCCCGATGTAGGCCAGTGCCAGCACGGCCTGCAAGGACACCCAGATGGCCGAGAGCCAAGAGGCGAAGCGGCTGATGATGCAGGCTCCTGAAAAAAGCATTTCGATTAATACAGTCACATAATAGAATTCCTAAAAAATATAACTAAAAAATGTATTAATAACACATCTTTTTTATAAATGATTTTCTACTTATATACAGAGATTTCAATAAATATCTGCGATTAATAAAACTATTTATAAAAAGTAAACAATCTTAATATTAATCTTGCAATAAATATCCAAGCCTTTTCTAGACTCAAAGAAAATTGATTCACGGCCAAATATTAAGTTTTTTAAAATTGATTTAAATAGGTTCTAAAGGTTAGATAGTTATATAACTAATAACTTTTCTTGATTTGAATCACTGACTTAATTCATGTAGTTTTAGTAGTTCACCCTATATTCCTGTCCCGAATCGGACATAAAATCCGTTTAAAGTACGGTTTTAACATCTCACCTTGCCATCGGACAACAAAAGAGCGGAAGAGGAGGAACCCAGTTAATTAAATTACTTTTGTCATTTAAATGGCGAAATTCATAAAAGCAAAAGCGTTCGTTTGAAAAGAGCTCATGTGAAAACTAGTTATAAATGAGAACGAGACTTTAATATCTTTACATTTACATTTATAACATATTCTGCAGCGACTGAAATGCTATTCGCCAAACCAGATCAATTTGACCTTAAAAACACACCCAAAGCTGTTAATAAATATATGTATTGTAAATTGGTTGGGGGACTAACCAAAGTCGACATTGAAAAGTATACAAAATATATAAATGATATAGTTTTCAAAGGTTTTAGGGCTTGGCTTAAAAGCTTGATAAATATTAATAACGAATTTTAAATAGCATTGTCTGTTATGGTGACCGCAACTGTATTTTCTTGTTTATTACACACTTCCTCTTTTTTCAAATAGGCCACATTGTATTACGTTTGCCAATTCCGTTAGCGCTGTTTTTATGAGTTTATTGCTGTATTGACCGGCGCTACAAATCAAGCAAAAGGTGAAGGATCAGTTACTGACTTTTCATCTGAGTTATTGGTTCTTTTTCCTCCTCATTCATTCAAATACGCAATCGGCACGTGTCGCAAATATTCTGCCTCACTTATCGTAATTATAGACTGCAAGCCACTCACTCAAAACGCAAATGCTCCACTCAATGAGCTCGCAGATTTCACAATAAATTGGTCGTTAGAGGTTTGAAAGATGTTAAGTGTTGCCTTCAGCCTTTTAAGAGTTTTATATGTTATATGAGATGCCTAATGATGGAGAAGATTTGAATTAAACGAAAATTCTTTAATTTACAACTCAGTCTTGCCCTGCCAAAAAACATTTTATATCTCTATCTTTGCCAATACTTTTTATTGTTGTATTTAATGGACTTTATTTCGAAATAAATGTTGATAAAATTCGTTTGAACAGCAGTAATGCCAGTTTACTGCTTATAAAATGTGTTACTTTACTGAAACTAACAAAAGCCATAAACAAGGCATAAACATTTCGAAGAATGTTTTTTTTATTGTTTTTGTTAATTTATTAAACTTTAAATCATACTACACACTTAATGAAGTATATAGGCATTGCGTATACGCACTGTTGTATTTACTTTTATTATTTTATACATTTTATTATTATTGGAGTATCTGTCACTTTCGTCCATTTTGTTCATCAAGTGCTTTCATCACTTTTATATTTGTAAAAATTTTAAAATGTTGAAAAGTAATTCCAAATGTTCTGCTTTATATTTAGTTTAATTGTTTATTCAGAAAGGCAACTGATTTTTCAAAAACATAAATTAGAGAACCTATAGCTGAGGCAATCATAAAAAAGGGCGATACAACGAAGGCATTCCTTTGCAGCCACCAAGCATTCACGTGTTTTTGTTGGTGTTTTATTATTACTGAGGTCTTTTCGAAGGTGTTGTGTCGTAATTTGCAGTTGTCGTTTTTGCTTTTTGCCATTATTAGTTGTTGCTCATATTGCTCATTTTTGAATTCGTTTGTTTCTCGTTACAATTGTTTTTGGTTTATACTTTTGTTCATTTAGAATTTGCCTTAAACGTCTCTATGGTTATTTTTTGTGGACGCGCCGCCGCCTTTGCCCGCCAATGGCACACCGCTCCGCGACGCCATCTTCCTTTTTTGCTCGACCGTTTCCGCTACCGTTTCCGTTTCCGTTTTCGGTCTCCCGCTTTCAGATTTTGTTGTTGTTCTTGTTGGTTTTTGGCGTTGTTACTAGATGTCGATACATATGGGCCGCCCACTTGTTTTTGCCCGTCTACCCGCTTCTTGGGGGCGGCAACAGTGGGCTTTCGGGAGGGGGGCGTGGCATGGTGAGCGGGCCGACAGTGGGCGGGCGATGGCCGACAGCGGGGTGGGCGTGGCGCGCCAGCGATTACACGAACGGGACACACACACCAATGCATTTTGAGGTTTTAATATTTTTTTTGTACGATTTTTCAGAGATTTTTTGCGGTCGTCCTGATAACACGATGATGATTTTATCTACTAGGTCACATTTAAGTAAGTCTTCTCTTTTTTTTAGTGTATTTTTTATGTGTATTTTTTAGATTTTTTTGTTTGCATTGATATACTTTTGGTCTGATATTTGTTTCTTTCTCATTTTGTCATTATCGTTTTCGATTCGTGATACATGTCTTAGACTTTTGCGGTTGTTGATTTTGCTTTCTTGTTTATTTAGTTTGCTCCTGTGCTCCTGTGCCCTTGCACTTGCACACCTGCACACACGTCCTTGTTTTGGGGAAGGATATGCGACACGAGTGCGCCTGCTCCGGCCTTGGTTTTTGCTTCAGAGAGTGTGAGAGATGACGAAAGTTTTGCAATCGTAACTTCGGCTACCAACGGACACAATTCGAGAGAGTGGGGATGAGACGGGATGTGTCCAACCGTCGTTGCTGCGGAATGCACGACCGCCCGACTGAGAACCGTGCTCGGCGGCTATTTAAGCAGCTCCGTCCGGAATTCCCACTTGAGAATTACAAGCGGCCGGACTGCAGCTGCAAAGCTTTTCCCCCGGAAGCTTCGTCCTGCACTGGGGATGCAAAAAGCTGCAGCTGCAGCTTTGGCTTTTGCCCCCACAAGAAACGGGGGATGCTTCCGCTGCTGAACACCTGTTGCCCGCCTGCCGAAAAGTATGCAATCCCTTTGTTACAGCCAACTCACCTTTGAAGATGGGCGAGGCGCGCCACGTGTGCGCCGCCCCCTGGCCGAGGAACTGGCCCACGGAGATCTCCAGCAGAATCATGGGCAGGCCGACTAGAAAGAGCAACACCACGTACGGCAGCAGGTACGCCGACCCGTAGCGGTCCAGCTCGCGTGGGAAGCGGACCACGTTCGCGAAGCTCACATTGAGGCACAAACAGAGCACGAGCCCACGGAACACCGAGCATTTGGTCTGCAACAAAAAGAAATGGTGGAAGTATTGAAATTAGTTTGCATTTAATGGGTTAAGCATAAAACTACAATAAAATTGAGTCAGGGGAGTGCACCCACTAAGAACACGATTCCCGCAGGCATCTAAGATCTTCTTCGATGTGTAATTTATTAATGTATGTATTTTGTAATTTATTTATATGTAATTTATTTTTGAAAAAGATTTGTTTCTTATTAAAAGAAATCTCTTCAAAATGAAGTAAAAAATTTAATTCAAATTGTAAATTTAGTTCGCATAAACATTTTGTGTCTATAAATAAAACCAATGCCAAGCCGCACTCAGCCTCTTCTATAAAACTGTTTCTGTCAGTAAGTCAATAATATTTATGTTCTCCTTTTTGTACGTTTAATGCTTTCGCCAAATAGTTGTTCTTTAACCTAAGTAGGTACTTATTTTTAACCAGGATTTAGGCAATTGCTTTTTAACTGGCAATAAACTCCAAAAGCAGCATTGAAAATAGCATTTAACCTGTTAATTATATCTCACAACAACCTTATAGTCAGGATAAACAGAGGGTCATATAGAGAAAATCTTTAAAATAGTTGAAGAGTCTTCCGACTCCTTCTACTAAAAAGAAAATAAATTACCGAAAAAAACCACCTTGCCAACTTCTAAATTCTAAATTGACAGCACATTCTTCTGCTTAGAATGCTTTTAAAATTTGGTGTTAACTATTCAGACCACGTTAGCCGCTCACAATAAAACATTATCACTTCCGTGATTCAATATTAAAATACTTTTTTGCACACAAACCTTTGGTTTATTGGCATAAGAACCAAGTGTAAATAATCGAAACTAATCACACTTAATTTACAAAAAAATAGCAGAGTCGCCAAAGATCTTTTTTCTTAGATTTTTAAAATGTTCTTTAATAAAATCTTTCAAATGACTTAATGTGTACATTGTTATGGAAATTCAATCGAAGAATAACACTATTATTGTTGTCATTAATATCCAATACATATTCTTATAAAACGAACAACCATGTCAAATCGATTAAAAAACACCCATAAAACACCCATAAAAAATAAAATAAAAAAAATACAATAAAATCCGCCTTTATTCATAAGCTAAGCAAGTTCAAAGACATTTCAAAAAAGTTTTGTGAATGATTTTAACCCTGAACCCACCTGAAAGAAAGTAAGAGTTGGCCATTCAGCTGACGAAAAATTTGCACAGCTGATGAGAAATCACAAACTCACAAATTGCCGTCATATGCAAACGCATTTGGATTTGCCTTTTTTCTGGTAACCCAGACAAATAGCGGCAGTCACAGTCACAGTTGCCGCATCCGCCGACATTAAACAAAAACAAAAACAAAAGCAAAAAGATACTCCTACAGAGCGTCGTTGTCATTTCCGGTACTTCCGCTTTCGACTTGTGTAATTTTGCTATGCTTCGCTTTATTTTCATTAATTACACAATTTTGCTTTCTGTTTATTTGTCTTACGACTCATATTTCTCGAGTTCCCCCCGCACTCCACACGCCGCAGTCCAAAATGCCTTAGTTCTTTGTGTGTTTGCACAGTGAGCGGCAAAAGAAAGTGCCCAACAGCAGGGAGTCATGGGGGATCTTATTAAGCGGCGGCCGAAATTCGCTCATGGCTCTAATAAGTCATCTGCAAAATGTACAGCATAAGCCCATTAGATGTGCGCGCAAAAACATCACCGGGCAACTAACAACAATCCTCACTTTGGTTACTTTCAAAGCCAAAAAAAATGATACTGAAGAAAACATACATAGCGACTAAGGAATACCTTGGGTTTAGAGTAGAAACCCTATTTCGTAAAATATTATTTAGTATATGTTATGAATTATTCACAAAATTGTAAGTTAAATTATTTCAATTGTCAGACATTTATTACCTCTCTTTTTAAATATTTATGATAAATAGCAAAGTACTTGTATATACAGTGAAGTTAAAGGGCTCAAAAAATGTTAAATAAAATGCAGAAGTTTTTGTTTTTAAATTTCTTATGTTATTTGAAGTCTTTTTTAGGTAACAATGTATGTAAATTTAGATGAGAAAGCTTGTATTATTAAGTGTTTTTGAGAGAAGCGTCCTTAAATATTCGTTGCAATATAATCCTCTAACAACATCTGTAAATGTATTTTCATCGTTAATTTTTTTTGTATCAGAATCTAGTCTACAGAACTTCTAACTCCATACTTATTCCGCAGGGTATTTCTAATCGTTGGCTGGCTGAACGCTTTTAAGTGAAATTCATTCAGCTAGACAAACGAGCGAACTGCCAACAGGGCAACAACAGCAACACAAACAGCAGCAGCATCCGCAGGCAGAGCGGTAACAACGTGCCGCCCAGGTAAACGCAGTTAATAAAGCGAAAACCGCACGGTGAAAATGTAAACAAAAAAATCGCCCAGCCAAGCGGCATTTGGAGTTTACGAGCGTGTAGATGACGAGCGTTATGTGTATTATATATGGGCATATATCAAATGCCATATCATGCATGATGGCCCCCGCGGAGCCCCACCCCCCTCAAACCCCTCAAATCACTTACTTTTCGATAGTATCGGAAGGGAACGTCCTCGTGCACGACGTACAGATAGTCGGCTAAATACTTTGTCGTTGGTATCTCCATCTTGGGACAGACTTTGTATTGCTTATAGGTGTCGAAGAACTTGTCATTTTCTTGCATTTGTTTGTTGTTGCATACAAATCGGTTTTCTATTGTTATAAGCTTTGGCTTTGGGGGTTTTGTTTCCTTCTGAGCTGAAATATCAATTGCACTGCACTCGAAAATAAATAAATTACAATTAGCGAATGCACTCGTTTGGGTTTCAAGTACTTCGTATTTATTTTTGAAACATCACGCTAATTAAAGCCTCGAACCGCGGCATTTGTGTCAAGAAAATAACAATATTTTTATGCAAATGGAACAAGTTATCACGTGACGACAGCGAGCCAACAAAAAGCGCAGACTTTTAAAATAAATTGGCAACACCTTCAGAGCCTGGCCCTGAACCGCTTATTGAATGTCTCGCTGTCTTGTTTTGTTTTTATTTCACATAAGGTATTTGTATTCTTTTTTTCTGTATTTTACACAAATCGCCAACGCATATCAATGACAGTAGTTATGGAACTATAGCACTCGAGCACCGAGCTCCTTCCATATAAGTCTACTATATATCGTTTCTTGTGGTTACGGATTGCCTGGAATTCAATTACATTTCGCTGCACAAAACTCATTGGTCAGGCGATTCACACTTTACACTTTTGCATTTTCCCCGATTGCACTGCGTTTCCTTTTCTTTCAGGTGTTTTTTTATTTGTACTCTATATTTTTTTGCTTTCTAGAGCTTTTCGGATGAGCGTGTGCACTCATCACCGCTGCAGCGTCGAGTTGCGACTGCGCAGAAGACGATTTTGATTGGGGGGAAAATCGAATTCGAGTGCCCGGGGAGAAAGAGGCGGCCAAAGAGAGATGGCCAAACAAGTTTTCCCCCAATAGGTATAGGTAAACTTTTATTTGGGATCTCTCTCCGCCTGATTTTCCCCTGGCAGCGTTTTCATCTGGATGCGGAGGCCCAGATGTTGTTTTTGGACCACACGGAGCGTGCGAGCGAGCGTACCTAACTGCTCTCTCATTAATGCAGAACTGACGACTGACGTAGTGCCGCCGGCAGAAAAATAAAACAGCACCAGTGCCAGCCAAAAGCAACCAGCCACCAACAAGCAGCAGCGGCTCAAAAGCAGCGACGGCACCAAAGCGTGGCTTTCTATGCACAGTGGCTGCGCAAAGTCAGCGCACGGCGACTGCTTTAAACGCGCAGCCGAGCTCACGCCTCACTGGGTTTCTTTGGAAATTTATGCATGCTTCTACAAGCACACTCGAAAAAATTTGGATATCAATTAAAATGTAGCCATCTTTTGTATGTTAATTTAATAAAAAAAAAAGTATCCCACCCCAAAAATAAGGAATTTAAATATCAACTAAAAATGTTTCCAATAAAAAAATAGCTTTAAAGACAAGGAACTATGCTTTTTACACCTTTATTATTTTTGCTAATATTTGTTTTCAATTTTCTTAAAGTGTATTAAGGTAATGCTAACTATCAATTGCAACCTTTTTATTCTTTTTAGTTTTTGATTGAGCTGTTTTAAACTATCTAAAATTATTGTAATGTAATATCGATTAATTATTATGTGTAACACTTCAAGTAAAAGTTCAATTTATTTGCAATCTTTTTCGTTGCTTCGTATCTTTTTCATACTATAATTTAAAAACCAACTTTAAAGTTACAATCTTAAAGTCACTTTTCGAGTTACAAGTCCCTTACTGGCATACCCATTTATCCCTCTACTTTCAACCCAAAACTTGTCTTCATAATTTTCCCCAGTGCACTCAAGTTCTCTGAGAGAATTTAAAAATCACAGGTTCATTGAGGCTCTGCAACATTCTAGGCTCGCCCACGTGGGTTAATTGAAAAAAGTGGGCAGGGAGTACAAAGATGCTGGCTGAATGAAATTCTATTTCTATTGCTTAATGATGCCCTCGGGCCGCGTTCCCATGTCTCGAAATCCATCTGCATAATTAACCTGTCTTCTGCACAGCAGGAAGCGGCCACCGCAAAGAGCAGAAACCGTCTATTAGTCTTGGCTCTTTGAGCCGCTTCTCATACTAAAATTAAATTTCGTTTTAACACGTTCTTTCCGCGCAGAAAGAGAGAAGAGTGGCGTTTTCTAATTATTATGTAAGCATGCGAGCGAAACTGGCACTGGGCGCGTAATTAACGGCAGTCACTGTGCGATCGAAAAAAAAATAATAAAGTGGGAACGAGAAAAATTATCGCGGTAGCGCCGCTCAAAATAGGTGGATTGAATGGGCGCTAATGGAAAATAAAAACATTATCACTAGCTAGAATTTATATTTGGCTTCAAAGTTCTGCCATTTCAGGCGGAAGTTCCAACGAAATGCTAATAAAATCGAAACGATAA